AGGTCAGATGAATCCTGCCAGACAGAAATGTACACCTTAAAATCATTCCATACGCCAAATATAGTCGACCAATTGCTTAAAGTTTAAGAAAAACAGACCAAAACACAAAAACTTAACATTGAGCAACGAACCGTGAACACGAGGTCAAGGTCAAATAAAACCTGCCAGACTGACATGTACATCGTAAAATATTTCCATACATCAAATATAGTTGACCTATTGCATACAGTATATAATATTAGAAAAACAGACCAAAACACAAAAACTTAACTTTTACCTTTGAACCATGAACATGATGTCAAGGTCAGATGACACCTGCCAGTTGGACATGTACACCTTACAATCATTACATACACCAAATATAGTAGACCTATTGGTTATAATATCTGAGGTATTGACTTGACCACGAAAACTTAACCTTGCTCACTGATCCATGAAATGAGGTCGAGGTCAAGTGAAAACTGTCTGACAAGCATGAGGACCTTGCAAGGTACGCACATACTAAATATAGTTAGTCATCATATTACTCATAATAAGAGAGAAATGAAGATTACAAAAAATCTGAACTTTTTTTCAAGTAGTCACTGAACCATGAAAATGAGGTCAAGGACAACGGACCTATGACAGACGGAAACTTCATATCATAAGGCATCTATATACAAAGTATGAAGCATTCAGGTCTTCTACCTTCTGAAATATTAAGCTTTTAAGAAGTTAGTTAACGCCGCCGCCGCCGGATCACTATCACTATGTCGAGCTTTCTGCGACAGAAGTCGCAGACTCGACAAAAAATTAGCGAAGTGCGGAGATTTAATTTTAATTAAATTGCCCTTTTCTTAAGACAGAACATTAAAAAACAAATATTAGGTTTTTTTTTAGAACTATTCCCTATAGTTCTATTAGAGATAGACCATGGATTTGTGAATTCTGTAACATCCCTAATTCTGTAATGCCTGATTTGGTTGTGAATTCTGTAACATCCCTAATTCTGCAATGCCTGATTTGGTGACACTAATTCATAGACTGAGTTCAAATTTTGCATTGAACAAAAAAATATAAGCATATTGGTACTAAGAAAATTTTGATATTTTTTTTTTCAGCAAAAGTATCTGAAAAAGAGGAGATACAACAGTATAACAATATGTTTCTCTGAACTTCCGGTGTCCAACTAGATGCATTAACTATTATAATTCAATGAGAAGTGTTGAGATAGCACAATACAATTCTGACAAAAACTCGTAGTCGTTGCCCCTGGATCTCAAATAATAGCTTTCTCAGTTTTTATCAAAAGTGGACATAGAACATTATAAGACTCACATAACGATGTGTGACAAAAATTTTGAAGTGGATTCAACCAGAGACATATACACATGTATATATATGTCTCTGATTCAACATATTCAAAGTATCTGCAAACATGAAATCTATATTTGTTTGCTCATAAAAGTCACTGTCAAGCTGCTGACCAAATCAAATATGAAGTCATTTGTTTAGAAATACTGAGAATATTTGTTGAACGGACGAACGAATTGGTTTACGGTTCGACGGACAAAATGAATGCAATATACCCCAATAAAAGTAACGACAGTCACTATAAAAATGTACGTTTGTTTTAGTAAGAGTGACTTGAGTTGGATAAATTTCAGTTATATGTTGTTAGTGGTCTTCCTAGTGGTAGCTGCACTGTGCAGGTTTTTATGATGTTTTAAGTTTTACAGCACGCATAGGCTAAGGGGGAGGTTTGTGTGCACGTAATACTGCTTTAGATACACTACATTGTAACTTGTAAGCCTGTACCAAGTCCGACTATCTGGTCCATGTATTGCTTGTTGTTGTTTGTCTTAGTCTGAATTTCGGCTTATATCGGTGGCGTCGGGTGTTGGTGGATTTTATGGTCTGTTGTACTGTGTGGTATTTTTGGCGGTTCTTGTGATCACTCGGTGTGTGTAATTTTAGAGAAATCTGGATTGTTAACAAAGAGACTGTGAATATATGCAGTAATTGTTAAATTTCTATCTTATGTTGTGGATGTTTTTGTAGTTTTGCCATCAATTGAAGTTCATAAAAGTCAAGGAATTAAAACTGCAAAAAGGTAATTGGCCACAGGCACTTGTCTCAGAATTTTTTCCCCTATATACCTTAATATATATTAAGGTATATAGGTAAATTTTTTTCTGAGACAAGTGCCTGTGTAATTGGCGCTGCGTATCTGAAAAAAATGCCAACATAAACCTTTGATATAAAGTTCATAACTGTCCGAAGAGAAATGTTGGTGTTAAATCGTTTACAATGCAAATTTCTCTAGAATTTACATTTCCAAGTGGCATAACTCCTTTAAAAATAATGAATCGGTACCGTTAATCGAATTCTTCTGAGAAATTGTTATATAGATAAACCTTTGATATAAATAAAAGAAGTAAAGGCATGGGAGCGCTTACAATACATTTCCCAAATCATTTACAATAGAGATTTCATAAAAATCCGACAAAAAGTGTAGTCGCGAGAGTGATTACAAGACTGGGCAAACACTAAGTATTTCTATGTCTCCCAACCAGAGGACAAAGAATTATAACGGTGTGTGATATTGTAGTATACATAGTAGAGAAAACATAACTGAGACAAAGTAAAAGAGCATAGCTTAACCAAGACTTTCCTTAATATGAGTTAATCCTGCTTTATCACATTTTCACAAGTCCCTTGACAGTTGTAGGAGCACAAGTAAGAGTAGATTGTTATATGCACTTTATGCATCTTTTGACAAGATTATAGGATTGCAGGTTCACTTACATGTAGTATTATTGGTTTAATAAGATAATAAACTTTTAAACTAACATGACTGTAACTTGATGTTAAATGTCAGAGAAATCTACTTTTGATAGGATGCAGAGAAACTTACCTTCTAGATACATCCTTAAGTAAATGATTGTAGGTTGCACATTGCAAGTGTACCATAAACCACTGAAGAATGAAACATTGATCAGTCACATACATTGTGGGAGCTGTTAACTTCCCCTATATTCTTCATTACTTAAGTTACAAGTTATATGATTGTATGTCCTTATTCATCTTAAAAATATTATTGAAAGTGCTTGATACTTTAGAAACCATTCGAGTTATACAAGATACATTTGTGATGCTAGATCACTGATCCCTCTTACAGTTTGGTGTGGTTTAGTGAGTTGTTTTCTGTGAAATTTTTTTATCTGTTCCTTTTGCACCTGCTGTGTCAGTCTTTCTTCGTTCTTGATTGATCTGTGGTATCTTCCCTTTATTAAATATTTATCTTATGTCATATAGCCATTCTCTCAAAGGTACACTTCCACAATTAAATTGTTTTGATGTAGACCAATGAGCATCAAGATTTGATTTGTACATTTACACAGACACAGAGTACCCACTTCGTCCTACATAATTTTGTTGAACATCAGTTATATGGCCCCCATATGAACTCCACAGAATCTACATTCAAGGCTAGCATTTGCATTCAACTCTGGCTTGATATGTGAACCAGTAATGCAAAACTAAAAAAGTCATATGCTTTAAGATGACCTGAAGTTGCATATACTGGAGGCCAGAATAGCAAACATCTAACCAACATCCTTTCCAAAATAAGTTTCAATAGGTCAATTAATAAATTTGCATACATAGAATTAATCTTTTTAACATATCAGCTTCCAGTAATTTCTATTTATGCTAACATAACCAAATAAGATGGATGACAGCATTGATACAAAATATTTGTTCTTTTTGTGTCCAATGAATTACAAAACTGCTGGGTAAATGATTAAGCAAATGTTTCACAATATGTTGTAATTAAAATCATGACTGGATTTTTAGCTCAAAGTGATATACATGTTAATTGGAAACTTGCATTCTTGGAATGATAACAAATTGCATTGATGAATTTAATTTCTATAGATTTACTGCTCATAAACTGTTTAAATAATTCCAAACACTTTTTTTTACACCCAGGGATAGGTGGCTGTAGCCAAATTTGGTAACAACATTGGGGGTATTAATGCTCTAAAACTTCACTGATTTGGCATTTCAGCTATTTTGATTCGAGTGCCACTAATGATTTTTAATTAGTAATGAGGCATGGATTTTGTCACAATTACTGTACTTATATAAAAATAGGTCCTGAAATATTACATGACTTCCATAATTCCAATTCAGGATAACCATAAATCATTGAGGATCTCCTGAAATATTTCAGTCCTCAATAATTTGATTTAAGTCCTGAAATGGAATTGTGGAGGTCCAGAAATATTTGTACACCTTAATATACATTTAAGAATATCCTAAAATCGAATTGTGGATGTTCTGAAATATAAATTTATGAAGCTCCATAAATGTTAAGGATATCCTGAAATTTTGAAGGATGTACTGTAATAAAGCAATTTTGCCAATTTTAAGTGGAAGTCTTGAAATCAAATTATAGAGGTCCTGATATTGTTCAGGAGGTCCTTAATGATTTATGGATAACCTGAGATAGAACTATGTGGGTCTTCAAATTTCAGGAGCTCCCTAAATACAACAATTTTTAATAAATCTATGTCTCTTAAAATTTCATTAATGAATTCATTTTCTGTAAATATACTGATGATGAATTCTTAATATCAATAGAAACAAAGTTTTTTAACCCTCAGACGATTATCTTATTTTCATTTATTACTCATAAATTGTTTTAAAAAGAAAGATTACGGTTTTTTTCCCCAGGCATAGGTGGCCTTAGCCAAATTAGGAATAACTTGTTGGAATTTTTGGTTTTTAGTGCATTTAAACTTCATTACTGATTTGGCCTTGAATTTGAGCACTTCTGATGAGTCTTAATTATATAGATGAAATCTGCATCTTGCATACTTAATAATACATTTGATATATTTGATGACTTTTACAGGTCAAGAGAGTATTCTTTATCGTACCTATAAATAGCAATCACACACTTCAGAGTATGTAACCACTTCACATAACAGAAACTTATCAAAATAAATATAACATAACCTTCAACATTTTTATTGCAAAAAAATAAGGTTATAATTTAACAGTATTATAATTAAAAAATAGCGTATATATATATTATCATTGAACAATAAATATTACAAATATACCAAAAAAATATTTAAAGATTGCAGCATGTCAGCTTAATACTGGTTATAAAGTTTTAATTATATTTCAATAATTTTGTTTATTCCATATTGATAAAACTTTAATAGGTGTTTCTATATGAATGGGATTTTGAATAAATAAGCATATTCACCTGCGGAAAAAGTATATTCACCGCGCAAAACGTTGCCTGCTTTTACGTGTATGATTTTGTTAAAAAAACGTTTGATGTACAATTGGTTTTGGTAAATAATTTCCATTACATACATTTCTTTCAGAATATGGAATAAAACAATTACTGTCTTTTGTTTCGGTAAATATGTGGTTTAATTGACTTTTGAAAAACTGATATTCACTTCGGCCGTTGGCCTGTCAATAAAACCACATATTTACCTCATCAAATAACAGTAATTGTATATTATTTGGTTGAAACTTCAGATATTGACACTTTCAATGAAAAATTTGTTTTTGCTGAAGAGAATCATAACTTTTAAAAGTAAAACTTATTTTCCAATAACAAGTTTGACAAATTTTTACAAGAATAAGACTGAATGATGTTTTTTTTTTAACTTTTAAACAAACAGTGTAGGAATATTGTAAATAAAATGCCTTCATTCAAGTTTAAATAACATTCCATTGGTATATCAGCTTCTTGTTTTAGTAAGCATATTACTTGATTAGATTATTACCAAACTTATTCTATAAAGTTAAATAACTTACTATCCTTAAATGTTATTAATATGTGATAGTTAAAAGTTAAAACTAACTGATAGTCAAACAGACAGATGAGCACACAGACTGAAAAACAATTTGCCCCAAACTATTTCAAATGGGGTTACAAAATGAAACTTCAAAAACAATAATTTTGTGGGTTAAATTAGTTTAGAATTATATAATGATCAATAGTTGGTTTGAAATGATAATCTGTTCTCTCATACTTACATGTGGGTATATATAAAACAAATTTGTACAACTGTATAAAAATATATAAATATCACAGATATTTTACAACAAAACAATATAAATGCATATATCAAATTGAACATGACCTGCATGTTACAATAACAAATGAAAAAAAGTTTGCTGTCAAAAAAGATTCAAGGTGACTTTAAAAGTCTTCCAGTTGCCTTGTTCATCTGTTCTCTGATCACCAATTACATCTTCATTCCTAAAAAAGTATTAAAAAGATTAAACCATTATATACACATATGTTAACCTATATTGTAGGTAATGTTTAATTGTTTTAATTTGATCAAATGCCATTAAACATTACATCATCAAGAGATTTGATACCTAATAAAGGCTAAGAATAAAGGCTTGTACAGTTTGTTATTGATATTGTAGAGGGCACTTTCATCATTTTCAAAACCAATAATTTTACCTAATCCATTATTAATATGTTAATTTTTATTCAATATCAAATATATACTGATAAATTTAAAAATTAAATGCTTCACTACAAATTCCTTTTTTCTTTTCACTAAAATAAAATGGAATCTGCTTGAATTTAAAGGAACGAAAAAAGTCAATAAGTCAACCGAGAACCAGCTTACGATGTATAAACTACAAAATGTAATCGGTTATTCGTTCCGTTTTGGTGTTTCATACTGATGCATGTGTATTATTTTAGCTTAAGATCCTTCAAACATTAATGAGATAGATATATTAAACATTGTTTTACACAAGGATGGAACTGTTTTACTTTCAGTCGTATTCTAGTGATATCTATTAAGTACAGATTTTTCATCACTCTCACTGTATTTATTTTCTTTTACACATGGTATTAAAACTTCCTGTTTAAACATACACAAGTTTCTAAATTGTTTTTTGTGTGTATTTGACATATTTTCTCACTCGTGAAGTGTTCAAGAATCATTTACAAGCAGTTTCAACTTCTATTTGGTGATGGAAAACAGGTTTTTCCATGAAAATACTGCAAACGATCAAACACGATTTGAAATTACCAGAGTTTCATTAGACATTTTCTAACAGTTACAAAATGTTTTTTTTACCTAAAATTTAACTACCAGTTAAACTAAGTAGTTTTGTTTGTAAAAGGTTAATGGATATTTATTGTTGTCGTCTTAAAATACTTTGACATAGTTGTTTTGGGGTTAAAAACTTTTCCATATATAGAAAATAAAGTACTTTTGCAGTATGAAAATAAATGTCCAAAGTCTCCAACAAGTCAAAAATAGATTTTGTCATCTATAAGTCTGAATCACAAAGTTGATGTTGAATTTCTTGCAGTGATTATAGTTTGGGATGAATTAAATATAATTACCCAGAGAACCTTGCTTCTTCCTTAAACAAATACTAGACTCCTCATCTTCATCTTGGACTGAACAAAGTTGTCAAAGTAATGACATTAAACCAATGTTTTTCTTACCTCAATAATTCCTTATTACACACAATAAAAATATCAGCTGCACTTTTAAGAATCTTTAATGCTATCTTCCTCTTTACATCCTGGGCAGAATCAGTATCTGTTAATGTCACACTATAATAACACAAACATTTTTATCATTAAGATTTTTTAATTAATCCCATAACAGTCATAGAAAGCCATTAGATATCATCATTATGTATGTAATGTATTTTTTTTAGTTCGTTTGAAAGGAAAGGCATTGTATTCTCCAGACAATTGTAAATTTAAAAATCCTCAGACATAAAGCGCTTTTCAAGTGAGTTATCTTCCTTTCTGTATTCTTTTAAAAACTTCTAGTAGTGATTATACCATGCTATTTTATTGTACATATTCCTTTATTAGATTTATAAACCAGTACTATGTTTTTCTTTGTTGCTTGGTTGCTGTTTGGTGACTGTGTAGGCAAGATTTTGGTTGAAAAAGACCTGGAAAGATTTGTTTCTCCTATCATGATCATCCCATTGGTAGGGTTCAATGCTTGCTGTGATTACTTACAATTACAAGGTGTCAAAGATCTGCTGGTATGTGGTAAAGTTTGTCACTTGACTATTAGGTCAGGGATTACCCATGACACTTGGTTTTCCTCCATAAAAAAAGGGTGGCAGTGAAATTATAAGTGTATAGTGTTATACTCCATCAAACTGAACAATGGATCTTTTCAGCACAGTCATTGTTCATATAATTTACGTTTTTTCTTTATTTTATTAGTTATATAAAAATAAGGAGATGTGGTATGTTTGCCAATGAGACAACTATCCCTCAGAGTCCAGAATGTGTTCTGTTGTGCTACAAATATTATTGTGGTTTTTGGCAGTCTTGAAGATTCCTTCTTATTTTCAAATAAAAAATGAACATACTGTATCTGATTTTTGTTGGGTGTAGATGAGAGTTCTTCAGACAGTCTTTCCTCTTCACTCATTTCTGGTAGTTCTGTTTCTAAAAATAAACAAAATGTATTTGATGAAAATAACAGTTGACTTAATGCACCAATACTAAATATCTAATTTACCCTTTCATGTGTAATATAATTATGTTTATTGTTATTACAACTAGATGTTTCTAAACTGTAAACATTGAGTTATTTCCCTTTTCCTTATACAACTTTAGATTGATTGATTGATTGTTGGTTGCTTAACGTCAAGTGGACAACTTTAGAGATATTGTTATTTAAATTGATGTTTTTTAAGTGATAAAAATGTAAAACATGTTTCGAATAAAGATGAAGAAAGATATTTGGAAATTTTTCAAACAGTTTTTCTAAGAGTTCTTTATTCTCTACATGTTATAAAAATAATGTTTTTTTTATTTTTATGTCTTAGATGACTCACAAGCAGAGTGGTCTAGTTAGCATACTGCAAAAATACTTTATTTTCTATATATGGAAAAGTTTTTAACCCCAAAACAACAATGTCAAAGTAATATAAGACAACAACAATAAAAATCCATTGACCTTTTACAAACAAAACTACTTAGTAGAAGTACTTTAAGCAGTTGCATCAAAATACATACACATCAAATAAATTTAGACGTGAGGATAATACCCTCTTGTAAGTAGCTCTTCTTTCAATGCATCACAAGCATTCCTTCAATACCTAAGTTTTTTTGTAAGTGGTCAATTTTAGTTAAATTTATAAAGAAGATTTAAAAGAGCATTAACTGTTAAAGCTAAAAATTCGTAAGGGAACCCAGTGTCTCGCCTACTTTTGCTGTTAATCGCAGGCTCAACAAAAATGAGGAAAAAAATTAATAAATATATTCCTCTCTATACTATCTTGATTGTAAGTAGCTTCTGTCCAAGATTGGTAAAAATCCAGGATAGTTTATGAATCTAATAAATGTTTTAAAAACTTAAACTGCAGACTGTATGTAATGTTAACTGGAAGAAAAACTAAGTCCATTTATAAGTAAAATACGGAAAAAATGGAACAAAATTTTAACAAAATTTCCTTCTAGATACTAGCTTTTAATCATAAACAAGCTTCTGTCCAAGTTTGGTACAAATCCAGGATAGTTTAAGAAAGTTGTTAAAATTTAAAAAAAAACTTTAACCACAGACTGAATGGAATGTAAACTGGCAGAAAAATTTAAGTCCATTTATAAGTAAAATACGGATAAACTGGATTTAATTTTTTCAAAATTTACTTCTGGATACTATCTTATGATCATAAACAAGCTTCTTTCCAAGTTTGGAAGAAATCCAGGATAGTTTAAGAAAGTTGTTAAAATTTCAAAAACTTTTAACCACAGAGTGAATGTAATGTTTCCTGGCAGAAAAACTAAGTCCATTTATAAGTAAAATACGGAAAAAATAATTTTTTTTTTTACAAATTTACTTTTGAATATTATCTTATGATCATAAACAAGCTTCTGTCCAAGTTTGGTAGAAATCCAGGATAGTTTAAGAAAGTTATTAAAATTTCAAAAACTTTTAACCACAGAGTGAATATTTGTGGACGCCGCCGCCGACGGAATGTAGGATCGCTATGTCTCGCTTTTTCGACAAAAGTCGAAGGCTCGACAAAAATGACAGAGCATAGTGGCATTATACAGATAACATTACCTTAGATTTATCTTAGTTCCTTAGCAGTTTGGATTTCAACAGCTATCAAGTCTCTTGATGTTTTAATGTGACAATCTGAATATTGGTCAATTCAGCATATCATTTGATTTGGTTTTGGAAATTGAAGTGTACATTGTAAGCAAAACAAACCTTGTTGCTCAAAAAGCAAGTTATAGTAACAACTATTTGGTTTTCTCATCTGTGGCCAGGAATAATCGTTGCCTTCTTCTTTAGTCATGGTAGGTAAGGTTTTCTTCCCATCTATGGCATTCCATCCACGACCATATACATAGAATAACTTCTTATTTTTACAGGAAGCTGGTCCTTTTGTGACATGAAGGAATTTAAAATCATCTTCTTTTGATGGATCAGCATCTGAAATACAAGTAAAAGATCATGTTTATGCATAAATTAATCTGGTATCACACTGATTGCATTGTAATCATCTATTAAGGTATCCATCCTGATTGACAGTCTGATTTTAAAATACATGTTAGAACCATGATGTCAATGCAAAAAGCAAAGGTTTTAACTTGGCTGAACATTGGAAAAATTATGTAACACAAACTAACAAATTTCATTGGATAATTTAAAACAGTTTTTAATGATTTTCTTACATTGTAAACATTGCATATTTGTCCACAATAAAGTTAATAAGTTATGGTTTGTTTGTATTTCTTTTAAATTGTAGATATTTTACCACATTTTGATAGAAGTCTAAATTGTACTTGCATTTGTAAAACATGTGACAATAATAGCTTCATGTTCTGTATTGAAAACTATCTATAAAATTATTTCTTTTTACTTTATAAAAAATTTGTATCAGTAACCAAACCAAAATGAAATCTACTTTTCTTTTCAAACACTGGGAATTATTCTGCATTACTACTAGATGAAAAGAAATATTGATAAGTTTTCCATAATGCTTCAAAGAAAGGAGGACTTACTGACCTTTTCTAAAGTCATTTAATCTAGGATGGTAGAAATAATTTTTCTTATCAACTTTCAGATCTCCTTCAAATGGCCTCTCTATACGGCTAGATTTATTTTTAGGTTCTCCTTCATAGCTACCATATCTGTATCTAACAGAACCATGTTGTACATCTATCAGGACTGGTACATCTATCCTCTGTGTCTATATAACAAAGAAATGGAGAATGTAATTAGGCATAACATTGAATATCTATATCAAATCAAATCAGTTCCTTCCTTTTTAAAGGCCCCATAAGGGCACATCAATTACAAACAAGAGAATAAGAGAAACTAGAGGCTCTCAAGAGCCTGTGTCGCTCACCTGTATTTACTGATGCTTTGGAAATCATGTAAAATAAGGTTAAAATCATAATTAATAGTTTTAGATATTAGATATTATAATGATATCTAAGATAATAACAAAAAACTGCAAAATTTTTGTAAAATTACTAACTCACGGGCAGCAACCCAACAACGGGTTGTCGGATTCGTCTGAAAATTTCAGTGCAGATAAATCTAAATCTGATGAACATTTTGCCCCTGTCAAATTTGCTCTAAATGCTTTAGTTTCAGAGATATAAACCAAAAACTGCATTTTACCCCTATGTTCTATTTTTAACCAAGTCGGCCATGATGGTTGGTCATCTGACAAATTTTTTAAACTAGAAACCCAAATAATGATTATGGCCAAGTATGGTTAAATTTGTCTCAGTAGTTTCAGAGAAGAAGATTTTTGTAAAAGATTACAAAAATTTACGAAAAATTGTTAAAAATTGACTATTAAGGGCAATAACTCCTAAAGGGGTTGACTGACAATTTTGGTCATGACAACTATTTGTAGATCTTACTTTGTTAAACATTATTGCTGTTTACAGTTTATCTCTATCTATAATAATATTCAAGATAATAACCAAAAACTGCAAAATTTCCTTAAAATTACCAATTTAGGGGCAGCAACCCAACAACGGGTAGTCAGATTTGTCTGAAAATTTCAGGGCAGATAGATCTTGACCTGATAATCAGTTTTACCTGTGTCAGATTTACTCTAAATGCTTTGGTTTCAGAGATATAAGCCAAAATCTTCATTTTACCCCTATGTTCTATTTTTAGCCATGGTGGCCATCTTGGTTGGTTGGCGGGGTCATCATACACATTTTTTAAACTAGATACCCTAATTATGATTGTGGCCAAGTTTGGTTAAATTTGGGCCAGTGGTTTCAGAGGAGAAGATTTTTGTAAAAAGCTAACGAAGACGGACGAAAATGACGACGGACGCCAAGTGATGGGAAAAGCTCACTTGGCCCTTCGGGCCAGGTGAGCTAAAAAATAATAAACATATACAATTTTAAACATTATCATATGATTAATATAACATGTACAAAGACAAACAATTTGTGAGAGGAGAACAAGCTTGGTAAAAGGAAGATAACTCCACTCTATAATGTCAGTAAAACGTACAGGTGCGACAATTTGGTAAATTTATTTTCCAAGTTTTTGTCTTGTTTCAAAACTTATGTTCAGGTATTTGTATAAAGATGTTACAAAGCTTTTGTCATCTTTTGACATAATCCAAATTTAAATAAATTATTAGTTTAGTTTCTCAATTTAATAAGGCAAAAAAAATATATGTGAAAAAAATTGGTAGGCATTTTTTTTATTTTTTTCTATTTTGCCCCTCAAGTATGGTATATTTATAAGGCAAAATAAAAATATATTCATACTGAAAGTTTATAAGTTTTAGGCAAAATTCCCTGTTTTTCTTCAAAAACATCTAATAATATTAACCTGTGCACAATGCATGTGATTGAGTTTTTTTGCTCCATATACTGGTATTTTTTACCAGTAAATGTTGTTACCAGCAAACTTGTACTCATCCATGACTGTTTATTTTTTTAATTTTAGAACTGGAATTGGACCCTGTATTGGAAAAACAAATCCTTAAAATATGTACTTAATTTGCCTTCATTGTACATTGTAAATAAGAAGACCTTTCTTTCTTCCAGGTCTCAAGAAAGGGGTTTGTGAGACAAATTTTAAGTGATTTCTTTTTTATGTTTACTCCAGTTTTTACAATTTTTAAAAAAGAGTACTAGTAGGTTTGTGAACCAAGAGTTATGACCTTTATGCTGTGCAAATGAATATATTCCTTTTATGCATGGTTGAGCATGTTTGATTGTGAATTTTCTAGTCTGTGCCAATACATCAAGATTTGTTTTAACATGTCTATGTAAAGACGACGTCTTCTCAGTTCTGTTATAACTCCTACATGCATGTTAGTACATAGTTTAGAGACCCCAAGTATGTATTTGCAAAACTTGAAGTGGAGTTTTTCGGTGTCCCAGTCCTTCAATATATCAAAAAGAGTAAATCATTTTCTCTTTAGTGTAATATTAATAACACCCCAATTTTTACCGCCGTATAGGATAAGTTGAATACAATGATCAAATAAATGTTAAAAATAATTATTTTTGTTTGTAAATAGAGTTTACATCTAGACACCATTCATTACAATATTTATATAAGACATTAAGTTCGTTTTGAAGTTGTATATCAGCAGTACTTGGAGCTTGCTTTATTAATCGTTAGCATTTTTTGACATTACATTACCTACATATGTAAGTATTGCTTTACTTGTACAATGAACAAACACCTGGTAATCCAATCCAAAATCTGCAGAGGGATCCGAATCCCAAGGAGCAAATACACTTTATTTAGTGCAATTCGTAAGAAAATCTGTATCTGATTCCAGGGAAGAATGAAGCTACTTCTACTTCTACCAGTTAGTGACCACCGTCATCATGTTGACTATTCTGTCACTTTTGGGTGTGCGCAAATATAATTTTGATTAAAGTAACAAACAAAAAAGGTGCTATACAAATATTTAACAGTGGGGATTAAAAACAAGGGCTTTTGATTTATTTGTTTGTCAGGAGCCTCTTGAACGATTCAAGGCTGCTGACAGATGTAACTGAGGAGGGTAAGGCATTCCAATTCCTGATGGTCCTCGGGTAGAATGACTCTTTCCTTGTTGTCGTGTTACATTGTGGGATCTGAAAAGAGTTTGTGCCCATATTTCTTGAGATCCTGTCCGGTGGAACGAGTTTGTGGCTTGCTGCAACGTTGACCTCCTGATTGTTGATCTTATACAGCATTGATAGTCGTGCGCTTCTCCTTCTATCTTCAAGTGGTGTCCACTTTAGTTGTTCCAACATATCAGTAACGGATGATCTGTTACTGTACCGGTTTGTTACATATCTGGCCGATCTCCTTTGTACCATTTCTAACTTGTGTTTATCTTTTTGGAGGTATGGATCCCATAGAGAGCTGGCATACTCGACTGTTGGTCTAACGAGGGAGATGTAGGCCTTTTCTTTGATATCGCTGTTAGAGATATTGAGGTTTCTTTTGAGAAATCCGATGGTTTTATTTGCCTTGGCACAAATGTTTCCGATATGTTTTTCCCATTTAAGGTCTGATGTTATAGTTACTCCTAAGTATTTTGCAGATGTTACGTGCTCCAGAGTGTGGCTATGTAAACGGTAATCCTTTATAATAGGTGTTCTGTTCTTTGTTACTGATAATACCTGACATTTATCTGGATGGAATTGCATCATCCATTTTTCTTCCCAGACAGCCAACTTGTCTAAATCTTCCTGGAGGGTATTATCATCTGATGTTACTGTGATGTATGCAATGGTGTCATCTGCAAATAGCCTCACAGTTGATTTAATATTTTCTGGCATGTCGTTTATATAGAAGAGGAGAGGCTGGGTCCTAGCACAGATCCTTGTGGTACCCCAGACTCTACATCGATGGAGTCAGATGTTTCCCCTTCTATTAGTACTCGTTGGGTTCTCTCAGATAGGAAGCTTTTAATCCAGTCGTTTGTTTTTCCTCTTATTCCATAGTGTTGGAGTTTGTGTGTTAGTAGACTATGGCCGACCTTGTCAAATGCCTTCGAAAAGTCCATGATTAGACAGTCTGTTTGTTGGCCACTATCAAGGTTTTTGGTGATGTCGTCGATGAATTCTATCAGCTGGGTTTCACATGATAGTTTCTTCCGAAATCCATGTTGAAGGTCATACAGGATATTGTTTTTATCTGCATGGCACATGATATGGCTGGTTACTATGTGCTCCATTATCTTACAACATATACAGGTTAATGATATTGGTCTGTAGTTGATTGGTTCAAACTTTTTTCCTTTTTTGAAAACTGGACAAACGTTTGCTGTTTTCCATAATGATGGTACCACTCCTGTGTCATATGATCTCTGAAAGACAAGTTGGAGTATTGGAGCTATTTCATTGGCTAGTTCTTTAAGGATCATAGGTGAGATGTTATCTGGACCCGCAGCTTTATGGGGGTTTAAACCATTTAGTAATTTCTTAGTTCCTTCTTGTGTGATGGTAATATCAGGTGCTGTGGGGTATTGGCCAGCCATGTTGCATCTTTCCTTAAATTCTGTGTTACTGAGGTCATTTTTACTTGAGAATGCTTCCTGGAACTGTGCATTTAAGATGTTGGCTTTGTCAGTTGAGTCGTCGTGTAGTAGGCCTGCTGATTTAAGCGGTGGTATGCTACTCCCATCTGACCGTTTATGCTTAATGTACGTCCAGAATCTTTTCATGCAGTTAGTACCTCTGTCCGACTCACTACTTGGTGTAACGATGTCCTCGATATATCTCCAATAGGCCTTTCTAAGTTCTTTTTGGGTTTTGCTCTTTAGATCTTTGTATGAAGCAGTATCCCTTTTATCACCTGATTTTTTCTTCTTTTTATATGCTTTGTCCCTTCTTCTTATAAGTCTTCTCAGGTCTGTTGTAATCCATGGGCAACCATCCTTTTTACGAGCTGTCTTAGTTGGTATATTTTTATTGACGCTATCTTCTAGTGATGTTACAAATAGGTTCCAGATGTCATTTACAGAGGATTTGTTATCATAGAGTGATTTGGCTGTGACTTTGATATTGTGAAGGTCGTCTTTCACATTTTGCCATTTTGCCTTTTTGTAAAGGAAGATCTTTCTTGGTTTCTGTTGTGATTTTGCTGGTATTCTGTCCACTTCAGTATAAACAATGTCATGGTCGGACAGGCCAGGTATCACTTCTGTTCTCCTAAAGCTGTCTGGATAATTTGTTATAAACAAATCTAAGGTATTAGTTCCTCTAGTTGGTTCATTAACTATTTGAGTTAGCCCATGGTCATCTAAAATGTCTGTAAATTTGTGGTGAATGTTGACATTTTGGGTTTTTGGTTTTAGTTGGTTATTTTTCCAGTCCCATCCAGGTAGGTTGAAATCCCCGGCTGCAATGATAAATGCATTCTTCACATTTGTAGCTCTACTCATGCTGATGTCAAATTGCTTATATCCCTCTTCATTGGATGTTTTGGGATTGTAAAAAGATGTTAGGTAGATGGCTTTATGTCCTACTAGTTCTAGTTTGCACCAGACCATTTCACAATCTGTTTGTAATTCTGTGACTGGTGAGCTGATCAAGTTGTCACGTACTGCAACTAGGACCCCTCCACCATTCAGGTTTCGATCATTCCTGTATATGTTGTATCCTGGTGGAAAAATTTGGCTGTCTTTAATGCTTGAATCAATCCAAGTCTCAGTTCCAAGTATGATGTCTGGTTTGGTACTATCAAGCATATTGTACAGTTGGCCTTGCTTAGTTTTGATAGACTGAAAATTTACATTTACCATGCGTATTGTGCTTGTGGTGTTTGATGTTGCTTTAGATTTCCTCGTATTATCTGGAGTGGATGAGTGGACAGGCCTGAGATTTCGTGTTGGAGTTGGGCTGTCGAGAGGTGTGTCTGAAAGAATGCTGAATTGGTTGGAAGTACTGAAGACTAGTGAGTAGCAGAATGTGGAGTAGTTTGGACATTCACACATTATACAGTCCCACGCAATTCCTGAATTGTTGACATGTTCTAAGTAATATTTGGTGTCTAAGGATTGGCATTGGGCATGATACCATTGGTTACATGTATCACAGACAATTCCCTTGTCGTCCCATGTGACCGGTTTGTCACATGTTCCACATGGATATATCGTGGAATTATTTTCTGATCTTGAGCAGTTTCCTGATGGGCCAGGATTTAATTTAATATCATTAGAACCCGTAAGAAGGACTATTGACAGGTATAATAGCAGCTTTCCTTTGTGGTTCAGGTTATTCTTTATGTAGTTGTTTTTGTACACAGTGTAAAGGAGCTGGTTTATGGGTAGCAGTTTGTCATTTTGCCTATTTGTTGTTTTGGTAGGGGATACATGGTATCCAACTGACATCAGGAATAGAAATAAGATTAAGAGTGACATCGCTTGGTTGATTAAGAAGGTGGTGATAAGATGAACTCACCTACACACCTTGCTTAACTTCCGATTGACTGTCGATCTGTCAAAAATATTTTACTTCGTAATTGCCGCCATTTTGTTCTTTGTTTACATAGGTACCCACACTTTGATCGAGGATTTCAGTGTTGGGAGACGATGATAGGATATGATTTCTATGTAGAAGTTTTTCTGGTTGGATAATGGAACTACCTTACCCTTCTGTAAATAAATCAAATTAATTTTCGAAAGGATACAAACAATTTTCTTACAGTGGAAAAAGGATACGAATGATTTCGGCGCATGCGCACACCTCTATCTGGGAATCCGATCTAGATTTAACTTACCCACCTTGTTGCAGTCTTGGTAATTGCCCCTCTGGATTCTGATCCCTCCATGGATTCTGGATCGGAATACACGGTGTGGTACCTGTGTTTCTCTTGTATTTCTGTTACCTTATTGATTTGTAGACTATTTTTTGTGCATGATTTTTCAGTAAGGGGTGCCATTATATGTAAAATTTTATGGACAATGAAAACCCCATTTGTCTGTCATATTCATAATTATGAGGCCCCTCTATTCCTAAATGGAGCGGCATCATATATAAAATACTGTTGTTGTAATATCATAAGGAGAAGAGTAAGAACGCATTAATTAAGTGAAAAAAAAATAAATATTAAGGAATATTAGTTTTAAATATTTTATACACAAAAAAAATAGTCCACAAATATAGAAAAAGGGGGGTCCATTCCTGAAGTGCCTGTGCACATACCTACTCCGAAATTATCATATGGAAGTGTAGCCCGTGTAGTTATGAGGTCTTGGCAAGCAATTTTTGTTTTACTGTTTGATATTGCTACGTATGGAGACATCATAATTATTTAGACTAATGCCGAGTAATGGGGTTAAGTCAAGACGATGAACCTTAACAATAACATGCTTAATTCTAAACTCTAGTTTATAAGTACTTTTTTCTCTTTTTTAGAAAGCTGGTCTGAATAAAGAACTCTCGGATTTGCAGTTACTCCAACTGTTTGATTAGAACTGGCTCCTGCTCCCATGTTTTTAGACTCAACTCATCTTTCTATGTAGAAAATGGCGTCTTTGACAACAACACGGAAATTTCAGAGTTGTCTCCCATCGGGCACCTGTTCTTTCAAGCGCGGGAATTTTTAAATTAATCTAAACTGTATGATTTCAAAAATTAAACAAAGTTAAAACTTCACCCAATTGTGAAATTTAAACGTAAATATGCATATATTCTGCCAAATAGTAGCTGTTACTGTAACTGAAATCTGCAGATACATCCCGTCTTAAAATTAACCATCATGCCATACTATGAATATTCGGAATATTATTATAAGCAGAGACATATAATATATGTCTCTGTTATAAGATAAGATAAGATAAGATAAGATAAGATAAGATATATTTATTACCATTTAAGGGCCCACAAGGGGCATATAGAGAATACATATATAAGGAAAAAGAACATTGATTAGCATAGATACATAGAATTTAAATACACAATTGCAATACAATATGACTATTATATGCATATCTCTCTGTTATATGTCTCTGGTCACACTGATATAAAGGAATATAAACTGGAGTGTACTTCTACTTCTACTTCTACCACTAAGTGGCTGACTATCTTGTCTTGTCTTGTAGTAGATCCGTCCTATATAGGACCACCTCCAATAAACGGAGTAGGATATAAATTACAATTGTCCTATTTACTAATGAACCGACCGTGTGAGGGCTTTATAGCCAGTAAAGGTCGTTAAAAAACCCCATAAGTTACTAATGATTATGTTTTTTGTATAGGAACAATATTTTACAGAGGGGTGGCTGCCCTTAATCCCTTTCTCTTGCTACTAGGCAAAGCGTTAAGAACTGTTATTTCTGCCCACGTGCAGTGAAAAGCACAATCTACGGCTATCCTGTCACTGTTTGGTGTGCGCTTGCATACCTGACATGTCTAAAATAGTTTTAACAGAAATGAAAAATCAAATTTGTGCTGTACATAACATTTATACACGGTGCAAATAAAAACATGGGACTTAAAATTTAACGTGCATGCAGTAGTCTCTTGAACGAGTCAAGACTTTTTGCAGCGGTCACCGAGGCAGGTAAGGTGTTCCAATCTCTTATCGTTCTTGGGTAGAAGGACTCTTTCCTGATGCTGGTCTTGCAAGATGGTATTTGGAAAGAGTGAACGTTGGTATGTCTTGATAATCTGTCTGGTGGTATCAGTTTGTCGCCAGCATCAATCTTCACTTCCTCATTCGAAATTTTGTATCAGAGGGGTAGTCTAGCGTTCTTTCTTCTCTCCTCTATATATATATCTAGTGTTGGCCATTGTAGTTTTTGTCGCATAGATTTAACTGATGATGTGTTGTGGTACCTGTTTGTTACATACCTTGCTGATCTTCTTTGTATCATTTCTAGTTTATGCTTGTCTTTTTGTAGGTGAGGATCCCATACTGAACTTGCATATTCAACTGTTGGTCTTACTAAAGCTGTTTATGCCTTTTCCTTGATCTCACTGTTTGCTATATTTAAGTTTCGTTTAAGGAATTCTATTGTCCTATTAGCTTTAAGACAGATGTTGTTTATATGAGCGCCCCACTTTAGATTAGATGTTATGGTGACTCCCAGATATTTGGCTTATGATACATGTTCTAAGTTGTGGCCATGGAGGATGTAATTTCGGTGTAGTGTTTCCTTCTTTTTGGTGATTGGCAGAACAACACATTTATCGGGATGGAACTGCGTCATCCATTTTTCATCCCACGAGGCTAGCTTGTTGAGGTCTTCTTGTAGACTGTTGATTTCTGATGATACAGTGAGGTATGAAATGGTGTCATCTGCAAATAGCCTCACTGTTGATGAAATGTTTTCCGGCATGTCATTTATGTAGAAAAGGAAGAGGCTCGGTCCCAGTAATGATCCCTGCGGGACTCCGGACTCTACATTTATGATGTCAGACTTCTCCCCCTCCATGACCATGCGCTGCTATCAGAAAGAAAGCCTTTTATCCAAGCATTTGTTTTTTCTTTGATTCCATAATGATCAAGTTTATGGATTAAGATACTGTGGCTTACTTTATCGAATGCCTTCGAGAAATCCATGATGAGGCAGTCTGTTTGTTGTCCATTGTCAAGGTTCCTCGTGATGTCGTCGATGAACTGTATACAACCAGAGACATATAATATTTGTTATATGCCTCTGATACAATATTTCAATTATCTAGGTGTATACTTTAGTGCCTCGGGAATCTTTTCCTATGTTCAAAGTGAACCATATCAGAAAATTGACTTGAGGTATAAAAGAAAAAGTCAAATTACAGAAAGATCTTTTATACATCCTTGTACCTTCATCTACAAACTAATATAAATTACTACCGTGGTTTACCATGTTTTTGTCCACACCATCAAACCAGAGACATACCAAATTACTAATCGAAGCTATCTTGCTTTATGGATGTGAAATATGGGATTCCTTTGATCCTTTTACGGCTAAATTTAGAACCTTAGACCAAAGTTATTCAAACAGTCTGTCGGCGAAAAGTTATATAAAAAGACAAGTAACCTGAAATAAAATGAAATTTAAGTAAGTTATTCAAAACACAACGATTATTGAAGTCTAAATAAAACTATCAGAAAATATTAAGCATAAATTATAGAAAATCTTTGAAATAAAATAAAACCTCACAAGTCTAAAGTCCGATATCAGATAAACAAAGTTTTGAATGATTTTCTTCTTGGACACAATAATGACATGTTTAAAACAACTCACTGAGGATTACGTTGATGACCAACTGCTAGGTAGAATTCAAATGTTAAACAGTAGATCGTCGTTTTTGTTTCGAAGGAATTCCCAACTTTATCCGTTCGAGGACCATTCCAATTTACAGAGCCTACCTGCTGGTTGGGACCTTTTTTTCATGACTCGACAAGATGTTAAGATAAAAACAATCAACATATATACATAAGAAAATCAGGTGCGAATAAGCCGGTGGTGGGGGTGGGGGTTTTGGGGAGGGCTATGTTTTTGACAAATTGTCATTTTTTTATTATATATATTTCAAATAAAAAATGAAAATGATAGAGGACACTGAACACCATTAGACTATGAGACTATAGAAGTTATTTTTATTATTACTTTTTTTTTGCTTGTTACTTTCAGAATTCCCCCTTTTTTGTCTACTCCTACGCAGCAGTAAAATTAGAAGACAGCTGACTAGTCTTTAACCCCAATAGTTGACTATTGTATACAAATATGGCTAATCCTATTCACTCTGGCAGTAAAACCCTAAAGTGATGCATCCATTTGGCTGCGCGGGATGTATAAACACGCCACCATGCACTGTGTAAGGTGAGTACTACGCTCTCTGCAATTTGAACCATATCCAGCATTCCCTCGTTTTCCAGGGACCGTCAAAATTTACCACCTGGTATAAGGGTCTATTGTTTATCGGTTTTCGTCCTTAATTTTCCTAAAATATTTGCCACTGGTCATTAAGCAAACAACAGTTTTGTCAATTTTCTTTATCTATAATTGTAATTAGTGTTACACTGTTTGTGTTTATGAATCACAAGACATTCGAACATTTACACCAACACTGGCTAGCTTTTCCGAATGGTATATATATTTGGTCTGGGTAATTATAGTAATGCATATTGTATCGGAAGTCTTTTATAGATAAAAATTCGTAAGGGTTCCGCGGAACCCAGTGTCTCACCTACTTTTGCTGTTAGTCGCAGGCTCAACAAAAATGGGGGAAAAATATTAAAAAATTTCCTCTAGATACTATCTTTTGATTGTTAGAAGCTTCTGTCTAAGTTTGGTAAAAATCCAGGATGGTTTATGAATCTAATTAATGTTTTAAAAACTTTAACTGTAGACTGTATGTAATGTTAACGTTAACTGGAAGAATAACAAAGTCCATTTATAAGTAATATACGGAAAAACAGAAAATAAATTTTTACAAAATTTCCTTTTAGATACTAGCTTTTGATCATAAACAAGCTTCTGTCCAAGTCTGGTAGAAATGCAGGATAATTTAAGAAAGTTATTAAAATTTTTAAAACATTAACCACAGAGTGAATGTAATGTTAACTGCATGGCAGAAAAACTAAGTCAATTTATAAGTAAAATATGGATAAACAGATGATTTAAAAAAGATAATAATAATTCTGGATACTATGTTATGATCATAAACTAGCTTCTGTCCAAGTTTGGTAGAAATCCAGGATAGTTTAAGAAAGTTATCAAAATTTCAAAAAAACTTTAACCACAGAGTGAATATTTGTGGACGCCGCCGCCGACGACGACGACTGAATGTAGGATCGCTATGTCTCGCTTTGGCGACAAAAGTTGCAGGCTGGACAAAAATGGATACATGTATACTCGATTAAAGAGTTTGATTAAAAAAAATATTTCGACTAGGAACTTTACAAAGTAACAAAGTGCGTTCGAGAAAAGTATTTACAATTTTGCATTTTTGCAAATGTACGCTTGTTGAGTATTGCGGGATGCCATGAATTTTCGTACTGTTCACCATTTCAGCATTTACGATAGCAATGAGCATTAGTGTAACCTCTTTCTTCTTATTTACCACATCACGTAAAACTTACGAAAATAAGGCTGGATTCGAATTTCCTTTTCTAAGTGGACCCCTTTTTGAAAATATAGAATTCTTGCCTTCTTGTCCATGACCACCACCCTCTTCTACTTCTGTAGTCCAAGTTACTGGTATCACATTCCAGTTTATTTCACCTCCCTTGTTATCTTTTGTTGATTAAGTTAGTTGAAAGCACTTTTTCGGAAATAAAAAACTAAATCAAAACAATCGACTTTCCTCAACCAAATTCTTTTTTTTCTTCTTCAGCAGTTTAGTTAAAAGTTTTTTTGTTTTAAATTATGTTTCGATGGGACTATCAAAATTAACTCAGTGGTGAGGAAAATACGGTCAAGCAAAAACGGAGAAAAACGGACACTTTTACTGTATATTATGATATTGTTATTACATAAATATATATTCATAAATGCTACAATAAACATTGTTGTATTTATTCTTAATCATTATCGACCTTAATAGGTAAATCCATAATAGTTTGACACCATTGCTAAAGGGCAAAACTTCAATTTATCTGATTCTCTAACTCCAGTTACTTTAAAAACAAGTTGATTTAATAGCAAAGAAAATATAAGAGACTATATTTTGAACGAAAGTTAAACACATTATTATATTCTTTTCATCCTTTTATTAAACATGACCTCGCACATGTATATATTCATTTTCATTACCGTATATTTATTTTACCATGGATGATTTATTCACAATACCTTCATAGTTCAATTAATGTCACGTGGTTGGATTACTAGACAAATCAAAAATATATCTGGTCAGTACAAATCAAAAAGCTGTCAGTGTGTGGAAACTAAGCAAACTAAACAACTAGTCTTACATGTATAGTTTACCATAAAGACTTCTCTTATTGGATATTTATAGTTATTTTTCAAAAAGAGTGTGGATCGTTTACAAAATGGTAACTGGAATTACTTCATTGATTGTTTTCACCCTATGTACATTTTCGGGTGTTGCCGGACACATTGCTTTGAAATTTCCACCAGCACGGAAATATGCTTTTGATTTCATGGATAATATCAGGACTATTGCACCATGTGGAATTCCAAAAGGTAAATAATATATTGCCGCTTGTAACTATATTATACAATAGAAAATAATGCCAACTCCCTGTAATGTATAAAACGGGTATTTAAATTCTATATTTAAACCGTTGTATTCAAAACAAAAACATTTTGTCTGACAATGAATGACTTGTCGAACAAGTTATTATGATAAGCTTTTAATCCATATTTTTTCATCATTTTAATTTTTATATGATATGAAGTCTAAGGCTTCAATTAAACTGTATATATAAATGAAATTAAAAAGTTTGAATATATCTAATAGTAAAACGTGTCATACGTATACAGATCAATCTAAATAAAATATAGATCTCTGATTTCGTTTTACTTATATGACGATAGATCAAAATTTTAATTACTAGTAGATTGCCTACAGTCATAAAAAAAACTAATAAAACAAAGTTTTTTTTGTTTTTTTTTTAATTTCTTAACAAAAGTCAAATCCAAATCCTGTGAATCTCTGGCCTCTGGGAAGACTTGAAAGGCCATTATATATATAGAATCTTGAGCTTTAACTGATTTTTCATGGGGAATACAATCAGGTATGTATGTGTACCATACAGGGTAGTTGGAGATCACCCCACCCCTGGTATGTGAATATATATTATAAATTGAAAAACGCTCTTTGTGCTGTTCTTTATCTAGATTAACAATGAAAGGGTCCAAATTCATGTGCAAATGTCCATTTAGTGAAATTCAGCAATACAATTATTTCCATTGATAAGGCTACGAATGTGGCTTAAAGCCAGCATATGCAGAATATTTGCTATTATTGTTTATATCTTTTTTATTTTCAATTTGTTTATTTTGTAACTGTTTGCATTATATATATATGCGTTATGCTTTACAATCAACAGGCCTTGGACCCGTAACCGATCTATTAACTGAAGAAACGATAAATGTCCAGTGGCATACAGCTTATCCACATAAGGTTTGTTCAGTATTTGTCATTTTAGTCTGGTCTCATAAATGTTCTTCTCGGAATTGTTTCAACGACTCAGCAATCATTTTTTTTTTGTTTATTCCATGCGGTCTCAAATGGCTATAGAAGAAGTTTGTTTCTTCATCTGCTGGGGTAAATTTAAAAATGAGAAGATGTGGTATGATTGCCAATGAGACAACATTCCACCACAGACCAAATCACATAGAAGTTAACAACTATAGGTCGGCCTTCAACAATGAACAAAACTCATATCGCATAGTAAGCTACAAAAGGCCCCGAAATGAAAAATGTAAAACAATTAAAACGAGAAATCTAACGACATGAGTAAGTTCCGTCGTGTGTACACATTTTCATATCTGCATGAAACAGTCAAGTTTCCGACGTCATCTCTGTGTCTGGAGTCGTTAAGCCAAACTAATTCATACTTTTGCAAAACAATGAATGGAAGATCTTTAACAAAGATTCTTCATTTTGTTTCGGTTAAATGAAAAACATGACAACATGGAGCCCATTAAATCTATGTAAAAAATGTTTAATAGTGGATGGTTGGTCCCTAAAAATGGCATATTCTGATCCGACGAGAAAAAAAAAACAACCCCAAAACGACGATTTTTGAGTTCTAATACTCATTGGTCAGTGTCAAATTTATTGAAACTTCAAACGAATGGCGACCAGGAGAAACTGTAAACACTAATCCGGCTGCATACAGGACAACAATGTCACAGAACTTACCATTGAACTTTATGGGATACATATTGCTCAGTATACACAAAGTTAAAACGCCTTGCAAATGTTTCAGGATAAACTCTGCCTAGTTCCAAGGTATACATAGATTATCAGGAGAGGGAATAAACCAAACCTCTAAGCAAAGCTATATCACGTCCATTTGGTTTATCCGTTAATCGGGCACGAGTCCGTTGTTCACACGAGGAGAATGTGGTTACAACGTAGATAATTCCCGGTTAAAGGACCAATTTCCTTTTTGTAAACAAATTCAAAATTTCAACAGACTTATATGTCAATAAGCCGAGTAACCATTTTGGTATTGCAAAAAAACCAAATTGCCAACAAAAAGTTATACTGATACAGTTATTTTTATTAAAATATTAAAATACACAAGTTTTTAAAAGCTAATGGAATATGAATATAAAAAAACTTTAATAGTATACTTGACATGTTTAACCCCGCCGCATTTTTGCGCCTGTCCCAAGTCAGGAGCCTCTGGCCTTTGTTAATCTTGTATCATTTTTTAATATTAGTTTCCTGTGTATAATTTGGAGTTTAGTATGACGTCCATTATCACTGAACTAGTATACATATTTGTTTAAGGGCCAGCTGAAGGACGCCTCCGGGTGCGGGAGTTTCTCGCTGCATTGAAGACCCATTGGTGGCCTTCGGTTGTTGTCTGCTCTATGGTCGGGTCGTTGTCTCTTTGACACATTCCCCATTTCCATTCTCAATTTTATTGAAAGAGTGTCAACAATTATACATATATCAATAAAAAAAAAAACGCTCTCTACATTGCTTTTGAAGACAATTTGATTTTTATTTTGTAAATTTTAACAATTTGTTTCTGAAAGACAAACATCTTGCAGGGTTTAGATTTAGGTTAAGAATGTCATTCTTATGTCTTGTCCTTCTTATGCCTTCTTTGATTAACATTTATAATTTACCATGCAGATAGTATGAATCAATTGGTCAGAGTGTGAAATAATGTAAAAGAAAGCAAAGAAAGTTGGCTCTATGGCTCTTTATTCACAACTCTTTAGGTTTCAGGGTGATTTAGAGCTTGGAATATAGGATCATATAGTATAGACATTTTGTGGGCCACTAAAATATCATTATCATATTGAACTTTACCATACGAAGAAATGTTTTCTTCGTATATTTTGATTGAACATGTAGTTTTATGAATTAACGACCTTGAAGCATTATGAATTAACGACCTTGATGCATTAAGAATTATCGACCTTGACGCATTAAGAATTATCGACCTTGAAGCATTAAGAATTAACGTAAACGACCTTGAAGCATTAAGAATTAACGACCTTGACGCATTAAGAATTAACGACCTTGAAGCATTAAGAATTAACGACCTTGAAGCATTAAGCACCATCACGTGCAGTAAAGATAGTTGCATAATGTTGGAGGTATAATGTTTATTTTTTTAATTCAAATAATCATTAAACCGGGCCTGGTAATATTGTATTCTGCGATGGATAGTCAATCAAACTAGCTTTAAAATAACTGTATTGACGAAACATTGTGCAAGAAGAACATTTGACGCACACGCTTTTGTATTTTTCGCGAATCCATGATAGAATCCGTGGATTCTCTAAAAATAGACGAGCATGAAGTAGCGCAAAAGTGGTAAAAGAATTTCAAATCATATTGTTTTATTGCTTTACCAATTTATAAAATACTATGTAATGGGGTCCAGCTCAGTTTCATGCTTATCAGGCCGAATATCTTTTGTCTTAAATCCTCGGTTAACCGATTGATCATAACAACTTTATCTCCGACAAAATCATAACTTGGACAACAATTTCATCAATTACTCATACGAAATAAGTGATCAATTTCATGATCCCGATCAGTTCTACACACCGTTCTATCAAAATAAATATAAAATAAGTGCATCCGGAAAGTAACTACCGATTTTTATTTTTAAATTAGTAAATAGATTTCCGGTCTACTATCAGTCATACTTCGACCAACTATTTACAGGATGCAAGACATCGCATTATAAGTCGGTATATACTATACATTATGCTTCGTTTATGAAGTCATTATTTTGACTGACATTATGAACGACAAGGAACGCCCCCTTACATATTAAAAAGGAAGAGACAGTAAAAAAGCAGGTGGTTCAGTAGTCCTGTGCAATAGCAGACATATGATACATTGTATTATATAGACATATAATACATTGTATTATATGTCTCTGGCAATAGTAATCTCAGACCATCTCAGAATAGTCCACATAAGTATAAGTCTTGGAAGCCTATTTTGATTTTGCTTTGACACCTTTCTGTATCAATAAAGCATATATATAAAAATCCAAATAGAATAATACCCGTGGCAGACCAGTCCAGGGTCTGCTCTTGCGGTGTACTTACTAAGTAACTTAGTGATGCCCCTAGCTGGCTGGCATCTACTCTTATTTTCCATAAAATAAAATAAGAGTAGAGGGACATCACTCATAGAATACAGTTAATGTAAAATACAGGTGTGGATCCAGGATTTTGAGGGCCCCCTGGCAAGCCAGTGTTTGGAGTGATACTTGTAAAAGTCTGTATTTATCATAAATGAAGCTTCATAAGGGGGCCAGGCTCCCTGGCTGCCCCCTAAATCCACCTCTGAAATAATAATGATATTTAAGAGTCAAAACATATTAAACAAAGTTTTTTCCTTAAATATATAAAGAAGAAAAAGGGGGTACATGCCCAAGTGTCTTTCCTGGGAAATCTTTATTAGATTTCTGAAATGGATTGGCAGCACTTAAAAGTCAAAAATGATAGTTAACGCTTAAATAACTGCTTGAAATGGAACATCAGTAAAACCCTCTTTCAAATTTCACTTGGTTAAATTACAAACAGAACAGTGTGTATCATTTTGATGAAATATCAGCTAGGAATATTATTTTTCCATGATTTTTTTCTTGTATCAGCAATGTTGAATATCTTTTTTTACATAGTGGTATCTATTTTTTTGTAAATAATATATGTTGATCATTCCCATACTGTGACTTCTTATAAGATAAATAATAATTTTATTCAGTTAATTGAATTGATCCTTCAAGTTTATGTAGATGGTGTTTCTCAATTTTTTTTTAAATGAAATGATAAATTAGTTATTGTTATTTATGTTAGAAAATATGCCAGTAAGTATAGTTCATATAAGCCACAGAGGTAATGACAGACAAATATTTTTTATACTATATTTATAACCTTCCATTTTCACTGAACTGAGTACACATTTTTATTTAGGGGCCAGCTGAAGCCCGCCTCCGGGTGCAGGTTTTTCTCGGTGTGTTGAAGACCCATTGGTGGCCTTTGGCTGTTTTCTGCTCTTTGGTCGGGCTGTTGTCTCTTTGACACATTCCCCATTTCCATTCTCAATTTTATTCTAAATTGAGGCAGACATGTACCTTTAACACGATTAGAATATTGAAGACACAAATAGCTTTATAGCTTACCATGGCTCAATTTTGTGTTCAATACTAGTACTTCAACATTTAAAAAAAAAAAAAAATCTTCACTTACATTGGAAATGTAACAATAAAGGTACATGAAATGATGCAGAACTACCTTAAGTTTACTTTATTAGGTTCTCAAATCTTTTGTTTGTTTCCCTGATGAACTGGTCTTGTAATAAGCCTAGGCTTTATACTCATTGTTTACTCATAGATCTATAATCTAATTAAACAATATTTGCTTTAAAGAAGAGAAAACAAAAATTTTAAATACAGTCATGACAGCTTAAAAAGATATTTTAGTTTGTTTTGTTTATAAATTTGTTCAGAAAAGCTTCAACATGCTCTGTTCCAAATGAAAAATTATAGGGGGAATTTGATGCATTAGAATTGGGAGACTAATATGTGTAATTAGAGGTGATATTGCAACAGAAACATTTCTAGGGGCAATAGGTTACTCAACCCTTGTTTGAAAGAGGGGATTTAAATAAAGCTTTATTTGGTCTGTGTAATAACAGATATATATTCAAATATGTAAGTTTTATTTTTTTTATAAAATGTAGATTTCCTTTTATGTCTCTATAAATGTTAAGAAAATACAAAAAAATATAACATGCTGTCCAGTCTAGCATCACAATAAAATGAATAAATGTTGCAATCACATCATGAAAAGGCCACTTTTGTGTACTTTTGTTAAGATAGAAGATTTTGGTTGATCTTCAAATCATGGTTCACTTTCTCACAAAATATTTAAGAGCATGAACCAACTAAATAACTTAATTCAGTCATGTATGTCTATATGAACAGCTCCTCTCTTATAAATATTTACATGGCGTTATTTTAGAATAAATATTTAAGTATCCCATTTTTCTACCTTGACATCTTCATCATGTTCATATTCTTAATATTTAAAAAGAACTTACAGATTTTAATGTAAAATATAAATGATTTTGTAGCGATTAAGTTTTTAGTTCAAACAAAACCCTTAACACAGCTTTTGTTCCTATATATGAATTTTTAGAGAGTATGTTGTCACACTGTATCTACTGAAAATTTTTGATATATGATATGATTATCGTACTAAATGATTACATACATCTTTACAGTCATCAGTATGACAATTTCTAGAAGTAATAAGTACAATGTGGAAAAGCTAGTTTTGCTTGGCTTCTTGAATCATAGTTTCAGCAAATATGATCAAAAGAACTCTCCTTACTACTTATTGATACCTTCAGTATATACCCCTCATTTTCTTATATTGGTTGTGGACTGTTATCTTTTTCCTGCATGAAGTGATATTTTTGTATCACAATGTATGGTGATGTGAATAAATGATTAGAAAAATGTGTTAATGCAACATTTCCAATGGCTATTCGTTAGGTGTATGAGGACTCAAAGGTCACAATGGACCCTTGGTATCAGAGATTTGTGATTTTCAATACACTCACATGCTCACCTGGAAATAATCTTTATGTCAAATTTGATTGCATAAGGAAGCATATTAAAAGCTTGAAAATATCTCATTGAATAGTAGTCTTAGTTCCTGACACAATTTTCTCAATTCCTTTGGCAGACTTATATTTGAAGCGACATTTGCGAAATCCGAAGTCTCTTTTACCATGGGAGAAAAAAGTTTAACAACTTAAAAAAGCCAAAGGCTCATTTATTATTATATTGAAATTAAATAACTCAAGTTGATATCAAGTGATATCAAATTCTCACTCATAATGATACCATAGTTATCATTGTAGGTTAATTTATTAATAAAAGATATCTGTATTTTTTCCTTTATAGGGAGGTTACAGAATAGCGTTATTAGATCATAATGAACAAGAGGTCCAGGTGTTTACATCAACACAAAATGGCCGTTATACTGGTGCAAATGATCCAACGTAAGTAAATAAATGTTTTTAAGGTTGAAGACTATTTGAAAATGTTAAGTATTTTTTTTTTATAAAGTATATATTATAATACATTGTACTGTTATTAAATATATAGCATTTCATTGTTTCCCCCTTGCATGTTTAAACATTTTGGCTGAAAATTATACTAAACATTAATTTTCCATGCTTGTAAATAAACCAACTAGAAATTTTGTATGTAACTGTGGAGCATAATTTTCCTTCCATTACCACTGCATCATCAAACCAGAACCCTATGCCCATTAAGCTATTCCTCTGACAATGGAACTTACAAAGTTCCCCAAGAACGTAGCTAAGAATTTGCAATTATAAATCTAGGAATTTAGGATCAAGTGAAGGGAAGCACCAATACATTGTAATGATATATTGACTTATTATTTCAACAGTATCTCATCACAGAAGAATTTTAAAAGCAATGAATAACAAACCATATGTGGTTTTGGACCTTATACGACAGTTATCTAATAATACATGACATTATGTGCAATGGTTTTTTACTTACCAAACTATTTGTATGCTAAAGAGTAAAAATATTTAATAGTTAAACATCCAAATTAAATAAAGTCATGGGAACCTTTTACCTCCGTATTTAATGTGTGGTTTGTTTAAGACAATTTTCTTCTTTTTGTTTGCAGAATTTTAAGTCATCAAATAACTTTACCGAATACAGAATGTCGCAACTGTTCCATTCAGCTGATAAGACAGGCTGGAGAATGGACAACAGGGAACTGTGGAGATTATATCTTCTATTCCTGTGCAGACGTCAATATACTACCATGTAAGTTGTCTCTGTCAACATGGTCAAGTTCTTTTTGTTAAAATTGGTAAATGCACAAAACTAACTGTCAGATGGTTGAAGTTCTGTAAAAGCAATGCTATTGCTCATCCCTTTGTCTTTTCTTTACTGATTAGATTTGTACTGATGAAATGGCAAACAATGGATTCACATTGAACCATTAGATTCATATTGAACCTGGTTACATAGATTCACTGTGAACCCTTTAGTAAATCATGTCTTCCTCTTTACTTGACTAACAATACTTAGTAACTAACTATATACATTTGGAGGTACTAATGTCACTGCCTAGTATAAGACTGTAATTCTCTGAAAAGGAGATCTTAAAATAAATGCAAACTTGATGTGCAACTTATATACAAATGAAAAAAAAATTTCTCCATACTACAGGTATGAGGAAAACAGAAAAAAACTCTGAAAAGATCCATAAATGGAAACAAGAGAATCTGGTTTATCAATTCATGATACAAAATCCCAAAGTGCACAAGAAAATAAAGCAAGGATCACCTGCTTAAGTGAATTTGAGATGAACTTATGTTTACGTATAATAGCTAAATATTTGGAGTACATTAAAAACCAAATTACACATTGCAACTATTTATTGAATATAAACAAAATGTCTTACGATACAGCCCTTTCTTTTGTTATACCATCAGTTGTACACTCATAAATGGCTGTCCCTGTATGATACAAAAAATAATCAGTATTTGCTTTTATTTCTTTTTTTTCTATTTTAAAGGAAACAAGATTCACATATGTTTTGGATGGTATTGGGGTTACATTTTATTTAAACTGCAGTCTGACATAACAGTTTGACAATTATTCAAGATAGTTCCATATATGTAGTGAATGACATAATTGTCTATGAATAAGTCATATCCCCGGTTTTAATCTTTGATTATTTATATCAATAACTTCAGGAAAAAAAAAATCAATTCCAAGATTTTGGATGCACAATCAATTGTTTTGTAATAATCTATTATCATCTCCAAATCTAGAATATAAAAGATTATTTGTGTTCTTGTAAATGTACAAGAAAATCTGTACATAATTTACATTAAGAAATAGTGAAATAATATTTTAAATACGGTTTTAAACTAGTTAATTAATGTCTATTTCAAAATGTTTAAGACACATAATGTTTTACTGAATAATTTTTACTTTGATTGTTAAAGTCTTTTTATTTTAAAGGAATGATTTGATGGATAGTTCTTATACTTGGTTGCGATTTACTATAGGAAGAAAAGTCTTCCATTTTTTCATTAATATATTATGAGAAATGCTAAATTCAAAGTCAATGTCAATGTTAATAAATGGACAACAATTATCTTTTTTGGCTTTCTCATCCTGAAAACTGTCAAGGAACATCAGAACATTATTAATTTAAGTTCAAATGTACTGTTTATTTACATGGAAAAAAGATTAATGAAAAGTATTTGTTGGCCTTTTCGAGAGTTGCCTCATTGGCAATAAAACCACACCTTCTTATTTTTTTTACTAATTATTAGAATTTTTCTTTGCCACTCATCCATGTTCTATAAAATGACACGACTTTGTATGATATATTAGTGAAATTTTTCTGTATCATCTGGGTTTTTTAAATTTGAATCACAATTTTTTCTGTACTGTATAAATGGCCCCAAATCGTGACAGCTACTAACAATACTTTAAAAAAAATCCTTTCATTTAAGTAAAAATATATACCTTTATTCCCAGATAATTATTGTACCGTGCCTTTTTTAAATGGATCAACTTCTTTATACTGATTCACGGTTGTCCTAAAAAAGAACTTATGATTGACATGAGATATTTGGTATACATCAATGAGCAACCTATTGTTATAACGACATTGAGAGGTCACCAGAAATTAGCCTTCAGAAATGGACACAGGAGTATGGTATTAGCTCCATAAAGCCCCAGGTTTCTAGACAAGCTGTAAATAATTTCAATAGAGAAAGTTGCATCTGTCAACAGCACAAAATCCTCAAACTATTTTATTTGAAAGTCATTTATTTTTATGCTCTGAATTGCTCTTAACATGAATATTGTAAGAATGAAATATATGAATACACGTATAAGCCAATGTTTAAGTGGCACTGCATTGTTCTAAAAACAAGTCACAAGAAAAAGATATATACAAAGTCTTCAATCAGCACTGGAATATAGTATTAAATGCTACCAAAGGCTGATTTTTTTGTGCAATTGGAACTTAAAAGTAGCTTCCACATTCAGTCATGTAGCTATCAGTGTTTTTTTTAGGAATATAACCCTTAAAAATTTTAAAAAATTGTTTGGCCATGCCCTCTCAGTTATGGTCTAATTGATTTTGAAACTTTTGCTTGGTTTACATGTATTAGTTTGGGATTAGGTTGGTTTATAGGGGAATGGTATGTAGTTGTATAAGCATTAGCACATCTCATTTCCATGGATAATATTTAGTCCTTACCCCTCAGTCATGGTCTATTGACTTTGAACTTTTGCTTACTTTACCTGCGTTAGTTTGTGATTAGGTCAGTTTATGAGGAACCACTAGTCGTAGGTCAATGATATTTGGTATGCAGTTGTATTTGCATTGGCACATCTCATTTTAATGGAGATTGTTTGGCCCCACCCCTCAGTCATGGTCTATTGATTTTGAAAATTTTACTTAGTTTACATGTATTAGTTTGTGATTAGGTCAGTTTATGGGAACTACTAGTGGTAGGTCAATGATATTTGGTATGCATATGTATTAGCATTGGCACATGTCATTTCCATGTAGATTGTTTGGCACTGTACCTTCAGTCAATGGTGCCTTGACTTTGAATATTTTGCATAACTTACAAGTTAAAGTATTGCCATTTTAGTTTCAACATTTGCATTTTACTATCAAAATAACAAAACGGAGAGACATATCTCGCATATCTCTGTGATAACAGAGATTTTGAAAAGTCAAAGAAATTTTATAAAAATCCTCATTTTGACAGAATTATTTTTTCAAAATTTTACTCATTTCAATCACTTTTTAAAAAGATATATGTAATAGAAATTTTCACTCCAAAGAAATTAATGGAGTTGGTGTGTTTTTTTATTGTTTAGTATACTTTAAAGTAGTCAAGAATCCAAAATAGAGATTAGAGTGGATAAAATTCATTATATATATAAGCAGATTAGTTGAAGTTGCTAATGTAAACTTTGACTTGCATCTCAGACTGAGGCATTTCTTTTCCCTTTATCAACTACCAATGTGTGACTGTGTTGTTCTCTTTGTCAATGTGTTGAGCTTGGTAATCAAACTACTGTTGATTCATTTATTATTATGATTACCAATTTTCATGGATTGAGGAAAATTTGTATTTTCGTGGATATTTGAATTCGTGGTTTTGTCTGGGCTTGCATTACAAGCCTATAGAAAATTTGTACTTTCAATTTTTGAACATCTAAATTTCATGGTTTATCTTTACCCATGAAATTGATGAAAATTAGTTTTCCACGAATGATAATGAATCCACAGAATCCCAATTGATGGTGTGTTATATATGTTTCTTCATAGGAATCTTTAGCAGTTTTTATGCTCCACCTACTATAGTAGTTGGGCATTATGTTTTTCGTTTTGTGCGTCTGTTCATTCGTCCATCTGTTCGTCCGTCTGTCCCGCTTCAGGTTTAAAGTTTTTGGTCAAGGTAGTTTTTGATGAAGTTGAAGTCCAATCAACTTGAAACTTAGTACACATGATCTTTCTAATTTTAATGCCAAATTAGAGTTTTGACCCCAATTTCACGGTCCACTGAACATAGAAAATGATAGTGCGAGTGGGGCATCCGTGTACTATGGAAACATTCTTGTTAAGGTATGTTTTATTCTAGATAAACTATGGTCAGTATATTTACATTGTGATTATAAATTTTATTTGTGGAAAAGTTTAGAACAAATATGTCTACATAAGTCATTTTGGTACATGTTAAATAACTGCAATGATTTATTTCAGCAAATGTACCAAATAGGCGGTGTGGTAGTCATACTGACATGGGTAGTATGTGTATGTGTAATAGGACTTACTCTGGAAAACAGTGTACTTTTAAAGGTCAGTAGTTTTTTACCAACTAGTTGTCTTGTTATTTAAATACTTTTTATTATGCTACTTTGTGTCACATTCAGCTTTCAACTTTGTTTTTAATGAAAAATACAGATTCATTGTGTATATTTTATTAAAACTTTTTGTTTTGTTTTTGTTGATGTCATTTTATACCTAAATCAATGTCCTACAAAGTTTGAATCAATGTGTTGACAAATTGTTTAAATCTTTATGACTGAATGAAAATAAAAAGCCCTTTTGGCCTGGTTTCAATGTTGGTAATACATGCAGTATATTTTCACTATTGCCCAGATTTTAGGGTAAAAAGTATACACAGTATACATGGAGGAATGTGAGATTCATTATGTTAGGAATATACTTATTAATATTATACAACTCGTATGTTGGCTTGTAGTAAACCCCAAACTTGGTCAAATTTGAGGGTGCTTCACCAAAAAAAGTTATACTTTAAAAATAAACATAAATTATACTTTAGCCAGCAACACATCTTGGCTTACTTCATTGATTTTCCCTGGTTAAAGTCAGGACAATAGATGTGTACAACCTCATTATAATATTACATGTATATAAGCCATCAAACTTTGTTATACAACCAGGTCATGTCAGATTATTTTTACAAAATGAATTGTTCTGAGTAAATGGATGATACTGAAGTGAAGAAAAGCGTCAAAATCCTTTTTTATGGCCTGCCTAGGATAGAAGTGAGGGAGGTTATTATTTCTGTCCTTTCCACCATATCTCTCCTGTATCCGGTTACTCTTTGGTTTAACATTATCTTATTACCATGAACTTGTAGTCATATCAATTTGAAACTTTGTACAAATATTCATTAATGTGAACTTTTTTAAATCTATGCCAAATTAGGGTTTTACCCAGATTTTACGGTTTACTGTTAAGATCAAAGTTATGGTTTAAGTTAGGTTAAATTATTATCCCACGTTGTTGTGTAGGGTATAATGTTTTTGACCCTTCCCTCAGTATGTCCATCAGTCCTGTTCTTGTCATCTCAACTCTGAAACTACAATACAGAATTTCATGAAACATTGTAGATAATAAGGACATACTATGTAGATGTGCATATTGACAGGAAATTATGATTAATTGTTTTTTCTAGGAGTTATGCCCTTTGAACTTAGAATTTTGGCATAAATATACTATTGCAACAGGCTGTCATTGCAACTCCTCTGAAACCACTCATCAAAATTTCATAAAACTTTATATGTAATAAGAACATATTATGTAGATGAGTGATAGAACAGGAAATTATAATTCATTGGTTTATCTACGAGTAATGCCCCTTTGAACTTGACCATCATGTACTACCGCAACAATTTGTCAGTGCAATTTTTCTGAAACCAAACAATAGAATTTCATTTAACTTTGTAGATAGTAAGGACATAATATGCAGATGTGCATATCCACAAGAATTTTTATCAGTTGACTATTGTAGGAATTATGGGTTTAGGAATCTGGTGAGATTTTGTTTGCCCAGTTACATTTGCCCAGTGACAATGTGGGGCCTGGGGTATGTGAGCCTGCTCACAAAGGTTCTTTCATTGATAAAGGTAGTTTACTATGAAATTGTACTAACATCAATTTGAAACTTAGTACTTATGTTCATTATCATGTATGGTGTGAATTTTTCATGATATATATCAATTGAGGTTCTGAACCCAGATTTTGTGGTAAACTGAACATGGCGATGTGATAGGGACACTACCCTATAACATTTTGTGAAAGTTTTAGGTTATGCACCGTTAAAGTCTAGTTATTATTATTTATAGAGGATTGTTTGACCAATGAAGACTGTCACAACCATGGAGTTTGTACTCAACTGGACACAACATTTTATCCCAGACAACAGTGTTTCTGTGATAGAGGATGGCACGGCAGACATTGTCAGCATAGTAAGTTTAGTTGATAACTTCTCAAAGGCTGATTTCACATTATGCCTTACGTTTAGCATTTCAGCTGTGCCCTGTCAAACAATATAAATTAAGGGATGATCTTTATTAGTGCACAATAGTGAGTAGATTGATATCCATGTAAAAAGAGGTCAGTGGACAAACTATATAACTTATTTAGGAAATCAGTGTACTTTAACAGGTTAAATTTACTTATGCTATTTACTCCCAAAATTTCAGATTAACATCTCACATCAGTTTTTAGGTTATTGATCACACCAAAGTAGGATATACAAAAATTATATTTTATTTTCCTTCTATCATGGACCTTTTATGGTATACCCTTGTCGGTCTTTTCTTTGCTTTGTTGAGTCTTAACAAACTTTTACACATTGATCGTGACAAGCACTTATTGTTTTGTCTGCAACGAAAGTCGCAGGAGGCGAGACATATTAGGTGTTGCTTTTCATGTGGGGGCCAAGGTTACGGCGTCAAAAATTGTTAAGTTTTCTGCTTAAGTCAGTTTGATAGGAACAGTGACGTTTTCTATAAAGTTGCATTACTATCAGTATTTATCAGTTTGACAACTATTTCGATGTCCTGATTCTTAGGTCACAGTCCAGTGACTTTCAATAATAAGCAATTTTCAATGCTAAGTTTTCTGCTTAAGTTAGTTTGATAGGAACTACTTGTGATACATCAATGATATTTTCTATGAAGTTGCATTACTATCGGGACTATTTCCAGGCCCTGCCCCCCGAGGTCGTGGTCCAGCAACTTCGAATTAATTAGCAATGTTGCTGTCCATCAGATTGTCTTTTTCTGAATTTTCTGCCGATAGGCAATACATACCTCTGTGTCAACAGTTTATGTATATTAATGAGCCTCCGATTAATTGTTCCAGAGTCACTTAATTTTAAATCTTTTTATTCAAATTTCCTCTTTTATACAATATCCTAAGCAACCCAGGGAAGCAGACTTAGAGAGCCCTGTGTTAGAACATTCTGCATTTGTCCAGGGGAACAAATTTTTAAAAATCACAATTAAATTTAACTCCAATATTTCACCTATTTCTTACACATTTGACACAGATCATGTAGATACAAAATCAATTATCTAATTTAAAGACTTTAATCGTTAATATTGATATTTCTCATAATAACTTGTTAACTTTATTGGGTGTTTACTCAGTATCTACTCAATAGTATTTCCGGGTACATCTCATAACTCGTTAACTTTATTGGATGTTTACTCAGTATCTTCTCAATGATATTTCTGGGTACATCTCATGATAACTCGTTAACTTTATTGAATGTTTACTCAGTATCTACTCAATGATATTGCCAGGTACATCTCAATATAACTCGTTAACTTTATTGGATGTTAATTCAGTATCTACTCAATGATATTTCCAGGTACATCTCATGATAACTCGTTTACTTTATTGGATGTTTAATCAGTATCTACTCAATGATATTTCCAGGTTCATCTCATAATAACTCGTTAACTTTATTGGATGTTTACTCAGTATCTACTCAATGATATTTCCAGGGACATCTCATGATAACTCATTAACTTTATTGGATGTTTGATCAGTATCTACTCAATGATATTTCCAGGGACATCTCATGATAACTCATTAACTTTATTGGATGTTTAATCAGTATCTACTCAATGATATTTCAGGGTACATCTCATGATAACTTGTTAACTTTATTGGATGTTTACTCAGTATCTACTCAATGATATTTCCGGAACATCTCATAATAACTAGTTCTCTTTATTGGATGTTTACTCAGTATCTACTCAATGATATTTCCAGGTTCATCTCATGATAACTCGTTAACTTTATTGGATGTTTACTCAGTATCTACTCAATGATATTTCCAGGGACATCTCATGATAACTCATTAACTTTATTGGATGTTTGATCAGTATCTACTCAATGATATTTCCAGGGACATCTCATGATAACTCATTAACTTTATTGGATGTTTAATCAGTATCTACTCAATGATATTTCAGGGTACATCTCATGATAACTTGTTAACTTTATTGGATGTTTACTCAGTATCTACTCAATGATATTTCCGGAACATCTCATAATAACTAGTTCTCTTTATTGGATGTTTACTCAGTATCTACTCAATGATATTTCCAGGTTCATCTCATGATAACTCGTTAACTTTATTGGATGTTTACTCAGTATTTACTCAATGATATTTCCAGGTACATCTCATGATAACTCATTAACTTTATTGAATGTTTACTCAGTATCTACTCAATGATATTTCCAGGTACATCTCATGATAACTTATTAACTTTATTGAATGTTTACTCAGTATCTACTCAATGATATTTCCAGGTTCATCTCATGATAACTCTTTAACTTTATTGGATGTTTACTCAGTATTTACTCAATGATATTTCCAGGTACATCTCATGATAACTCATTAACTTTATTGGATGTTTACTCAGTATCTACTCAATGATATTTCCGGAACATCACATAATAACTAGTTCTCTTTATTGGATGTTTACTCAGTATCTACTCAATGATATTTCCAGGTACATCTCATGATAACTCGTTAACTTTATTGGATGTTTACTCAGTATCTACTCAATGATATTTCCAGGTACATCTCATGATAACTTGTTAACTTTATTGGGTGTTTACTCAGTATCTACTCAATAGTATTTCTGGGTACATCTCATAATAACTCGTTAACTTTATTGGATGTTTAATCAGTATCTACTCAATGATATTTCCTGGGACATCTCATAATAACTCGTTAACTTTATTGGATGTTTACTCAGTATCTACTCAATGATATTTCCAGGGACATCTCATGATAACTCATTAACTTTATTGGATGTTTGATCAGTGTCTACTCAATGATATTTCCAGGTACATCTCATGATAACTTGTTAACTTTATTGGGTGTTTACTCAGTATCTACTCAATGATATTTCAGGGGACATCTCATAATAACTCGTTAACTTTATTGGATGTTTACTCAGTATCTACTCAATGATATTTCCGGAACATCTCATAATAACTAGTTCTCTTTATTGGATGTTTACTCAGTATCTACTCAATGATATTTCCAGGTTCATATCATGATAACTCGTTAACTTTATTGGATGTTTACTCAGTATTTACTTAATGATATTTCCAGGTACATCTCATGATAACTCATTAACTTTATTGAATGTTTACTCAGTATCTACTCAATGATATTTCCAGGTACATCTCATGATAATTTATTAACTTTATTGAATGTTTACTCAGTATCTACTCAATGATATTTCCAGGTTCATCTCATGATAACTCGTTAACTTTATTGGATGTTTACTCAGTATTTACTCAATGATATTTCCAGGTACATCTCATGATAACTCATTAACTTTATTGGATGTTTACTCAGTATCTACTCAATGATATTTCCGGAACATCACATTATAACTAGTTCTCTTTATTGGATGTTTACTCAGTATCTACTCAATGATATTTCCAGGTACATCTCATGATAACTCGTTAACTTTATTGGATGTTTACTCAGTATCTACTCAATGATATTTCCAGGTACATCTCATGATAACTCATTAACTTTATTGGATGTTTACTCAGTATCTACTCAATGATATTTCCAGGTACATCTCATGATAACTCGTTAACTTAACTTATTGGATGTTTACTCAGTATTTACTCAATGATATTTCCGGGTACATCTCATGATAACTAGTTAACTTTATTGGATGTTTACTCAGTATCTACTCAATGATATTTCCGGGTACATCTCATGATAACTTGTTAATTTTATTGGATGTTTACTCAGTATTTACTCAATGGTTTGTTCCATAAAGAAAACATTCCTACAAATTGTGATGATTTTTCTAATTGTCATTCCAAAGTTATGAAACTTTTACCTGAAAAATAGACAATTTCTTGTTTGTCTTGCACAGTTTTCTGTTACCAAATTCTCTGAAATTTATTACTATCTTGCAACCAATGAAATTTGCCTTCATCTCAGATTCTCTCAACTTTTAATATTTTAGATATGTTTGTATGTTACTGGTATCTATGTTTGTATGTTACTGGTATCTATGTTTGTATGTTACTGGCATCTATGTTTTAACTAAACAAATTACTTTTTCTTTTTAAAGTAATTTTGTAAATCCTTGATAGACTCTAAAATTGCTTTAAAGAGAACATTCTTTAAGGCTGATAAGTCCTGGTTTGATGCAACACAGAGCGTTGGCAAGAAGTAAATCAGTAGTTGATTTTGTTTGCTTCATGTCCAATGGCAAATATGTCATACATATATAGGATGATATTTATAGCTTTTATATAATATCATTATACTCGTACTGGAATACAAGTTTGTGTGAAGTTTGAATACCATATTATGCAAACCAAATATCACATGTAATTTAGTTGGACAATAATTATTTCTATTCATAGACCAATATTGCAGTAAGTCATCTCTACTTCTTTACATCAAACTAATTTCAGAGTCAATTAAAGATTTAGAAAATGACTAATTAAATTCTTCTTTTTATATCAAATGATACCTCTTTTTCAGGATCTGCTGTTGCTGAGAAGATTACAGATTTTTCAAGTTATAAAAAGACAGAGCTTTCACCAGAATTCAATCTCTTCCATAAAATTCTTCCAGTAAGTACAAAATAATTGATGTTAGCGTATAAAATTTAAAATTATGTAAAATACATTGTCATTTATTCTTTGTTTTTTGAAATTCAATAACATTACTGTAAAATGTGGTGAACAAGTAATATATATATATATAAATGTAGATATTGAAGGAAACAGCAAAGAAGTAGGTTCACAATTGAACATTACAATGATATACAGAATACCTTAAAACTGTCCATTTTATCTTAATTTCTTTGGCAGTTTAGATTTTTCTGCCCAACTTATAATAGAAGAGGTATATTGTTTTCCTGTCTGTGCCTCTGTCCATATGATAGTCTACCACTTTTCTGTCCCTCTGTCTGTTCTTTCTTCCCATTATCAAATTAAAGAATCTGTTTAAGGTAGTTACATCAACATGATACTTAGTTTACAAGCTTATTATGATGTAAACTTTTTAGAATATATCCAAAATAATGATTTAGATTAAGGTTTCCCTGTTCACTGAACAACAAAATGTCATTGTATGACGGACAGCGATTGACTTGTTAATTTTAAGTTTTGGGTAAAAAACTTATGAAAGCATAATGTTACTTCACCAGAGAATTTATCAAGGTATAAACTATCCAAAGTAGAGGTTGGATTGATAGTGTGACTGATCCTGCAATCAAGGATAAACTTCATGTTCAAGGTGGATTCATTTGAATACTGTGAACAAAACAATGATCTACCTTGTGTATGTATAAAGGATAGTTTGACCATGAAATTATGCTTCTGTAGTTAAAGAAGAAGTTTTGTTACATTTCAGATTTATTAATTTCAATGTAAGGCAGATATCATATCACAATTTAACTTTACTACCAAATACTCCAAGATACAACGTATACGAAATGTTCAAATGTGGTTTAATGTTAATCAGATTCTACACAAGAATTATGAGCTATCAAAAATGTACCGTAAGGCTTAACCCAATCTATTTTTGTTCCAAAATGCCAGAAAATCTTGAGCTGATTTTTGTCAAATATTTCGCAGAAGGGAGACATAGTGATCCTCAATTCCGTCGTCGGCTTCGTCAACATTTAGGTTCAGTCTGTGGTTAAAGTTTTTTAAGACTTCAATAACTTTGTCAAACCTACATGGAATTTTATGAAATTTGGACAGAAACTTGTTTATGACCAAAATACAGTATCCAGGGCAAAATTTTGAAAATATTTTTTTCATTTTTCCGTGTTTTACTGATACATGGACTTAGTTTTTTAGCTCACCTGGCCCACAGGGCCAAGTGAGCTTTTCTCATCACTTGTCGTCCGTCGTCTGTCGTCGTCCGTCGTTAACTTTTACAAAAATCTTCTCCTCTGAAACTACTTGGCCAAATAGAATCAAACTTGGCCACAATCATAATTAGGATATTTAGTTTAAAAAATATGTTCAATGACCCCGCCTGCCAACCAACATGGCCGACATGGCTTAAAATAGAACATAGGGGTGAAATGCAGTTTTTGGCTTATATCTCTGAAACTAAAGCATTAAGAGCAAATCTGACAGAGGTAAAAATGTTCATCAGGTTAAGATCTATCTGCCCTGAAATTTTCGGACGAATCAGACAACCCGTTGTTGGATTCAGTTGCTGCCCCTGAATTGGTAATTTTAAGGAAATTTTGCAGTTTTTGGTAATTACCTTGAATATTATTATAGATAGAGATAAACTGTAAACAGCAATAATGTTCAGCAAAGTAAGATCTACAAATAAGTTAACATGACCAAAATTGTCAATTGACCCCTTAAAGAGTAATTGCCCTTTATAGTAAACTTTTAACAATTTTTCGTAATCAAAAATCTTCTCCTCTGAAACTACTGGGCCAAATAAAATCAAACTTGGCCACAATCATCATTAGGTATTTAGTTTAGAAAATGTGTCCTGCCAACAAAGATGGCGACATGGCTAAAAATAGAACATATGGGGTAAAATGCAAGTTTTGTCTATTATTCTGATAACAGTTATAATTAGAGGAAATCTGAAAAGGGTAAAATTGTTCAGAATGTTGAGCTCTACCAATTGTCCGTATACGTCAAAACTGTCAGACGATTTCCTTTAGGAGTTATTGCCCTTAAATGACAAATTTTACCACTTTTTTTTTATTTTTGCCTATTATCTTGATAACTATAATGGATAAAGAGAAACTTTAAATTGCAAAATGATCAAAAGGACAAGTTGTACAAATAAGTCTTATGGTTGAAATCGTCAGTTGACTCCTTATTAGAGTTATTGCCATTTGATGATGATTTGTACAATTTTTTTGCGTTTTTGTCTTATATTTTAAAACTTATAATAGATAGAAAGAAATTTAAATAAACAAAAATGACCAGCAAGACAAGATCTACTATTAAGACAAATGGTAGAAATTGTCTGACGACTCCTATTGGAGTTGTCACCTTTAATGGCGATTTTTACCTTTTTTTTTCGTTTTGCCTTATATGATAAAAATTATAATAGATGGATAGAAACTTAAATAATAAAAAAAAAAATGAAAAGCAAGACAAGACCTACTAACAAGTCAAATTTTGCCGATATAATTAGTAGACTGTTACTCTTTATAGTAGTTATTGCCCTTAAATTAGGATTTTTTTTTACCCTCTCTTTTGCGTTTGAAGCAAAAGCTAAATAAGATAGAGAGAAACTAAACAGACTTCAATGATCAGCAATATAAGATAAAAAAACCCAAAGATTTGTGTCATTAATTCTATTCTCGTCTACAATGTTGGAGAGTGTCCTTTGTTGAATATGCATATAGACCAGGATGAGCGACACTCTTTCGAGCCTCTAGTTATAGTTAACAAGTAAATACAGTATGAGGTTCAAGTTTTTCAGTCATCAATAACTTTGTCAAGCCTTAATGGAATTTTATGAAATTTGAACAGAAGCTTATTTATGACCAAAATACAGTATTCGGTGCAATATTTTGAAAATATCTATTTTCATTTTTCAGTATTTAACTGACAAATGGACTTAGTTTTTAGCTCACCGGGGCCCGAAGGGCCCCATGTCAGCTTATGCCATCACTTGGCGTCCATCGTCTGTCGTCGTCGTCTGTCGTCGTAAACTATTTCAAAAATCTTCTCCTCTGAAACTACTGGGCCAAATATCTTCAAACTAAATGTTCCTTAGGGTATCTAGTTTATAAATTGTATCGGAAGTTTTGATCCATCGACAAACATGGCCGCCATGGCTAAAAATAGAACATAGGGGTCAAATGCAGTTTTTGGCTTATATCTCAAAAACTAACGCTTTTAGATCAAATCTGACATGGGGTAAAATTGTTCAGTTGGTCAAGATCTATCAGCTCTGAAATTCAGACGAATCAAACAACCCATTGTTGGGTTGCTGCCACCGAATTGGTAGTTTTAACAAAATTTTGCAGTTTTTTGTTATTATTTTGAATATTATTATAGATATATATAAACTGTAAGCAGCAATAATGTTCAGCAAAGTAAGATCTACAAAAAAGTTAATATGACCATAATTGTCAATTGACCCCTTAAGGAGTTATTGCCCTTTAAAGACAATTTTACACAATTTGTTCATCAAGTTTGCTAACATTTAAAAATCTTCTCCTCTGAAACTACTGGGCCAATTACCTTCAAACTTTAACTAAATGTTCCTTAGGGTATCTTGTTTATAAATTGTATCCGAAGTTTGTATCCATTGACAAACATGGCCGCCATGGCTAAAAATAGAACATAAGGGTCAAATGCAGTTTTTGGCTTATATCTCAAAAACTAAATCTTTTAGAGCAAATGTGACATAGGGTAAAATTGTTCAGTTGGTCAAGATCTATCAGCTCTGAAATTTTCAGACGAATCAAACAACCCATTGGTGGTGTTGCTGCCACCGAATTGGTAGTTTTAACAAAATTTTGCAGTTTTTTGTTATTATTTTGAATATTATTATAGATATATATAAACTGTAAGCAGCAATAATGTTCAGCAAAGTAAGATCTACAAAAAAGTTAATATGACCAAAATTGTCAATTGACCCCTTAAGGAGTTATTGCCCTTTAAAGACAATTTTACACAATTTGTTCATCAAGTTTGCTAACATTTAAAAATCTTCTCCTCTGAAATGCAGATGAGCGATTCAGGCTCTTGAGAGCCTCTTGTTTTTTAACTTTTTACAAATAAATTCAGTCTGGGGTTAAACTTTGTTACACATCAATTACTTTATCAAACTACATAGAATTTTCTTAAACTTTGGCAGAAGCTTTTTTATGAATAAGAGATAATGTCTAAAGCAAAGTTTTGAAAATATATTTTTTTTCATTTTCAGTATTTTCTGATAGAAGGACTTATTTTTTACAGCTAACATTTACAGACAGTCTGGGATTAATCTTTTTTGACATCATAAATTTGTAAACCTTCAATGATTGTTATGAAGCTTGGGCAGGAGCTAATCTTCAAGACCATGAAATAGCATCTAAAGAAAAAGTTTGAATATTTTTTTAAATTCTGTATTTTACTGATAAATGGACTCACTTTTTAAGTCAACATTACACTTTTACACTGACAGCAGCAATCGCAGACGAGACACAATGTTCCGTGGAAACCCTTACTAATTTACTTTATACATTAGTGTATAATGATGACTTTTGGTATTGAGTTCCAGTTGACCAAATTTTCTCAGAATTGAACTGAGAATTTTATTTAAGGTGATCAATACCTCAATATCCATTGTCTTGGTTGACTGACTTTCCCGGCATTTAATAAATAATTAATGAATTTTAGAGTTTCCCCATATAAGTTTCACTTAAAAGGATATATACACCTCAGCTTTCATATGGATTTTCAGAAATGTACAATTAACATTTCCTGGAAATGTACATTTTACAATTAGGTTGCAAGTGGAGCATTCATTGTTTATAACTTTTCATAATTGTGATTTTGACTGCTCTTTTAAATAATATTGTATACAAGAAAAACTATTGAGAGAGAGAGAGAGCTAGACTGCTTTCAGTGAGGTACATTATCTTAAATTTTTAACTATTTCAAAGGGCAAGGTTAAAGGTACATAATGGGGCTTTTTTTTGCCTTGTAGATTCACCGAAATTAAAACACTGCCTGATGTCATTACTAATCACATTTTTAAGCTTCAACAGAAAGGCTTTTCAGAAAATGTGAATATAAGCCAAGCCTTGATGACACAATTTGACTGCATCATCTTTAAAGCGATGTCGCAAACAATATTTGTCTGATTTTAGCAAAAATGGGATAAATTGAAAGAGCATTTTGGCTGAATTGAAGTGGGGCACAAGTGTTGTCTAAAATGATTTTTGCTTGTGTATAGATAAAAACAAATAAAATTGTTGCTGTTTAAATACCTTTTTGTGTGGCAGTTGTGTTCTATTACAGTACATACATTCAATATTCAATTCTTAAATTCCCAGAAAGCTTTAAACATTTTTGATTTTAGGACAAATTTATCCCAAATCATATCTTTTCTTTTAACTGTTTTGAGAGTGGAGAAATATTGCATCCTTAGAGATGCAATAATGGAATCTGTTTCTCTTGTTATTTTAGATTATATGTAAGCCACTTTTACTTTCTTTTTCAAAAAAATATTTTGTTCTTTCTGTGGGGTGATCTCAAGCATGATTACTTTTTTTTCTTGATGTCAGGATAGCTAAAATAAGGACAGCAATGAAATCTAATGTCATTATTGAATTTGGACAAATGAAGAATTCAGAATGTTCAAGCAAACCTCATTGATTAAAAAAAAAACGTAAAAAACCAAGTGGTCACTTAAGAGTTTAAATCAGCTCCAAATAATTTTAAAATCCCTTTTAGCTGACTATTGCTTTGTTTTAGAATGATGAAATAGAAATGGTTATGAGAGTGAAATCTACAACATGGATTGGAATTGGATGGAGACCCAGTAGTAAGTATATTATTTATATTAAACATGCAGTTGAATCATTCAAATGTCTCATGCAGTTTTATTTTAGTTCAAAGTGTTAATGTAGAATTTCCCAGTTCAAACATGAAGGATGTTGGGAGACATCAAGTTTAATCATCTCCAAATTTTACCCTCTGTATATCTTTGTTCAGACATTTGATTTCACATTAAGATAGTTTGAATAAATCAAGAATTCACTCAGAGTAGTAAAATAAAAGAAAGTGTCCATAAGAACACCTTTAATATCTTTTCTTTTTCACCAGTTTGAAAAATACCCAATAGTTCATTTGGGAGTACCAAAAACAGAAAAAAATGAGATGTAAGTTTTGTTTTCACAGGTTGTAATTTAAGGTTATTTTATATTCTTGTGTCATAAGTGGAAATTGCCAATGCATGAAATGATAAATTGCTTCAGATATTCATGCATGGTATGACTAATGTGTAATCTTATGGAAGAAAAATATATTTAGCATATACATGTAGATTACATACAGATCTTCAGATTTATGGGTAACACTTGAATTGTCAAAGTCATAATTAGGGCCCTGGGGGGAAATTTGCATAACTTATTTTTTGTTAAAAATTCACAAATTTGCATTTAGATATCTTTCTGTCCTAGGATTTCAGTCAAAATTGCTTTGAAATAAGCTATTCCAAATTGATTCCAGGTGTCCAAAAATGATTCCTAGTGTTTTTCTATTCTTTTATTAAAATATCACTAATTTTGAGAAAGATCTTTTTGCATTAGGATTTCAAAGAATTGATATACATTTATTCATAAGTAAAATTTACATTCTCAAATTGATATTAACAGATTTCAAAATTCTGGTAAAAAGTTACTGAAAATGAAGCTTTAATATGTTTAAAATTTAGCTAGGATTTCATTAGTAAATTGATATGTAGGTATAATTTTCTGAATTGAATCAAAGTGTCCAAAATTATTGGTCATGTTTTTACAAAACTTTATATTTATTGAGAACACAACTTGAATTATTTTCTATGCCTCACACAATAATGTGGAACTATTGCTTACATGTCAGTTTAATAGTTTGATTTCAAAATGAGTTTGTCTTTAAGCATTTTGTAAATAATTTTTTTATCCATAATTTCATATGAATTGATAATGTGATCCTGGTACTGAAGAAATAGAAATTAAGTCTTCATTTCACTAAGTGCATATGAAAAGTGGCATTTTTTTTTGTGGACAAATTTTGATTAAAATATAAAAGTGCATATTTTTTTCCATGGGAGAAAATTCCTGCTCTTAAGAGGTTCTCTCTACCTGTTTTATCAGATTATTTTTTTGGGTAACACAAAGGAACACATGCACTTATCATATCTACAAAAAAAAGTCAACATCTTGTGTTCTCTCAGTTCCTATTTAATCACTGCCTGGATTGGAAGACAATCTAAAGTACCTAATGGTATAGTGCACCTATTATATTTTGTTTTAGTCTATATGGTTCTTACAGTTTTCCATTGCAGCATGGAATTTGCCATATCTTCACCTATATCACTCACTTGAAATAAACTTTCATACAATATTTGATATCTATTGTGCACATCCTGTTTTATTTTTCTGATTTTTGGCAAGTGAATCGATCACCATGAAAAAATATTTGACAGTATCTGTACAGGTTTAAATAGGTTGGGGAAGATCCTCATAAATAGGTACTATCCCCATTTATGGGTATTATAGCCCAAATAGGGTATAAATTTACAGTGTTAAATAATGAATTTTGTGTTACCACATAATGGCTGTTATGGGGCAAAAAATCATATAGATGGTAACATTTTCCCACTTAAAACCATAGTTCAATTACAAAGACAATGGATTAAAAAAAAACCAACTTTTTAAAGAAATATGATAATTGAGTCATGGTGTCTTTGAGCAAAATGTTGTCATTTATCTGAATGTTTGTGCCATGACAACAAATATCTTGAAATCCAAAGTTTATATTTTTTGTCACTGAAATGATACCTATTTTGGGGTATAATACCCATTTATGAGGATCTTCCCCAACCTGTTAAAATGTGAGAGAACAAAACCTGAAATTCATCCATTTATTTATTTGTTGTTAATACCTGGGACTATTATACTAACAGTTAGTATAATAGTTCAAGCTAATACTAGAGTTTTTATTCAGTATGATTTTTCATATTATGAGATATTAGTTAGTCAGTAATTATTTTTGGATAATTTGAGTGCACCAGAACCTGAATTACATAATCCTGGACTTTTACCAAAATTTATTTGTTGATGTAGGTTCAACAAAACAGAGACATGTATTCATTTGTTAAAGGACACACATGATATATCACGACTTTGTGCTAATTTCATGTCATATTCTGAATTTAAACTTGCAAGTCATATAAGTTATGGGGTATGCTTCCTAAATTACAGAGGATTAAGAATAGAATGTATGGTTACTCAGTACACGTTTTGGCTTTGATGTAAGTTTAATATTAGCCTCATACATCAATTGCAAATGTGGCAAGACATTCAATTGAACCCACTTTTTTGCATGTCTATGCAAAGTATTTCTTCAATAAGAGGGGTTCAGAAGTCTTTATGGAAAAGTAACATGTAGTCAAATATTACAGTTAATGTTTTGGACAGGTTTAGGACAAAGGGGATACTTTTTAGTGTTTTGATTTTTTTTCCATAAATTCTAGTCTCAAATAAATTTGAATGTTTTAAATGTCAATTTATTTTTTCATGTCTGTGACTATAGCTTTGAAATTCTAGATTTTCCCATATTTGCCTATATTTACTTATGATTGAAATTTTCACCAAATTCTATAAATTTTATCGTAGGTGATTGATATTCAGCAATTATAAGTTTTAGACTTTGAAAAGAACTGATATTTTCGCCACTTTTATCGACTTACGCAGGATAGATAACTAGGCTTTTCCCCCTAAGTATAAGAATAAGAAATCAGTGATGAAGAAATTGATTTTTTTTTTAATTTTCAATGTTAAAAATGCATTTAATGGTTAACAATTGGAATGTTGAAAAGGCCTTTTGTGAATTTAAAGAAAAGATGTACATATGATAAAGCATATTTTAATTTCAACAGTGCTTAATTTTTAGATGAGTAATATTATACTTTAAATAATAACAATCTTGTTTAAAGATGTTTATTATGTACAGTAATACCTATAAAGAGTAACAACCGTAGAAGAAGTATTTAAAATTCATTCAAATAGTTTATATTTTCACAATAAGAAAATAGTGTGGGAAATCTGATTTACTGTTTAATCTCCTTTTGAACCTGAACTTGTCTGTGTAAAGTTGCATTTTAAAAACATATTGTTGTGTACTGATTGTATTGTACATTCTATTTGGTACCTTTTTTGTGTTCCACTGATTGAAACAAAAATGGGGGATGGTGGTATTGAGATCTTTTTAAAAAAGACTAGTGTTCAATCCAGCTGCCTAATCCTGTGACTGTTCCAAGTTGGGAACATCGTCAGTGGTTATCCTTATATCCATGGGTTTTTTGTCGTTCTGGGCATTAAGTACTGATGGCAGATCCATTTGTAATCTCTGTTCAATTATTTCAGAGCTTTAAAAGACTCAGGGCAATTTAGAATTAGATGCATTGTGTAGACACATGTATATTGTTGAAGACCATATGTTGACCTCTAAAAGTGTTTTGTATTTTTGTGTTTTTGGGTTGCTGTCTCATTGACTTATACCTTTTTATTCATTTTCCTGAATATGCATGTAATATTTTACTTTGAACTTTAAGCAAACAACAATTAACCAATCAATTCTTTATATAAATATTGAATTTGAAATGACCAAATTGGTAGGTTTTATTAAGCTTATTTGGATGCATAGGTTTTTAAAAAAGAATTGTAAATGTTTATTCTAAATGTAAAAGATCCCAAATTATTTATGAAAAATTATATATAACTGAATATTAGATGTCAATTGTATAATCTTGTCTAACTGATTTAAAACACTGATGTACATTTAAAACAATTTTTGAAAACTATGATATTTGTGAAACTAAATAACTGTATGCAAATGCAGCTTATTAGATATTATTTTTTGTTTCCATTTGTTACTATCCCTTCAATATCAAGTACAAAGAGTTTCCATCCATCTGTAACACTATTGTAGCTCCAAACAGCTTCAGTCTTGCATGCAGTCTTTGTAAAACATTTTCAAAGCTTGTCTACAGGACAGATACTATTTGTATAACTCTTTAACAAGTTGCTTTTTAAAAAAAAAAAGTCAATACGTAAACCTTAGAACTTTTTTTATGCTAATTATTATTTCAACTGAATTGTAAATTATATCTCAGTATTTTCATTACCATGTGTGTGGAGGATAATATTTTCTTTTTATTGTAAATCAGGACAATTATGGCATGTTGAGAGTGGTGTTAAATATAAAGTAGGGAGATAAGGAATTTTTTATTTCAATAGTTCATTTCTGGATGGTGTTAGCTTTCATTTTTACCAGTGTGAAAGGTCAAACTACTACCAATGGATGACATTTCTAGGGTGTTTATTGTAAGAGGTAATATTTCAACTAGAATCCCTCAGTAATTTTATATATTTTTCTTTATAAAATACATATTTCAGAGCAAGTACGATATTTTGTTTCATAAAATGTGAAAGTTTTATTCCTACCAAATAAGACAAAACCTACTTGCTTACCATTTTATTTTGTGCCGTAAAATCCCGTTCCACCTTAGAAATGGGTTTGGATCCAGCTAATACATTTAACTTGCTGCTTATACATGTATACTTAACATACCTGTCCAAATCCGGAGCCTGTTTTTTTTGTCGAGCCTGCGACTTTTGTCGCAGAAAGCTCGACATAGGGATAGTGATCCGGCGACGGCGGCGTTAGCCAACTTCTTAAAAGCTTTATATTTTAGAAGGTGGAAGACCTGGATGCTTCATGCTTTGTATATGGATGCCTTATGTTACGAAGTTTCCATCAGTCACATGTCCAATGTCCTTGACCTCATTTTCATGGTTCAGTGACTACTTGAAAAAAAAGTTAACATTTTTTGTAATGTTAAATTCTCTCTTATTATAAGTAGTAGGATAACTATATTTGGTATGTGCGTACCTTGCAAGGTCCTCATGCCCGTCACTTGACCTCAACCTCATTTCATGGATCAGTGAACAAGGTTAAGTTTTGGTGGTCAAGTCCATATCTCAGATACTATAAGCAATAGGTCAAGTATATTAGGTGTATGGAAGGACTGTAAGGTGTACATGTCCAACTGGCAGGTGTCATCTGACCTTGACCTCATTTTCATGGTTCAGTGGTTATAGTTAAGTTTTTGTGTTTTGGTCTGTTTTTCTTATACTATATGCAATAGGTCTACTATATTTGGTGTATGGAATGATTGTAAGGTGTACATGTGTAGCTGGCAGGTGTCATTTGACCTTGACCTCATTTTCATGGTTCAGTGGAAATATCAAGTAATTTTTATTAAAATTGGAGTTATCTTCCTTTGTCCATGATTATAATTGAATCAACTACAGTCAATGCTTTATACAATGCAATGTTTAATTTTGACTTCCACCAATAAAACACAGATCAAGTTGAATTTGGGTAGTATCACTTTAACTATTATTGAGTTATGCCCCTTTATAACTCAAAAGATTGCAAAATTTTTAGTTTCCATTCTGTAACTTAAGTTTGCCCCAACCAAACATTATGAAACCTATACACAATATTCATTACCACAAAACTAAGATCAAGTACAAATTTTTTGTTTCCGTTTTCTAACTTTAGTGCCTCAACCAAATGATATGAAACTTATACACAATGCTTATTACTACATAATACAGATTAAGTTGTGTCCCTTTATAAACATAAAAATTGCTGAATTTTTCATTTCCGTTCTCTAACTTTAGTTTGTCTCAACCAAATGTTATAAAACTTATACACAACCGTTCTAGAGTTATGCGTGTTTACAAATAGAAAAATTGCTGAATTTTAAGTTTCTGTTCTCTACTTAAGTTAGGCTCAACCAAATGTTATGAGACTTACACACAATGCTTATTACCACAAAACTCAGATCAAGTTCAAATTTGGGTAGCGTCACTTTTACTGTTCTTCAGTTATGTCCCTTTATAACTATATGATATGCAAGTGGGGGCATCATCTGTGTCCACATGTGGATACTATCCACATTTATTTTCTAATACTATATGCAATAGGTCAACTATATTTGGTGTATGGAAATATTTTATGATCTATATGTCAGTCGCGCAGGTTTTATTTGACCTTGACCTCATTTTCACAGTTCATTGCTCAGTGTTAAGTTTTTGTGTTTTGGTCTGTTTTTCTTATACTATAAGCAATAGGTCAATATATTTGTTGTATGGAAGAATTGTTAGCTGTACATGTCTGCCTGGCATGGTTCATCTGACCTTGACCTCATTTTCATGGTTCATTGGTCAATGTTTAGTTTTCTTGGTTAATGTTTAGTTTATGTGACAGTTGTAATAAAGCTTTATATTTAGGACTATCAACATAATATCAGTGATTAGTAAAGAAGGCGAGACATTTCAGCGTGTGCACTCTTGTGTTTCCTTATTATCGTGTCTGTTTTTCGTTTTATTTTTGTATAAAAATATTGCCATTGATTTATATCTTGTACAACACTGGTCAATTTGATGTCATTTAGCTCGCTTTGCTAAGACTCAACATTCAACGCCATGTTTATTGAAAAGTTCTCTCATTGGCAAGCATAGTTTACCAAATATTATATAATCATATCAGTCACAGGATAATTCGATTATTATGAAATGTGGTTCCTTAAATCAACATATGTAACAAATCTCAAAACTTTACACTGTTTTTTACTAACTTATGTTTGTTGCCTATAATTCAGAAATTTAACAGTGTTTTGGGATTTTTTGCTTAAAGTTAACTTTTTAAGCATGGGTCCCTTTTCAAAAAAGTCTCCCAACTACTACCTCATATGTGAACTTAAGTATAGGGGAAATTTTGTTCGCTATGTTAAAGAAATCTTCTACTTGCTCTATATTGCATGTGAAGACCATAAAACCGTCATCTCTATATTGACAGTGTAATTTGATGTTTTCTTTCCATTTGAACTTATCTAAGATAAAGACTTGTTGCACAATAAGCATGTGGCAATTGTTTACATACACTTTCTACATTTACACATGATCATGTTATAGTCGCTTTTTGATTGGATGCAGCGAGTTTCAACTGCAACCAATGAAAATCATTACCTTGTGTCTCTGAAATTCTATCTCAATCTGCCAAGGGTGGAGAAGAGGGAAGTAGATCGTAACCCTTGGCTAGCGAAGATGATCTGCCTGCCCTTTCCCTTTAAGAATTTGAAATCTCCCTCTTTGGACCTGTCACCTGAAAGGGAGATCAATTTTAAAGTTTCCCCCTTTGGCATAAAAATCACCCTATCCCCCCCCCCTTATCTTTTGAGTTGTTTTGATGGTATTTTTTTTTTGATTTTCACAATATTGCAAAAACAATGATTATTTGCATAGTAAAAACACATCCTTCAATGGGTCATCAAGAATGATATATTATTTTGACTAATTACATCCATGTATAGGTGATTAAATTTTATCTGTTGTTCTGAAATATTGAAATACTTGGTATCTTATTACACATATTTTCCACTTTACAGTACAGGTGACAAACATAACTAAGAACAATATAGTTTCTGTCTTGTATCCAATCTCCATCAAATATTGTCTTATGTCTTACAAAGGGGAGAGCTTGAAGCTGCTTTGACAAAAAATTAAAAGTCAAAGTCAAACATGACTTAATGTTTGTACAAACTGTAGAGACCAGGGCTTCCAAAATTATTTTTAGCCAGCCGGACATTTTATATATTATCCCGATTTTAATCCCTTAAGACTAAATAAACAAAAGGCAATTATGGTAATCAGTTGCCGAATTCGCCATCCCAATGATTCATTGATTGGCATAAAAAAAACGATATTAAACTTTCTTTGATTCAAATTCGAAGTTCTGACGTAAACTGTTAAATTGACAGTGCGTCATTCGAAGTGTGCAACAATAAATTACATCAGCGTACTTATATTTGCCTTAGACTCTTTATTTGTGCAAAATAACATTGTCAAAAACTTTACTTACGTTTTTAAATCTTATACCGGATGTTATCTTGACAATGGTAAAACATGGACCAGAGACGGATACGTAAATTCCGTGTACATTTGCAAAGCATGAATGAGTGGAAGTAGCTCCTTCTACGTTATTTCTTCAAGAAAATAATCGAAATAAACGTGAGATAAAGGTATCAATGACAATTTAAGCATTTTTTGAAGAATTAGGATGCATAATTAAATTTCACACGTGCGCACATGGGCACACGTGTTCTAGTTCAAACAGAGACATGTCTCTAGTACAAACAACGTGTTTATGACGATGTTTCATTTTCACCTTTTTAATTTTTCATCAAATCATATTTGTAAACGTATTTCTGATAATTTAAATCTTTTTGACTAAATTAATTAGATGCAAAACTCTGAAATGTAAGAAAATAACTTTGAATAGACCGATCAATGTCCGGTTCAAAATAGTTTACCTGTCACCTGAACAGGTAAATTTCGGCTGTTCGACAACTAATTAGCCTTGATTAAAATGAGAAGGTATTAAAGTAGGGGTTGTTTTGATAGTACTTAATGAACATGTCACTTTGATGACCGGAAATATGTGGCTGTTAAAGGCAAAACGTTCGGTCAAAAAGATCGCGAATTATGTTAAAATGACCGTCTCTTAAAGCCTTGAAAACTAAAAAGTAGATTACCGTTTCATGCTTTGCCCAGGCGGACTTTTACCGGACATTATACAAATGTCCGGCATATATGACCGTTTTGGAAGCCTTGGTAGAGACCCAGTTTTACTCCCTTTATGGAGCTTCCATTACAAAAAGAAAATTTGCTTTACCATTCAGATCAATAATTTTATTATATAATCATTAAAAGCACAATTTTTTGTGTAACTCAGTAACTAGTTGTTGTTAAGGAACTGTATAAGTTTTAATCCTCCAACCTAAGATTTGATATATTAAGTTGAAGTTGATATAAATGATACATATCAATGTAGCATGGACATCTTAAATCTGTATTAATTGATTTTCCAATATTGTGATCTGGAGATCAAGCCTGCCTTTCAAAACAATCTTAGGACTAATAATGATTATAAGTACACTAAATTTGTTGAATAGTCTTCAAAACTTTAAATACATTTTACTAGCGTAAGATTTTTTTGTGAAAGCAGCCCTGGACTCTATAACAATGTATAAAGTAAACACAGCATGTATAGAATACTCAGTACAGATTAGCTGTCAAAATAACCTTGTCTGGTTCTTTTTCTATTTTAGGTTTTAGATCTGGATGTCAATATTTTCCACATATTCCTGGAGTGGAACCAAGGCCAACAGCTGGGCCTGGGCCTGAACCTGAGCCATCACGAGAACCTGAACCTGAGCCATCACAAGAACCTGAACCTGAACCGACTTGTGGTGGGAGATGGAAGAACTGTAACAGTGATCAATGTAACTACCATGCTCGGTGGGAATATGATGCTTCTCAAGATGAAATCAAATTTACATTGTCTGCTATGGTTACAGAATCACAGTGGCTGGCCATTGGATTCTCTGATGACAAGACTATGGTAAGACATGAGCATTTAGTTGGTATTTTTTGTGGGTTTTTGTTGTTGTAAAATTTGTCATTCAAAAAAATTAATTTCGAATTCATTATTTAAGACAGACAGTATTTTTATAGAAAAAAACACTTTTCAAAGATTGTGGGACGCACGGTAGATCAAGAACATGAAGAAGTATCTACAAATAAAAAAGATATGAGGAATATGTCACTGAGACAGCAACCCAATGACACACAAAAAAACAGGTATCTATAGGTCATTATATAGGCTTCAACAATAGACAGGTGTCTATACAATACGTCAACTTTAAATTGTCCAGAGTCTAATAATGAAATTTCTATTTTTGAATGTATGGTTTAGTATAATATTTACATATTTCAGTAGACACGGATTATTTCTCTTTAAAAGAACAATTCAGTTGGTATTTAACATATTTTGTTTCCATTTCTTTCAGCCTGCAACTGATGTTTATATGGGATGGATTGACAATGGACAAGCAGTGGTATCTGACCGGTATGAACATGTTCTGTAATCCCTTTTGAACTCAAATCAATGATCTATTTATTCTTTAGTTTTCAGATTAGTTTCATGAATTAAATTATTATAAATAGATGTTGTTTTATACCTTGAGAAATACAATATATATACACAGACGCTTTAAACAGCAACATTGAACAGTAATACAAGATGTACAAAAATGGCAATATGTCTGGAACCTTTTATAAGAGATATTGACCTTTGATGAGGATTTTTGGACAATATCAGTGTTTTTAATGATCATTTTGAAAATTATAATAGATAGATAGAAACTATATACTGCAATATACAAGATGTGCAAAATGACAATACTTCTGAAATCAACAATTAAATTTTTGTAGAGGTTATTTCCCATGATTGAAGAATTTTCAAAATTTTAGTGATTTTGCCTATAATTTTGAAAACTGTAATATATTTATAGACTCAAACTGTAAACAATCAAAATCATCTACAATTCAAGATCTACAAAAAAAGTAAATTATGACTGAAACCATCAATTGACTTCTTGTTAAAATCATTGTCCCTTAATATCAATCCTAGTATTTGACCAATTTATAGTACCTTGCCAGTAAGTTGAAAACTGTTATAGATCGACAGAAACTATAGACAACAAACATTATCATCAATGCACTATATACAAATAAGTCAAATGACCAAAACTAAGTATCATAGATATTTACCTCTGAATTTACTGACCAGATTTAAACCAAACTTGACACAAAAGATCCTCATTGTGTTTTGATTTAATTTTGTGAATTATATTCCAGTCTGTTTAATATAGAACATAGTCTAATGCACATAGTTATCGAACATCTTGAAAAGTGCAGTAGATATGGTAAATCTTAAAGGGGTAAAAATGCTTGAAAAGTCAAGATCTGCAGTATATACACCAAAATTGTCTTACTGGAGTTATTGTCCTTATTAAATGATGACTTTAAACTAATTTTTGCATTTTTGGATAGCTTCTTGAAAAGCAATAATGGAATGAGGAAAACCATAAAGTAAAAAAGTAATAAACAAGCAAATTGAGATCTACAATTTTTTCATTGGTATTTAATTGACCTAATTGTACTTAGAGTTGTTGCATTAATTTAGTTATGCATGTATGTCTCTAAAAATTCTGTAAGCAGACATGTATAATAATGTATTTTTATGAACAGATGGGCCACAGTAAGGTTTACTCCTACAGTAGATTCAACCCAAAATGTCAAAGATGTACAGGGTAGATACACAAATGGTATGGCCACCATCAGTTTTACAAGAAAGAGGAACACTGGTGATAGCACGTTTGATGTTATGTTCAACGACACGTATTGTCCTTATTTCCTGTTTGCCTATGGTGGGAGTTACTCAAAGACAACATTGGGAGATTATAGTGTTACCAGACATTCAGCAAGATATTCTTCTATGGAGCGTATATGTGTCAAGGCTTGTCGTATGTATTTTTCAGAATTTAGAATTATGAGTGACATCATGGTATATTCTATACAATTCCCTTTCTGCATTTTCATTTTACAGATGTGTGTTAGATAATATATTTTTAGTTGTTGAATTCATATGCAAAGTATATTTAGAAACTGTCTGTTTCATTCTCTTAAATAGATGTGAAAAAATAAGTGTTGCTGATAAAAGGGATTGTATTTTCATGAGTGTATAACAGCAAGTGCGGGGGGGGGGGGAGGATATTGTTAAACCTTTGTCCATCCCTTCGTCTGCATATATGGTGCCTGGTTTTTCAAGTTGAACTCTTCTTACAGTTTTTAAACTGGAACCCTCTTTTTTTGCAAAATACTTGTAGAAATATATATTAACAGTTTTTTATTTTCTTATATATTTTTCACATAATTACAGGTTGTTGAATTTTAGTGATTTTTTTTAAAAACATTTTACATGTTCAGCACATGAGTTTGTTTGCCTAATTCCTCTCACAGACCTTTACATTTTGGCAAAATGTTTTTACATATACCAGAGGGGTACAATTTATGGGGATTTTGAATTTAAAATTTTAATTAGAATAGAGAATGGAATGCCCAAGGCCAACAATGGGTCTTCAACGCAGCCAGAAAATCCCGCATCCAGACGTGGGTTTCAGCTGACCCCTTATCAATACTGTATGTTAGTTCAGCGAAATGAACTCCACACTAAACTCCAAAACATACAAATGAACCAAAATTTAAAAGAAAAGAAAAAAATTGTGAAACTTTGCTTATACAACACAGGATTAAGATTGAAACAATGTTAATAAACATTAAAGATAAGTGCTCAAACTTTCTGGTATAAATTAATTAAAATTGTGATTTTGATTTTCAGTAAAGGATCAGGAAATGGTCATATTTGCCAGTCAGGGCCTAATCCGAAAGGCTAATGACTCAAATAATATCTTGGATTTAGGTCATGAAAAAACTATTATAAAGAAATGATTTCTGTCATTTCATTGAGATCAAGTTTTTAGCTCACCTGACCCTTTTTGACCCAAAAGGGTCAAGTGAGCTTTTCTCATCACTTGGCGTCCGTCGTCCGTCATCGTTGATGTCTTCTGTTAACTTTTACAAAAATCTTCTCCTCTGAAACTACTAGGCCAAGTAAAACCAAACTTGGCCTAAATCATCCTTAGGGTATCTAGTTTAAAAATTGTGTCCGATGACCCTGCTATCAACCAAGATGGTCGCCATGGTTAAAAATCGAACATGGGGGTAAAATGCAGTTTTTGGCTTATATCTCTGAAACTAAAGCATTTAGAGCAAATCTGACATGGATAAAAATGTTCATCAGGTCAAGATCTATCTGCCCTGAAATTTTCAGATGCATCAGACAACCTGTTGTTGGGTTGCTGCCCCTGAATTAGTAATTTTAAGGAAATTTTGCAGTTTTTGGTTATTATCTTGAATATTATAATAGATAGAGATAAACTGTAAACAGCAAAAATGTTCAGCAAAGTAAGATCTACAAATAAGTCAACATGATCAAATTGCCAATTGCCCCCTTCAGGAGTTATTGCCTTTTAATGTCAAGTTTTCACAATTTTTCGTTAATTTTTGTAATCTTTTACAAAAATCTTCTCCACTTAATCTACTGGGCCAAATAGAATTAAACTTAGCCACAATTTTCAATAGGGTATCTTGATTGAAAAATGTATCCGATGATCCTGTCATCCAACCAACATGGCCGCCATGGCTAAAAATAGAACATAGGGGTTTACTATAGAATCTAAGGGAAAATTGTAAAAACAAACAATTTCAAATGGTCACAACTTGAAAACTAATTTAAATAATGATAAGGGGTCTTCAGTAACTATTGTAAGACTACAATGGGATGACCTGCTTTTAATTTAACTACTGGGCCAAATTAAACCAAACTTGGCCTCAATCATTATTAGGGTATCTTCCGCCAATACTATTTATTATGATTTTAACCTTATTTTACATGATTTCCAAAATCACAGTAGATACAGGTGAACGACACAGGCTCTTGAGAGCCCCTAGTTTAAATTGCCATTTTTCACTAGTTTTTGTTTGCAATGCTTTTCCAGAAATAAAAGATCGCTAATCACTTTTTACCTGTGTTCACACCAGGGCTTCCAAAACGGTCATATATTCCGGACTTGACCGAAACTTTCATAAAAAGACCGGCTGCTCTCAGCCTCAAACGGTCAAATAGAATTGGTGTGCCACATTTTGTTATTCAAGGCATTTTCATGAAACGGTCATTTCAATTTTTACCAACTATCGATCGATAAAAATGTCCGTTTGGGGCTTTGGGCATGTCCGTTTGGGCATTTTAGTTTATAATTGTGGCAATCTATTTCACAAAGATATTTCGGTCATAATTGGGTTTAATAAAACAGAAGCAGCATATTTCAGATACTTTGAAGTGTCTCAGTTAGTCTAATCCTCTGGGTACATAAATGTACGGCTTGGTCTTTAGCTTGTGTACATCAATAAAAAGTAGAAAAAACACGTTTTCTTTTATTTAAATAACAACAAGCTGTCAAACAATTATCCCTTCAATAAGTTATATTGAAGCCATAAATCATTCACTGATTACAGGTTTGTTACCTTTGATGAGGTGTCCTTAGCTTATCTTTATCAATAGAATTAATGATGCATAACAATGTACATAAAGGTAATCCGGTAAACGAGGTCAAACATGTAAGCGTGTATGGAACAACATCCTATTTAATTACGCTTTATAGATATTATTTTAAATGAGCATTCAGTTTTAAAAGTATCCTGATATTTAAAAGTTATTCTTCAAATAAGGATATTTATAAATGAATAAGTATGATATATATTATTTTATTTAACACTGTGCATCGTGTTAAATACTGGGGTACTCTCAAGGGGAAAATTTACTAAAATATATAGGAAAAACCAATGGACAAATTTCAGTCAATAAATGATTTAACTAAGTTAAATGGTGCCGTGATCACTTCTAAATTATATCAAGAGAACAATGCCTGCTCCGAATTTATTCAGACAATTTCCGATGTTATAGAGAAAGAGGTGATGTCCGACGTAAAGTTAAGTCCCGCCGTGGGAATTATGATCGACTAAGGTGTAGTCTAGGTATTGACGCTTTAGATCAACTTATGAGGATAAGCTTAGTAGGTGTAGATGTTAAAGACTTTGACCCTGTTCCTGCTATCCGCAAATGGCAATCCGTTCGTAACCGCCATGTTTATCAGAACAATGCATTTAGCAAGCTCATGAATGTAAAATCTTTAATTAGACTAAATGAACTCTAATCTTGTGCTGTGATCTGTGCTTCTTTTCAATGTGCTCATTGTAATATTTATTGCGTGTGTTTGTCAGCATTGTGCTCTTCTGACATTTTATTGTTGTTATATGCTTACATAAAATATCATGTTGTTATTCATTAAATTATTTATCAACTGAGTATGTTTTTATTTATTCCTTATTTTCTAAATCAGGTTGGGAAATTGTACAAAGAAAAATGTTATCACTGTTCAGTAGATTTTACACGGTTTAAAACAATATCCTTCATCGGGCCTCCTCAATGTTATCTATAAATACCGCATCAGTTGTAAAAGTCACGTGGTCAGGTAATCAATACACAAAAAGAAAAGTATCACGTGTATTGATGATCAAGTTGTACTGCAATTAAAGCCAACATCAACAGTTTCAAATAAGATGGCCTTAATTTACAAAGTGTTAAGTACTCACAGAGAGAAGATAGATTATATAAACAGAAACAAAAACATGAGAACAGTCAGGTCCTGAAGCTGATTGATGCAATGATGGTTACTGTATTACGATACACAGAAAAATGACACAATACCGAGGATAATATTTTATTTATTTTTAGAATGAAGAAAACAAAACAGTTATAAATAATTTTATTGCATATAACACTTCTAATTATTTAGACACATATATCAATTTATGCATCCTCTCAGTTACATTTAAGTATCCAGCTGATCATTGACCGTCAAAAATATTTCTTTGAAAAATGTCCGGCTGTTGTCAGGAAATTTTGGAAGCCCTGGTTCACACTAGTGATCAAGCTCAGAACTAATATTATAAAGCCATTCTATTCCTGGACAAGTTACTTCATTATTTGATATCTTTACAGCAAAGACTATTGACAATTTTGATTTAAAAATTTAAACTTTTATTCAATTATGTAGAAAAAAGTAATTTTTCATGAGTCAAATTTCAACCATGTAAAACACATGCGTGCAAGTGTCCACACTAGATGAGACACTTAATCATAAAATGCAAAATAATTGCATGCCAAATTAAGCTTTTATTATACTATAAATGGGGAGATTTCTTGCCATTTGATAAATGGAAAGACCATTTTATAATTCTGGAATTATTTGTAATTTATGATTTACTTGAAACTTTCATTTGCTTCTCAAAATCAAAAGTAATGTGGTCAATTCCTGAGAAATATGCAGTTTTAAGTCATTAAAATTTCAATTTTAAAATGTTGCATTTCATAAATGGTTCTGAAAAATGTTTTTACAAAAATGGTTTGAAATTTCATGCTGTGAAACCTTCAATACAAGTTCTTTTATGCTGTGATTTCTAGTATTTATTACAGTTTTAAAAAATGACCCTAACTTTTAAGTTCTCTTTAAATGATCAAAGTTGTGTGAAAAATTTCAACAATCAGATTTCAGCTCAAGATGGTACATGTGCAGTTAGAACAAGTATTTTCATTGAAATTAGATTAAAATTAACTTAATTTATAAATTACTCTATTTTAGCCACCCCAGAGCCTGAATCTGAAAACACCCCAGAGCCTGAATCTAAATCTACACCGGAACCGGAATCTGAAAACACCCCAGTGCCAGAATCTGAAAACACACCAGAACCAGAATCTGAATCTACAGCAGAACCTGAATCTACACCAGAACCATACCTACCTTGTGGTAACAGATATGCATATTGTGTTAGTGGAACCTGCTTTAATTCTGTAGTCTGGAACTATAACAGAATGAATGACGAGGTTACATTTACCGTTTCAGCACAAATGAGTTCTTCAGAGTTTGGATGGGTCGGTGTTGGATTCACCAATACTCAGGCTATGGTATGTTTGTTCTTACCAATCTCAGCAAAAACTGTAATGTTCAGTAGTCTACAGTTCATTTGAAATCTGACAGAACAGATTAGAATTTTTCAACTCTTAAACTAACTTTTTGAAAAAAATATCTGACCAATGAATATGTTGTTTAGAAAATTGTAACTTTACAGCATAACATTTTTCAGGGTAGTAATTTTAGCTATCAAACATAAGTCTTGAAAATAAATGCACAGAATATTTTATTAACAAGAATTTCTGTATGAAAAAAAGATATGGGGTTTACTTCAGAGACACAAGTAACCCAACAATACACATACAAAAAAATTTAAAGACTTCTGGGGTCAATGTCTTCAAAGATAGACAAGTTTGTTTACCATATGGTAAACTGTAAAATGTTCAAATTCTAATCAAGTTGTTAATAAATTTGATAGGAACTACCAAATAAGTGATCAACACCACAACCTTAAAGGAACAACCAGATCCCATAAAACAACAAAACAAAACTGTAGAAGACACATCTATAGATATATGTGGATATCACTAGAAGGAATTTTACATTCCTGTCTTTTTTTATGTGTATGATAAGAGGTCAATTTTCTATAAGTGGCTGGTAGACTACAGAACATAAATAGATGTTCAGGATTTTTGTCTTACCTTGACCAGCAGTCAAGTTGTCGACAGTGTCATTAATTGCCAGACTTTGAAATAGGTCAGTTTAAGGGGAACCGCAAATGGTTAGTCAATGATCTTTTTTATGCAGTTGTATTAGCATTGGGACATTTCATTTCTATGGAGATTGATTGCCCTCACCACTACAGTCATGGTAAAATTGACTTTGAAACTTTTGCAAAGTTTACATGATAATAAATTTAGACAATAAATTTGAATTGAAAAAATCTCACCTGCTCTATCTCAAAAAGATTTTTACAGTGTAGTGTACTACTATTGGGACAAATAATATCAAAATTATAGAAAAGACTACCAGCTCGAACTCAAAATATTGACAATTCTATGCTAAGAAGGTCTAAAATTCAGTTTGACAGCTTCAGACATACTAATTTTTTACCTTTTTTAACTGGACCAAATCACTAATTCAGCATCCAAATTTTTTTACATGTAATTTCATCCCCTTAATATTTCATGCGTAAAATATAAAGAATTAAATTTGGAAAGTGTAAGAAAAAAATTTGCAAGTTATACACTGTCCACACTAGGGACTATATTTGTAGACAACGAAAAACAAAGGACAATAACTGTGTCCTCGGACCATCTGTTTGATCACATAAATGAGTAACATTATTTATATTATGTATATTTTAGTCAAATGCAGATATTTACATGGGTTACTACAACCAAGCTGATAATTCATATGTTATTAGAGACCGGTAAGTTGATGAATAATGAAAGTTGTATTACATCTAATGTAATCATAGATATATAAAGGTTTTGTCAAATCTTTAGGATATGTCACTCATACTTTTAAAAGTCAATAATTTGTGCACAGATATCTTAACAGGGTTTTACTGTTTTGAAAAAAAGATATATTCTAATGTAAATTTTAACTTTATTTTGTTTTCCAAACCGAAAAAGGGAGCTTTATGGCAGGATTCATATTATCTTAACCTTATTTTCATGGTTCAATGATTATGTTAAGTGAATGTGATACATGTAGTAAGACCTTCATCTAAAAAACTGTTGACGCAATACTCAATCATGATCAATAAGGCAGACACTTCAGTGTGTTTACTCTTGTGGTGCATGTCACAAAAACAAATTTAGTTAAATTATTTCATATGCAATAGTTTAACTGTAAAAGCAGAAATTTTCATAAGGATTTTAAATTTTGTTTATTTTATGGAAAGATATCATCAACAAAATTAACACTCAAATAAAATCTTGGACAACAAAAAATATTTATTTATGTCACTTACTGGAATACACAAAATTAATCCCCATGAAATTAAATTAAGAGAAAAAAACAAAAAATTTAACCTCATGAAATTTTTTTTTTAACTGCATTTTATATTTTCAGACAAGCACCTGTTGGTCATGGTAAACCTGTTAAAGATTCCATACAGAATGTTGTGGCACTGGATGGAAGCTATGATGGTACTACAGTGTCCTTCACCTTCAAAAGAAAGAGAATGACCAATGATACAACAGACTATCAGTTCAATAATACAAATTGTCCATACATTTTGTTAGCCTCTGGGGGTGCATATGATCCAAGTACAGACGAACCTACAGGCAAACATGATCGTCGATTTGTGTCTCCCACTAAAATGTGTATAAATGCTTGTAAGTTAGATTTTATGATTTATTACTTCCTGTACAATGTGTATCAATCCTTGAAGATTTTTAGATATTTAGCTCCTAATGTTTCTACATACATCCCTGGTTTTATTGAAGATTTTTAGATATTTAGCTCCTAATGTTTCTAAATACATACCTGGTTTTATTGAAGAGTTTTGGTTATTTAGCTCTGAATGTTTCTACATACATCCCTGGTTTGATTGAAGTTTTTGGTTGTTTAACTCCTGATGTTTCTACATACATCCCTGGTTTTATTGAAGTTTTTGGTTATTTAACTCTTAATGTTTCTACATACATCCCTGGTTTTATTGAAGTTTTTGGTTGTTTAGCTCCTAATGTTTCTACATACATCCCTGGTTTTATTGAAGATTTTGGATATTTAGCTCCTAATGTTTCTACATACATCCCTGGTTTGATTGAAGTTTTTGGTTGTTTAGACCTAATGTTTCTACATACATCCCTGGTTTTATTGAAGTTTTTTGTTATTTAGCTCCTAATATTTCTACATACATCCCTGGTTTGATTGAAGATTTTGGTTATTTAGCTCCTAATGTTTCTACATACATCCCTGGTTTTATTGAAGTTTTTGGTTATTTAGCTCTTAATGTTTCTACATACATCCCTGGTTTGATTGAAGATTTTGGTTATTTAGCTCCTTATGTTTCTACATACATCCCTGGTTTTATTGAAGTTTTTGGTTATTTAGCTCTTAATGTGTCTTCATACATCCCTGGTTTGATTGAAGTTTTTGATTATTTAGGTCTTAATGTTTCTACATACATCCCTGATTTTATTTAAGTTTTTGGTTATTTAGCTCCTAATGTTTCTACATACATCCCTGGTTTTATTGAAGTTTTTGATTATTTAGGTCTTAATGTTTCTACATACATCCCTGGTTTTATTTAAGTTTTTGGTTATTTAGCTCCTAATGTTTCTACATACATCCCTGGTTTTATTGAAGTTTTTGGTTATTTAGCTCCTAATGTTTCTACATACATCCCTGGTTTTATTGAAGATTTTTGGTTATTTAGCTCTTAATGTTTCTACATACATCCCTGGTTTTATTGAAGATTTTTGGTTATTAAGCTCCTAATGTTTCTACATACATCCCTGGTTTGATTGAAGTTTTTGGTTGTTTAGACCTAATGTTTCTACATACATCCCTGGTTTTATTGAAGTTTTTGGTTATTTAGCTCCTAATATTTCTACATACATCCCTGGTTTGATTGAAGATTTTGGTTATTTAGCTCCTAATGTTTCTACATACATCCCTGGTTTTATTGAAGTTTTTGGTTATTTAGCTCTTAATGTTTCTACATACATCCCTGGTTTGATTGAAGATTTTGGTTATTTAGCTCCTTATGTTTCTACATACATCCCTGGTTTTATTGAAGTTTTTGGTTATTTAGCTCTTAATGTGTCTTCATACATCCCTGGTTTGATTGAAGTTTTTGATTATTTAGGTCTTAATGTTTCTACATACATCCCTGATTTTATTTAAGTTTTTGGTTATTTAGCTCCTAATGTTTCTACATACATCCCTGGTTTTATTGAAGTTTTTGATTATTTAGGTCTTAATGTTTCTACATACATCCCTGGTTTTATTTAAGTTTTTGGTTATTTAGCTCCTAATGTTTCTACATACATCCCTGGTTTTATTGAAGTTTTTGGTTATTTAGCTCCTAATGTTTCTACATACATCCCTGGTTTTATTGAAGATTTTTGGTTATTTAGCTCTTAATGTTTCTACATACATCCCTGGTTTTATTGAAGATTTTTGGTTATTAAGCTCCTAATGTTTCTACATACATCCCTGGTTTTATTGAAGTTTTTGGTTATTTAGCTGCTAATGTTTCTACATACATCCCTGGTTTTATTGAAGTTTTTGGTTATTTAACTCCTAATGTTTCTACATACATCCCTGGTTTTATTGAAGATTTTTGGTTATTTAGCTCTTAATGTTTCTACATACATCCCTGGATTATTAAAGTTTTTGGTTATTTAGCTCCTAATGTTTCTACATACATCCCTGGTTTTATTGAAGTTTTTGGTTGTTTAGCTCCTAATGTTTCTACATACATCCCTGGTTTTATTGAAGTTTTTAGTTATTTAGCTCCTAATGTTTCTACATACATCCCTGGTTTGATTGAAGATTTTGGATATTTAGCTCCTAATGTTTCTACATACATCCCTGGTTTGATTGAAGATTTTGGTTATTTAGCTCCTAATGTTTCTACATACATCCCTGGTTTGATTGAAGTTTTTGGTTGTTAAGCTCCTAATATTTCTACATACATCCCTGGTTTTATTGAAGATTTTGGTTATTTAACTCCTAATGTTTCTACATACATCCCTGGTTTTATTGAAGTTTTTGGTTATTTAGCTCCTAATGTTTCTACATACATCCCTGGTTTTATTGAAGATTTTGGTTATTTAACTCCTAATGTTTCTACATACATCCCTGGTTTTATTGAAGATTTTGGTTATTTAACTCCTAATGTTTCTACATACATCCCTGGTTTTATTGAAGTTTTTGGTTATTTAGCTCCTAATGTTTCTACATACATCCCTAGTTTTATTGAAGATTTTTGGTTATTTAGCTCTTAATGTTTCTACATACATCCCTGGATTATTAAAGTTTTTGGTTATTTAGCTCCTAATGTTTCTACATACATCCCTGGTTTTATTGAAGATTTTTAGATATTTAGCTCCTAATGTTTCTACATACATCCCTGGTTTTATTGAAGATTTTTGGTTATTTAGCTCTTAATGTTTCTACATACATCCCTGGATTATTAAAGTTTTTGGTTATTAAGCTCCTAATGTTTCTACATACATCCCTGGTTTTATTGAAGTTTTTGGTTATTTAACTCCTACTGTTTCTACATACATCCCTGGTTTTATTGAAGTTTTTGGTTATTTAGCTCCTAATGTTTCTACATACATCCCTGGTTTTATTGAAGATTTTTGGTTATTTAGCTCTTAATGTTTCTACATACATCCCTGGATTATTAAAGTTTTTGGTTATTTAGCTCCTAATGTTTCTACATACATCCCTGGTTTTATTGAAGTTTTTGGTTATTTAGCTCCTAATGTTTCTACATACATCCCTGGTTTTATTGAAGATTTTTGGTTATTTAGCTCTTAATGTTTCTACATACATCCCTGGATTATTAAAGTTTTTGGTTATTAAGCTCCTAATGTTTCTAGATACATCCCTGGTTTTATTGAAGTTTTTGGTTATTTAACTCCTAATGTTTCTACATACATCCCTGGTTTTATTGAAGTTTTTGGTTGTTTAGCTCCTAATGTTTCTACATACATCCCTGGTTTTATTGAAGTTTTTGGTTATTTAGCTCCTAATGTTTCTACATACATCCCTGGTTTGATTGAAGATTTTGGATATTTAGCTCCTAATATTTCTACATACATCCCTGGTTTGATTGAAGATTTTGGATATTTAGCTCCTAATGTTTCTACATACATCCCTAGTTTGATTGAAGTTTTTGGTTGTTTAGCTCCTAATATTTCTACATACATCCCTGGTTTGATTGAAGATATTGGATATTTAGCTCCTAATGTTTCTACATACATCCCTGGTTTGATTGAAGATTTTGGATGTTTAGCTCCTAATATTTCTACATACATCCCTGGTTTTATTGAAGTTTTTGGTTATTTAACTCCTAATGTTTCTACATACATCCCTGGTTTTATTGAAGATTTTGGTTATTTAGCTCCTAATATATCTACATACATCCCTGGTTTTATTGAAGTTTTTGGATATTTAGCTCCTAATGTTTCTACATACATCCCTGGTTTGATTGAAGTTTTTGGATATTTAGCTCCTAATGTTTCTACATACATCCCTGGTTTGATTGAAGTTTTTGGATATTTAGCTCCTAATGTTTCTACATACATCCCTGGTTTGATTGAAGTTTTTGGATATTTAGCTCCTAATGTTTCTACATACATCCCTGGTTTGATTGAAGTTTTTGGATATTTAGCTCCTAATGTTTCTACATACATCCCTGGTTTTATTGAAGTTTTTGGTTATTTAGCTCCTAATATATCTACATACATCCCTGGTTTTATTGAAGTTTTTGGTTATTTAGCTCCTAATATATCTACATACATCCCTGGTTTGATTGAAGATTTTGGATATTTAGCTCCTAATGTTTCTACATACATCCCTGGTTTTATTGAAGTTTTTGGTAATTTAACTCCTACTGTTTCTACATACATCCCTGGTTTGATTGAAGATTTTGGATATTTAGCTCCTAATGTTTCTACATACATCCCTGGTTATATTGAAGTTTTTGGTTATTTAACTCCTAATGATTCTACATACATCCCTGGTTTGATTGAAGTTTTTGGATATTTAGCTCCTAATATTTCTACATACATCCCTGGTTTTATTGAAGTTTTTGGTTATTTAACTCCTTATGTTTCTACATACATCCCTGGTTTGATTGAAATTTTTGGATATTTAGCTCCTAATATTTCTACATACATCCCTGGTTTTATTGAAGTTTTTGGTTATTTAACTCCTAATGTTTCTACATACATCCCTGGTTTGATTGAAGATTTTGGATATTTAGCTCCTAATGTTTCTACATACATCCCTGGTTTTATTGAAGATTTTGGATATTTAGCTTCTAATGTTTCTACATACATCCCTGGTTTTATTGAAGTTTTTGGTTATTTAACTCCTAATGTTTCTACATACATCCCTGGTTTTATTGAAGTTTTTGGTTGTTTAGCTCCTAATGTTTCTACATACATCCCTGGTTTTATTGAAGTTTTTGGTTGTTTAGCTCCTAATGTTTCTACATACATCCCTGGTTTTATTGAAGTTTTTGGTTATTTAACTCCTAATGTTTCTACATACATCCCTGGTTTTATTGAAGTTTTGGGATATTTAGAGCTCCTAATGTTTCTACATACATCCCTGGTTTTATTGAAGTTTTGGGATATTTAGAGCTCCTAATATTTCTATATACATCCCTGGTTTTATTGAAGTTTTGGGATATTTAGAGCTCCTAATATTCTACATACATCCCTGGTTTTATTGAAGTTTTTGGTTATTTAACTCCTAATGTTTCTACATACATCCCTGGTTTTATTGAAGTTTTTGGTTATTTAACTCCTAATGTTTCTACATACATCCCTGGTTTTATTGAAGTTTTTGGTTATTTAACTCCTAATGTTTCTACATACATCCCTGGTTTTATTGAAGTTTTGGGATATTTAGAGCTCCTAATGTTTCTACATACATCCCTGGTTTTATTGAAGTTTTGGGATATTTAGAGCTCCTAATATTTCTATATACATCCCTGGTTTTATTGACGTTTTGGGATATTTAGAGCTCCTAATATTCTACATACATCCCTGGTTTGATTGAAGTTTTTGGATATTTAACTCCTAATGTTTCTACATACATCCCTGGTTTTATTGAAGTTTTCGGATATTTAACTCCTAATGATTCTACATACATCCCTGGTTTTATTGAAGTTTTTGGTTATTTAGCTCCTAATATATCTACATACATCCCTGGTTTTATTGAAGTTTTTGGTTATTTAGCTCCTAATGTTTCTACATACATCCCTGGTTTTATTGAAGTTTTTGGTTATTTAACTCCTAATGTTTCTACATACATCCCTGGTTTTATTGAAGTTTTGGGATATTTAGAGCTCCTAATATTTCTATATACATCCCTGGTTTTATTGAAGTTTTGGGATATTTAGAGCTCCTAATATTCTACATACATCCCTGGTTTTATTGAAGTTTTTGGTTATTTAGCTCCTAATGTTCCTACATACATCCCTGGTTTTTTTGAAGATTTTGGATATTTAGCTCCTAATGTTTCTACATACATCCCTGGTTTTATTGAAGTTTTTGGTTATTTAACTCCTAATGTTTCTACATACATCCCTGGTTTGATTGAAGATTGAGTGTTCCTGAGGAAAACAAATGACATTTTTATAAAATTAATTGATGAAGTGCCCATGCAAAACTAATCTGAATGAAAGAAATTATGAACATAATTTCAGTGAGACAGCAACAAAACAATTTGAATAAGCTAAAATAGACATTAAGAGGTGACCATAAGATCTTTGATGATCAACAAGTTACAGTGCCAAATGCCAAGCTTTAAATCTTCTTGAGTGTAGACTATCGGCAGTTGTAAAAAAAAGTGAACATACATAACTACCGGGTATAAATCTTTCATTTGCATAAAATTCTTAGCTTTTAGGCCATACTTGATAATAAATTGCAAAGGATGCTTTTAAACTTGTGAATTTTGGTTTGTTATTAGTATTTCCATTATTGAATATTGTGGATAAAAGATGTGTAGAAAGTAATAAATTAATAATGTCTGGCCATGAAAAAAAGGATTCATGCTTTAGTTACTTGATTTGAATTAAACGGACAGTTGAAATGGTTATTGCTATTTTAAAGCTATTTTTTTACATTCAAGAAATTTATGTCATCGGATGATGTATTATCGGTACAGCAGTTGATTCAGATTACTTAAATTTTAAATGGTTGTACATTACTTACAGTTGCAAATTTTTATCATTGTTTTCTGGTTGTTTTTATTCTAAAATAAGACAATATTGTATTAAATTTAACATAGGTGATTCCACCACAATGACAAAAGCAGGAGTTTGCCCAAGAGTAACCAATCAGATGATGGGTACATGTGTGGAGCAGTGTTCATCAGATGACCAGTGTCCAATGAACAAGAAATGTTGTTTTAATGGATGTGGTCACACATGTTCAGATGGTATGTTTTTGTTACAATTTTTTTTTTTATGATGTAAAGATCTTTGCAAATAATTTTCATTTTTGTTGAGTATGCTACATTTAGGTGGCGAAAGCTAGACATAGCGCTCATAGATTCTGTTTACAGCATCATTTACAGTTAGGTTCAGTCTGTGGTTACAGTTTTTTAGACATCAATAACTTTGTCAAATCTTCATGAATTTTATGAAATTTGGTCAGAGGCTTGTTTATGACCAAAAGACAGTATGCAGAGCAAATTTTTGAAAATACTTATTTTCATTTCTCTGTATTTTACAGATAAGTGGACTTTAAAAATATTTATGTTCTTTTTTAGCTCACCTGACCTAAAAGACAAGTGAGCCTTTCTCATCTCTTGGCCTCCTCTGAAACCACAGGGTCAAATTTAACTTTTACTCCTCTGAAACCACTGGGTCAAATTTAACCAAACTTGGCCACAATTATAATTTAGGTATCTAGTTTAAAAATGTGTTCGATGACCCTGCTGGCCAACCAAGACAGTGGACATGACTTAAATGACGAATTTTACCATTTTTAAAATTGTTTCCCTATTATCTCGAAAATTATATTAGAAAGACAGAAACTTAAGATAGCAAAAATGATCAGCAAGACAAGATCTACAAATAAATCAACATGATCAAAATCATTAGACGACTCCTTATTAGAGTTATTGTCATTTAAGGACAATTTTTACCAATTTTTTGCATTTTTGCTTTATATCTAAAAAAACTATAATAGATAGAAACTTTAAAAGCAAAATAAGATCAACAAATAAGCCTTATGGTCGAAATCCTCAGTCGACTTGTTATTGGAGTTATTGCCCTTTAATGATAATTTTGTACATTTTTTTGCATTTTTTGCCTATTATCTTGAAAACTATAATAGATAGATAGAAACTTCAGAAAAGAAAAATTATCAGCAGGATAATTTTAAGATCTACAAATATGTCATTAGACTGAAATTGTCAGTTGACTATTAATAGAGTTGTTCTCCTTTAATGATGATTTTTACTAAAAGTGGCCATTGTTGAAGATACTGGTGAGTGACACAGGCTCTTTAGAGCCTCTTAATTTTTTTACTGTTAACAAGTAAACAAATTTTATGAAACATTGAAAGAAGCTTTTTTTTTTTATGAAGAGATAATGCCTGATGCAAACTTTTAGAAATAAATTTTTTTTTAGTTTTCCATATTTTTCTGATAGATTGTTTTTGTCGAGCCTGCGACTTTTGTCGCAGAAAGCTCGACATAGGGATAGTGATCCGGCGGCGGCGGCGTTAGCTAACTTCTTAAAAGCTTTATATTTTAGAAGGTGGAAGGTCTGGATGCTTCATACTTTGTATATGGATGCCTCATGTTACGAAGTTTCCGTCAGTCACATGTCCAATGTCCTTGACCTCATTTTCATGGTTCAGTGACTACTTGAAAAAAAAGTTAAGATTTTTTGTAATGTTAGATTCTCTCTTATTATAAGTAATAGGATAACTATATTTGGTATGTGCGTACCTTGCAAGGTCCTCATGCCCGTCAGACAGTTTTCACTTGACCTCGACCTCATTTCATGGATCAGTGAACAAGGTTAAGTTTTGGTGGTCAAGTCCATATCTCAGATACTATAAGCAATAGGTCTAGTATATTCGGTGTATGGAAGGACTGTAAGGTGTACATGTCCAACTGGCAGGTGTCATCTGACCTTGACCTCATTTTCATGGTTCAGTGGTTATAGTTAAGTTCTTGTGTTTTGGTCTGTTTTTCTTATACTGTATGCCATAGGTCTACTATATTTGGTGTATGGAATGATTGTAAGGTGTACATGTCTAGCGGGCAGGTGTCATTTGACCTTGACCTCATTTTCATGGTTCAGTGGTCAAAGTTAAGTTTTTGAGTTTTGGTCTTTTTTTCTAATACTATGTGCAATAGCTCAACTATATTTGGTATGTGCGTACCTTGCAAGGTCTTCATGCCCGTCAGACAGTTTTCACTTGACCTCGACCTCATTTCATGGATCAGTGAACAAGGTTAAGTTTTGGTGATCAAGTCCATATCTCAGATACTATAAGCAATAGGTCTAGTATATTCGGTGTATGGAAGGACTGTAAGGTGTACATGTCCAACTGGCAGGTGTCATCTGACCTTGACCTCATTTTCATGGTTCAGTGGTTATAGTTAAGTTTTTGTGTTTTGGTCTGTTTTTCTTATACTATATGCAATAGTTCAACTATATTTGGTGTATGGAAATATTTAATGATCTATTTGGCAGTCACGCAGGTTTTATTTGACCATGACCTCATTTTCAAGGTTCATTGCTCAGTGTTAAGTTTTTGTGTTTTGGTCTGTTTTTCTTAAACTATAAGCAATAGGTCAACTATATTGTTGTATGGAAGAATTGTTAGCTGTACATGCCTGCCTAGCATGGTTCATCTGACCTTGACCTCATTTTCATGGTTCATTGGTCAATGTTTTGTTTACTTGGTTAATGTTAAGTTTATGTGACAGTTGTAATAAAGCTTTATATTTAGGACTATCAACATAATATCAATGATTAGTAAAGAAGGCGAGACATTTCAGCGTGTGCACTCTTGTATTGGATTTGAACTAGTTTACAGTTTATACATCTGCCTCTGGTCCAAGGCTTCCAAAACGGTCATACATGCCGGACATTTGTATAATGTCCTGTAAAAGTCCGGCTGGGCAAAGCATGAAACGGTCATCTACTTTTTAGTTTTCAAGGCTTTAAGAGACGGTCATTTTAACATAATTCGTGATCTTTTTGACCCAACGTTTTGCCTTTAACAGCCACACATTTCCGGTCATAAAAGTGACATGATCATTAAGTACTATCAAAACAACCCCTACTTCAATACCTTCTCATTTTAATCAAGGCTAATTAGTTGTCAAACAGCTGAAATTTACCTGTTCAGGTGACAGGTAAACTATTTTGAACCGGACATTGATCGGTCTATTCAAAGTTATTTTCTTACATTTCAGCAGTTTGCATCTAATTAATTTAGTCAAAAAGGTTTAAATTATCAGAAACACCTTTACAAATATGATTTGATGAAAAAATTAAAAAGGTGAAAATGAAAAATCGTCATAACCACGTTGTTTGAACCTAGAGACATGTCTCTGTTTGAACTAGTACACGTGTGCGCATGTGCGCAGGTGTGAAATTTAATTATGCATCCTAATTTCTTCAAAAAATGCTTAAATTGTCATTGATACCTTTATCTCACGTTTATTTCGAATATTTTCTTGAAGAAATAACGTAGAAAGAGCTACTTCCACTCATTCACGCTTGGCAAACGTACACGGAATTTACGTATCCGTCTCTGGTCCATGTTTTACCATTGTCAAGATAACATCCGGTATAAAAACGAAAGTAAAGTTTTTGACAACGTTATTTTGCACAAATAAAGCGTCTAAGGCAGATAGATATAAGTACGCTGATGTTGCACACTTCGAATGATGCACTGCTAATTTAACAGTTTACGTCAGAACTTCGAATTTGAATCAAAGAAAGTTTAATAACGTTTTTTTTTGTGTCAATCATTGGGATGGCCAACTCGGCAACTGATTTCCATAATTGCCTTTTGTTTATTTAGTCTTAAGGGATTAAAATCGGGATAATATATAAAATGTCCGGCTGGATAAAAATAATTTTGGAAGCCCTGCTCTGGTCTCCACTCCTACGTCATACATACTAACCAAACCATTGTTATCTTTAGTACAGTTTATACATCAGCCTCTGGTCTCCACTCCTACGTCATACATAATAACCAAACCATTGTTATCTTTAGTACAGTTTATACATCAGCCTCTGGTCTCCACTCCTACGTCATACATAATAACTAAACCATTGTTATCTTTAGTACAGGTTTATACATCAGCCTCTGGTCTCCACTCCTACGTCATACATAATAACTAAACCATTGTTATCTTTAGTACAGTTTATACATCAGCCTCTGGTCTCCACTCCTACGTCATACATAATAACTAAACCATTGTTATCTTTAGTACAGGTTTATACATCAGCCTCTGGTCTCCACTCCTATGTCATACATAATAACCAAACCATTGTTATCTTTAGTACAGTTTATACATCAGCCTCTGGTCTCCACTCCTACGTCATACATAATAACCAAACCATTGTTATGTTTAGTACAGTTTATACATCAGCCTCTGGTCTCCACTCCTACGTCATACATAATAACCAAACCATTGTTATCTTTAGTACAGGTTTATACATCAGCCTCTGGTCTCCACTCCTACGTCATACATAATAACCAAACCATTGTTATGTTTAGTACAGTTTATACATCAGCCACTGGTCTCCACTTTGTTATCTTTAGTACAGTTTATACATCAGCCTCTGGTCTCCACTCCTACGTCATACATAATAACCAAACCATTGTTATCTTTAGTACAGTTTATACATCAGCCTCTGGTCTCCACTCCTACGTCATACATAATAACCAAACCATTGTTATCTTTAGTACAGTTTATACATCAGCCTCTGGTCTCCACTCCTACGTCATACATAATAACCAAACCATTGTTATCTTTAGTACAGTTTATACATCAGCCTCTGGTCTCCACTCCTACGTCATACATAATAACCAAACCATTGTTATCTTTAGTACAGTTTATACATCAGCCTCTGGTCTCCACTCCTACGTCATACATAATAACCAAACCATTATTATCTTTAGTACAGTTTATACATCAGCCTCTGGTCTCCACTCCTACGTCATACATAATAACCAAACCATTGTTATGTTTAGTACAGGTTTATACATCAGCCTCTGGTCTCCACTCCTACGTCATACATAACAACCAAACCATTGTTATCTTTAGTACAGTTTATACATCAGCCTCTGGTCTCCACTCCTACGTCATACATAATAACCAAACCATTGTTATGTTTAGTACAGTTTATACATCAGCCTCTGGTCTCCACTCCTACGTCATACATAACAACCAAACCATTGTTATCTTTAGTACAGTTTATACATCAGCCTCTGGTCTCCACTCCTACGTCATACATAATAACTAAACCATTGTTATCTTTAGTACAGGTTTATACATCAGCCTCTGGTCTCCACTCCTACGTCATACATAATAACTAAACCATTGTTATCTTTAGTACAGTTTATACATCAGCCTCTGGTCTCCACTCCTACGTCATACATAATAACCAAACCATTGTTATGTTTAGTACAGGTTTATACATCAGCCTCTGGTCTCCACTCCTACGTCATACATAACAACCAAACGATTGTTATCTTTAGTACAGGTTTATACATCAGCCTCTGGTCTCCACTCCTACGTCATACATAATAACCAAACCATTGTTATGTTTAGTACAGTTTATACATCAGCCTCTGGTCTCCACTCCTACGTCATACATAATAACTAAACCATTGTTATCTTTAGTACAGTTTATACATCAGCCTCTGGTCTCCACTCCTACGTCATACATAATAACCAAACCATTGTTATCTTTAGTACAGTTTATACATCAGCCTCTGGTCTCCACTCCTACGTCATACATAATAACTAAACCATTGTTATCTTTAGTACAGGTTTATACATCAGCCTCTGGTCTCCACTCCTACGTCATACATAATAACTAAACCATTGTTATCTTTAGTACAGGTTTATACATCAGCCTCTGGTCTCCACTCCTACGTCATACATAATAACTAAACCATTGTTATCTTTAGTACAGTTTATACATCAGCCTCTGGTCTCCACTCCTACGTCATACATAATAACCAAACCATTGTTATGTTTAGTACAGTTTATACATCAGCCACTGGTCTCCACTCCTACGTCATACATAATAACCAAACCATTGTTATCTTTAGTACAGTTTATACATCAGCCTCTGGTCTCCACTCCTATGTCATACATAATAACCAAACCATTGTTATCTTTAGTACAGGTTTATACATCAGCCTCTGGTCTCCACTCCTACGTCATACATAATAACTAAACCATTGTTATGTTTAGTACAGTTTATACATCAGCCTCTGGTCTCCACTCCTACGTCATACATAATAACCAAACCATTGTTATCTTTAGTACAGGTTTATACATCAGCCTCTGGTCTCCACTCCTACGTCATACATAATAACTAAACCATTGTTATCTTTAGTACAGTTTATACATCAGCCTCTGGTCTCCACTCCTACGTCATACATAATAACCAAACCATTGTTATCTTTAGTACAGTTTATACATCAGCCTCTGGTCTCCACTCCTACGTCATACATAATAACTAAACCATTGTTATCTTTAGTACAGGTTTATACATCAGCCTCTGGTCTCCACTCCTACGTCATACATAATAACTAAACCATTGTTATCTTTAGTACAGTTTATACATCAGCCTCTGGTCTCCACTCCTACGTCATACATAATAACCAAACCATTGTTATGTTTAGTACAGTTTATACATCAGCCTCTGGTCTCCACTCCTACGTCATACATAATAACCAAACCATTGTTATCTTTAGTACAGGTTTATACATCAGCCTCTGGTCTCCACTCCTATGTCATACATAATAACTAAACCATTGTTATCTTTAGTACAGTTTATACATCAGCCTCTGGTCTCCACTCCTACGTCATACATAATAACCAAACCATTGTTATGTTTAGTACAGTTTATACATCAGCCTCTGGTCTCCACTCCTACGTCATACATAATAACCAAACCATTGTTATCTTTAGTACAGGTTTATACATCAGCCTCTGGTCTCCACTCCTACGTCATACATAATAACCAAACCATTGTTATGTTTAGTACAGGTTTATACATCAGCCTCTGGTCTCCACTCCTACGTCATACATAATAACTAAACCATTGTTATCTTTAGTACAGGTTTATACATCAGCCTCTGGTCTCCACTCCTACGTCATACATAACAACCAAACGATTGTTATCTTTAGTACAGTTTATACATCAGCCTCTGGTCTCCACTCCTACGTCATACATAATAACCAAACCATTGTTATGTTTAGTACAGTTTATACATCAGCCTCTGGTCTCCACTCCTACGTCATACATAATAACCAAACCATTGTTATCTTTAGTACAGTTTATACATCAGCCTCTGGTCTCCACTCCTACGTCATACATAATAACCAAACCATTGTTATGTTTAGTACAGTTTATACATCAGCCTCTGGTCTCCACTCCTACGTCATACATAATAACCAAACCATTGTTATCTTTAGTACAGTTTATACATCAGCCTCTGGTCTCCACTCCTACGTCATACATAATAACTAAACCATTGTTATGTTTAGTACAGGTTTATACATCAGCCTCTGGTCTCCACTCCTACGTCATACATAATAACCAAACCATTGTTATGTTTAGTACAGGTTTATACATCAGCCTCTGGTCTCCACTCCTACGTCATACATAATAACTAAACCATTGTTATCTTTAGTACAGTTTATACATCAGCCTCTGGTCTCCACTCCTATGTCATACATAATAACCAAACCATTGTTATCTTTAGTACAGTTTATACATCAGCCTCTGGTCTCCACTCCTACGTCATACATAATAACTAAACCATTGTTATCTTTAGTACAGTTTATACATCAGCCTCTGGTCTCCACTCCTACGTCATACATAATAACCAAACCATTGTTATGTTTAGTACAGTTTATACATCAGCCTCTGGTCTCCACTCCTACGTCATACATAATAACCAAACCATTGTTATCTTTAGTACAGGTTTATACATCAGCCTCTGGTCTCCACTCCTACGTCATACATAATAACCAAACCATTGTTATCTTTAGTACAGTTTATACATCAGCCTCTGGTCTCCACTCCTACGTCATACATAATAACCAAACCATTGTTATGTTTAGTACAGGTTTATACATCAGCCTCTGGTCTCCACTCCTACGTCATACATAATAACCAAACCATTGTTATCTTTAGTACAGGTTTTTGTCTAACTTAATTCTAAGAGGGGAGACTTAAGCATGCTGTTTCAAATGACAGTAGTATCAACATTTGTTAAAATTTGTGATAAGGTCACAGAGTTAACAGTTTATTTATACTTATTTTAGTCATTGAATCAGGACCTACATCAGAACCAGAGAGAACTCCTGAACCTGAAGTAGAGCCTACTGGTGAACCTGAGGGTGAAACAGAGCCTACTGGTGAACCTGAGGGTGAAACAGAGCCTACTGGTGAACCTGAGGGTGAAGTAGAGCCTACTGGTCAACCTGAGGGAGAAGGAGAGCCAACTGGTGAACCTGAGGGAGAAGGAACATGTGGAAGTCGACCAGCTGGAAACTCTGACACAACTGGAAGTATGTACAACTTCATTCAAAATTAAAAAAAAAGAAACAGGAACATGAAGTATAAGATGAAGATAAATTATTCTATTTCCAAAAGAGGACCCATTATGGGCAAAATAGGTACAATGATTAGTATATTAAACTAATTAGATTTGCATTTTTGACAGTGGTCAATGATTTCCAATAACAAATATACATAATTTGAGAATTAAGCCTTGTTTCAAATAAATTGTGCTTTATGTGTATAATATGAGGCTTTTGTTTTTTTATGAATGAGTTACACAAGTTGACCCAAGGTCAATTGGCGTAATGAAGTCATTGAAAAATCAGTTCTTACTGGGACGTAATAACATAAGAATTGTGACATAGAAAATGTATGGAGAATTGCACGAATTTGAAAGTCGTCTATTGACATGCGTTCATGTGGTAGGTAGTAATTTTATTTGCTCTGTTTTATAATATTTATGATACAATTGTTTTTTTAGATAATCCACATCCTATGGACTGTGTTGACATGGTTGTGGGAACAGCTAGAGGAAACAGAAGTAGAATTGGTGACTTCTACGCTCATGGAAGATCCACACCTATGTATGATTCTTTTTATGGAGGAAAGGAAAATCTAATAGGAGCATTTGGATATGAAGAGAATGGATATACAACAATAATCTTCCGTAAAAAGATGACAGGTAAATGAAGTATATTTTTCTTGTTCTAAAACTTAATGCAGTTTTAAAGTAAAATTTATAACTTTCCTCTATTGCAGATAGAATAAAAATCAGTGGGAGTATAGAGGGAGTATGCCTCATTTATTCTTTAAATATAATTTTTTTGCATAATATTTATAAAATCTTCAAATTTTTTATAATTTTTACCATTATGGGAAATATGCCCCCTATTCCTGAACCCTGGATTCACCTCTGAAAATTATATAATACTTTTCAACTTAGTGAACTTGTATTTCACTTACAATTTTATTGTATTGGTGTTAAAAAGATAATAAAAAACAGAAGAAAAAACTGCCTCCAAGATGGAACACAAGACCTTACATGGTACTTCATTAAACAAATTTCAGCAGATTTGCCTATTCTATTAAAGGGATATTTTTTGCCCTTTTTATTTTTTAAATGAAATATAGAATACTGTGAATTCTTGCATAACCAATTTCAAAGCTTTCTATTCGATTAAAATAAATGCCAATTTTTTTTAAATGATCTTATGCTTTTCTTTACATCATTTTATGAGCCAACATTATCAGATTTTTGTCCCGCCTGCGACGAAAGTCGCAGAAAGTGAGACATAGGTATTACTATCCGGCGACGGCGGCGTAAACTATTTGTATAAAGCTTTATATTTCAGAAGGTAGAAGACCTGGATGCTTCATACTTTGTATGCAGATACCTTATGTTACGAACTTTCCGTCTGTCATATGTCCAATGTCCTTGACCTTATTTTCATGGTTCAGCGACTGCTTGAAAAAAAAGTTTAGTTTTTTTGTTATGTAAATTTCTCACTTATTATGAGTAATAGGATAACTATATTTGGTATATGGGTTCCTTGCAACGTCTACATGTCCATCAGACAGGGTTCACCTGACCTCAGCCTCATTTCATGGATCAGTGATCAAGGTTAAAGTTACGTGATTAGGTCCGTTTCTCAGATACTACAAGCAGTAGGTCAGCTATATGTGGTGTATGGAATGATTATAAGGGATACATGTCAGTCTGGCAGGTTTCATCTGACCTTGACCTCATTTTCACGGTTCATTGGTCAATGTTAAGTTTTTGTGTTTTGGTCTGTTTTTCTAATACTATAAGCCATTGGTCAACTAAATTTGGTGTATGGAATGATTGTAAGGTGTACATGTCTGTCTGGCAGGTGTCATTTGTCCTTGACCTATTTTCATGGTTCATTGGTCAGTGTTAAGTTTTTGTGTTTTGGTCTGTTTTTCTAATACTATAAGCAATAGGTCAACTATATTTGGTGTATGGAATGATTGTAAGGTGTACATGTCTGACTGGCAGGTGTCATTTGTCCTTGACCTCATTTTCATGGTTCATTGGTCAATGTTAAGTTTTTGTGTTTTGGTCTGTTTTTCTAATACTATAAGCAATAGGTCAACTATATTTGGTGTATGGAATGATTGTAAGGTGTACATGTCTGTCTGGCAGGTGTCATTTGTCCTTGACCTCATTTTCATGGTTCATTGGTCAATGTTAAGTTGCTCTTGTTTGGTCCTCTTCTCAGATACTATAAGTTATAGGTCAACTATATGTGGTGTATGGAATGATTGTAAAGTGTGCACGTCTGTCTGACAGGTTTCATCTGACCTTGAGCTTATTTTCATGGTTCATTGGTCAATGTTAAGTTTCTGTTGTTTGGTCTTCTTCTCAGATGCTATAAGTAATAGGTCAACTATATTTGGTGTATGGAATGTATTTTATTATTTAACTGCTGATTACTTACATTGAAATAGATTATTTTATAAAAATCTTTAAATAACATTAATAATGATAATAAATAATAAAAACTTTTAAGGGATCATTACTAAACCGTGATTAACAAAAACATTGGAAGGTGTGAAAATATTAAAATAAGGTCACTCATGCATGAATGTTTAACATAGAATACAGTTCACTCCAGTCCCTTTATAAAGATTAATTGGCTGAATATGTACAGATTGAAGAACTTTTGAAATTTTGTTTGCACAACAAAATCACATTTACTGATTTTTGATACATATGAAATAAGATAAGTATTGAGATAAGTAAAAAATATTTTAGCATAGCAACATAAATAGATAAATAGATAATATGAAAATATGACTTTTTACAATATTTTGATCAAAGATTGAAGATAATTTTAGTTTTTTTTTTTTTTTTTTTTGGGGTGGGGGGGTCTTTCAGGTTCATCTCAAGGAATTGACAAATATTTATCCAGTTTCTGCAATGCCTTAAAAATTTTCCTTGTGCACAGGTTTGTCTGTACTCAAGAGGAAATAAAAAAAAAATGGCCATATTTGTCAATCCCTTCTGATGAAGTTAAGTTTTTGAGTTTTGGTCTTTTTTTCTAATACTATATGCAATAGTTCAACTATATTTGGTGTATGGAAATATTTTATGATCTATTTGTCAGTCACGCAAGTTTTTTTTTTTACCTTGACCTCATTTTCAAGGTTCATTGCTCAGTTTTAAGTTTTGTGTTTTGGTCTGTTTTTCTTAAACTATAAGTAATAGGTGGACTATATTTGTTGTATGGAAGAATTGTTAGCTGTACATGCCTGCCTAGCATGGTTCATCTGACCTTGACCTCATTTTCCTGGTTCATTGGTCAATGTTAAGTTTTCTTGGTTAATGTTAAGTTTATGTGACAGTTGTAATAAAGCTTTATATTTAGGACTATCAACATACTATCAATGATTAGTAAAGAAGGCGAGACATTTCAGTGTGTGCACTCTTGTTATTTATTTTAAAAGTAAAATGAAGTTTTCTTAAATAATTTGGCAGAATTTGAATATTGTGTGTAGGGATATCCTAGAATAAAATTGAACAGGAGATAAACAAAATTAAATATATTTTTGAAATATTTATCTCCATCAACCCAGTTGGCTGGAATACTTTTGTTGGTATAAAACCTTTTTGTGAAAAGACTAAAAATACTACAGTCGAACATATTTTTTAATGATATTATTAAATAAGTTTTAATCAAAGTTGCTACCATTTTGTACCTGATGATTCCATAAGATTGTTATTCAGATTTACATCCATCAATAAATTTTTTATGTTACTGGTATTTTTTCCACCCTTGACAAAGGATGATTAATAAATTTTGATGTTACAATCACTGAATAATGAGAGTAAGCATACACCTATTGTAGAAAATAAAAATATATGGTAACCTGGATTTTCCTTCAATTTAATGTGAAAACTTTTAAACGGTTGGTAAGTTCATCTTGAAACCAAAAATTTTGCACCCCCTGCTATATGAAATAATTCTTGGGATAGTAATATATGAATATACTACTGTAAATTTAGAAATTATTGCGAGCATTTATTATTGTTATTTTGACATGACAAACCAAAAAATTAGATTAATTATTACGACTTGAGAAAAATCTGCATACCGATATATGGATCAGATATCTGTATGTGATTTCATATTATTGCAATACTCATCCAGTTGCATTTTTCACATTTATAAAAAATGCCATAATTTCTAAATTTACAGTATATCTTACATTTTATATATCAACTTTAACAAGTTCATATATGTGTTTTTCATCAGCAATGGAGAGAGCCGACTTGCCTATTCTAGATGAACACATGCATGTGATTTGGGCACGAGGACAAGATCAGGGAGATTATGTACATAGTCCAGCTACTGGTATTGATGGTGTTCCAGCTTCTTCTCTCAACATTCCAAACTATTACAGAGACGACGAATTCAAATACCATGGCCATAGATCTCATAGAGGTGTCACCAGAATCAACTTCAGAGGTATATAGATAGTTCTTCTGTTTCTGCAGTTGATCCCTTGTCATGTAAAAACTGAACACATTTAAATAGAACTTTCAAAAAAGTAATATTTTCATAATCACTCATAATAATACTATAATTGACAATTTACTGAATTATTATTTTTGATATTTTTGTAGCTTTATAAAGCCTTGTTTTTCAACATTGAAAATTTTGTTTTTAAAAAAAGAATTTTTGGAAAACTCTTCAAAATGTGCAAACTCTCTTTGAACTTAGTGAAAAGGATACATTTATTATGTTTATTGAAAACAATACATCAATTATATCTCATTTCACAATATAAAATGGCTACTGTTGATAAAAAAAAAAGATAATTGACAAAACTTGTGATATATTTGATGACCTGTGATCAGTCATATGATATCTTTATATATAAAGTGCCTAGATCAAATATGATATTTAGAAAAACATTTTAGTATCTTCAATCACTAACATGAATGATTTGTACCTTTCAGAGGGTGCAGCTACACCACCACCAAATGGTCAGTGTGCTGGTTCCTGGGGAACATGCTCTACTGGGAACTGTCATAGAGTCACATGGGCGTATGCTAATGACATGATTTCCTTCACCATTACTGCGGACTTAGAAAATGACCAGTGGGTTGGCATTGGGTTTAATACTATCAGAGCAATGGTAATTTTAAAAAGCTATATCAGAAAACTTGTTTAAGGTTAACATTTAGACAAAGAAATCAAATTTGAATTACTTTTCAAGCTTTACTGAAATAGATTCAAGTTTATTAAAGAGAATGTATAAGATTATATATATGTTCTTTTTTTGCATCTAGGGCAGTATCCAACAAAAAGTAAGTCAACACAGCATATTTTTCATGCCCCAATGGCTCTGGTTTAAGTTTATGCACAACAGTGTTTTTTGATGAAAGACGCAACATTTAGGTAAAGATATGCATAATCCTATTAAATTATGATATAAGGATATTTGATGGCCAGACAGACATTATCTCCCATGGGATATCCTACATTGATAGCACATACTTACAGGGAACGTAATCCTGCAAAGCTTGAATACAAAAGAGAACTATGGTACTGCAATAGTATAGATTAAAAAAGATCTTTTGTTTATTTCCAGAGTAACACAGATGTCATAATTGGATGGGTTACGTCTGATGGACAAGTTACTATAATGGATATGTAAGTCTTGCAATATTTTTTTATTCCCTGCCTCAGATACTAAAGGAGCATTATGTTTTCTGGTTTGTGCATCCGTCCATTAGTCCATCATATATCAGGTTAAAGTTTTTGGTAAAGGTAGTTTACCATGAAGATGTGGTCACACAAACTTGAAACTTAGTGCACATGTTCCTTATGAACTTTTCTAAATTATATACCAAATTAAGGTTTTGACCCTGAGACTCTTGATATACAATTGTCATATACAGAGCAGAATATTCATGATATTTCTACCAGTTTTAGTAAAATTATTAAATAATAATTTTTGAAATGCAACAGACCAAAATTGTAATATTCTAATGGCCTAAATTTGCAAATTCTTCAGGAATGAACTTTGCTACTTTCTTGAGAAAAGAAACACATAATGGAAGTTCCAACTAATAATAAATTACTATACAGGGTTACTTCTTACTATCCAGGGGGAATAAATCATCGTATTTATAATTTGTAAAAAAAAAATTATGACTGATAAGATTTTACTTGTGTATTTTGACATGACATTATTTGATGATATGCAATTAGCTTCTAATTTGGTACTTCTGTAAAGTAAATAAAACCATATATTTCACCTGTTAAAATTCCCTTTTCGACATAATTGAAGTAAAGTTTCAAATTTCAAATCTAAATTGTTGGAATCCTTTTCTGAAAACTCATAAAAAGATGAAGTAAATCATATGAAGTTGATACAGCCCCATAAGGTGTATTTCCATTACATAAATTAAAAAAGTAACAAAAATACAGCTCTTCTGTGCTTTGATTTTCTTCATACAGCTATAACTGACCCAAACTGGACTGAAAAGGAAATTTTGGTTTTGGATCATTAACAGTTCTCTGTATCACTTTTCCTGTTGAAGTAAAGGCAAAATAAGAAACTCTTTTGGTTTCAAAAATAATATTTATAATAGAACAAGTGTGGACACAGATGAATGTGGATAGTATGTTTGGATGTTTGACAGTGTGTTTTATATGACAAAAGGAGTTCTATGTTTTTCCTATATGGTGTTATTAACTGTGTTGCACGATGACAACCAACCTGAGCATGAATAGTGTTGTTTATTTAATATTTAGATTTTATGTTCAAGACGGGCATGGAAGAGACACTAATTGTATTAATTACCAAATGATTATGATAGAATATTTTCCTCATCTTTGATTTTGGATACATTTTGTAGCTAGGAGAGCAACACATAATAGGTTCATTTTTTCATGTGATTTTTTTTTAAATGGGAGATGATATCTGAGAACATGATATCAGGAGGCTGTAATTCAGTGGTTGTCGTTTGTCTATGTGTTACATAATATTTGTTTTTCGTTTATTTTGTGTACATAAATAACATAAATGACTATGCATTATGGGCTTTGCTCATTGTTGAAGGCTGTACGGTGACCTGTAGTTGTTAATTTCTGTGTCATTTTGGTCTGTTGTGGAGAATTGTCTCATTGGCAATCATACCACATCTTTTTTATATGTATTTGCTCACTATTTGTATGGTTCTATTTATATTACTTTGTGGTGGATTGTCAGTATCATTAGTAAAATATTTTGTTAAAATGTCGAAATTGTTTCTCAGATTAGAAGACATTTATTGGTTTTTAGTAATGACAATGCCTGACATGATGCTTGGGGCTAGATGAGCTAGAAAGTAAACTTCTGTGTTGTTTTTTATCAATTCTTTGATAACATCTCCTCGAAAGCTGGCCAAAGCAAAAAAAAGTTTTGACCAATATGAAAATGATATCAACAAAAAAACCTTTGTGAGCATGCTTCAAAGACTCATAACTGCTCCAAAAGTAATCTGATAGAATTTCAAGCATGTCAAGTGGGTATTATGAAAATCTACTTAATATGTCTAAATATCAAAAAAGTTATAGTATTCAATATGAAAAAGGTTTTGCAAAATTATTCTCTTTTCAATTTTTCTTTTTATATGGATAAAAATATAAGTGATACCAATACAGTATTTGTTGTGGTATGAAAGTGTAGAAATTAACATTTACTGTACAATGTTAATTCACACAAATTAAGAAATAAACAAATGAATGAAAAATGTTGAACATGTACAATGAAATATAGTTTTAGAAATCAATTAGGCCAGACAGGCCTTATAAATTTTGGTCTTTTTTTTTAACATACTGAATGACCATTTACACTCAGGACCGAGTCATCAGTAGGCAGTACAGATGTATTAAAACAACCTAGCATCATATTGCTAGTAGCGAGTGTAGCATTGTCGGGTAAATTTGTTCTTTTTTTAAAATTTGGTTAATGGACAAAAAATGTTTGGTTCAAATCATAATAAAATGCTTTTATCTCCTTATTACTTACATTGTACATAGAATGGATACTACCCTGACAAATCCTTGTACATGAGAGTTGTCTGTCAAATCTTTATTTCACAAAGAATGAATTGCATAACAATGAACTGAGATCAAAGCAAAGCACTTTAATAATACACTTAGACAAAGAGCTCAATCCAGTGATATACTTTGTACTACAGGTCCTTCATGAACATCCTATCCACCAAAACCATATCTCACAAACATGCCATACTACATGGTTGGATCAGAAATCCTGAAAAAGACATGAATTTTATATTTTATATCATATTTTAATTATATATACACAGGTTAAAAGTTATATACTCCAATGGCAGTCTTTCCTGCTAAAATGTCATGTGTAGAATGTGATATACCATTTTTGGGTCTATATGGGTACTGTCCCCTATATTTATTAGGTCATTTTGACACAGCAAAATATATAGAAAATGTTAACTTTGATCTGGAAATTGAGTTCTTTTTCGCAAAATAAACCCACTAAAACTAAACTTTGAATGCAAAAGACCCCTAAATGGCTAACAGATATTGCTATAAAGAATAGTCCATGATGATTCTGGTTATTAAAGAGTTCATGAAATGTACACCGATTCGGTCAGTTGAATGGACTAGAATGAGGTAAGTTATATAAACATAAAGGTTTTTTCAACAGTTGTGGTGTAAATTAAATCAGTTTTATTTTATGGTTGACATATTTAAGTATATATGTAGATCATTGGCTTTTCAACACATTGATATTTTACAATATCGATTATGATCTATTTATGGTTATATTGTTGGTATTTTTCACCTTCCTAAAACAGTTTTAACGCAACATGAACGCAAGCTTGATAGATCTTGATAGGGTGTCCTCACATATTTCGACGTTGCTGAAAAATTTTGGTTGACATATGTATCCTCTACTCATCGTTTTTTCGTCCTATTAAGAATGCATACTGTCGTCACAATTTCCATTGAAAAGGCATGCATAGTACATATTCATATGACGTACGGAAACATATGATCTGACCATATACATGTACATGTATGTATAGGTTATCAGCTTTTCTACACATATTAGCCAGTTAGCCGCAATGAACCTATTATGGCGAGTGAGCGCAGTTAATGAGCTTAAATGAATCAAATTGTGTCCTCAGTGGGGGATATTTTAAGGGATCTATATGAAGAAAACCTGATCATCTGTTTATCGTTCTATTACTGGCTTTTTCACCTCCCTATCTTGGCCTAAGACAGTTTTTACAGATAAAAGCAAGCTTGATAACTACTCCTCACACACATGTATAGATTTTCGACTTTTCTACACGAGTCATGAATATCTTAATGTTAGCCAGTGAGCAGGCCCGCAATGAACCTTTTTAGCGAGTGAGCCCAGCTAATGAGCTAAAATGAATCAAATTGTGTACTCAGTCACAGTTGGTGATATTTTAAGGTATCTACACAAAGAAAACCTGCTTATATATATCTCAGTGGCGGATCCACAACTTTTCATAAAAGGGGGTGGCCGCTGACTGACCTAAGGGTTGCCCACTCCCATCATGCTTCCCCAGTGGCGGATCCGGGGGGAGGGTTCCGAGGGTTGGAACCCCCCCTTTTTTGGACGATCAATGCATTTGAATGGGGACACATAGTTGGAACACACCCCCCACCCACCCTTTGTCCTGAGTTGGGAACCCCCCTTTTATAAAAACTGGCTGGATCCGCCCCTGCTTCCCTATAAAATCAACCAAATTTTCCCCACCCCCTGGATCCGTCTATGTAACTGTTTATCGTTCTGCGTAATACTGGCTTTTTCACCTCCCTTACTTGGCCCTAGACAGTTGCTTATCTGTTTATCGTTCTGTCACTGGCTTTTTTTAGACTAGAGACTTCATGTGTACAAACCTGACGTCAAACTCGTGTACTATAAAAGAAGAGACAAATAATTTCACATTAAATCCTGTAACATTACATCTAAAGATAATTATAATCCAAAGTAAATTATATTACGATGTCAATGGACTAAATTCCCGCGCAAATGTCATCACTGGGATAGACCAAACCGAATTTTAGGTTTATGTATCATTCACATTCCGATCAATTTACTCAGTTAAATAAAATTTATGTGTTAACTATTTTTATATTGGTTTTGAATTTAGTTAATCTATCAGAAAAAAGGATTTATTTCTCGCAGACAGCCCTCAATACTATACACCAACTCGACACTGAAGCTAAAAAAAAACCTAAAACATAATAGTATATGGAATCGTCCAAAACGGATTACCTAATATTGATATAGGTGAAATATGTAGATTCAGAATTGTGTACCGGTACACAGAAATAAGATCAGAAATAAAGCCCTATGTAAGGTGAAAACAATAACACAACTGTATAAAATCATTGTTTATTAAATTTGCTTGCATAAGAACCATGAAGTTAAAATTTATAACGATTACGTTTATCCTGTCAACCCCTTTTCTTCATTGCATCAAGGCTTCCGTTGCTTTACATCGAGCAGCAATTCAACCAATCGGTGAATGTTAAGTTGGGACATACCTCTATTTTTGGAAGCGTGATCTTTACATCGAGGCTTGCGTTGCTTTACACCGAGGCCACAGTAGTTCGACCAATCGGGGAATGTTTATTTGGGGCATGTGACCTATTGAACTGCAGGTTTTATAATATTTTAATCGAAATTGTAGAAAAATGAAATGTTGTTAGTACATACAAAACAGAAAATGATGAATACTTTTAGTAAAAGATAATTTGGATCCGGGTTTTGTGTATTCACATCATTTGTACAACTCTCCTTACTGATGCCATTTTTGGGAATTTCTGTGACCTAAATGGTTCGCGAAAATTAATATTTTATTATATAGTATAGTAAAAACAAAGGATATGGGGTATCCATGCATGACCCAAAATCAGTACATGCGCAGCAAAAAACACACAAAAAGTAAAGGAACAGCGCTTTTATTGCTGTTCTTCATCTCAAATTCATGCATGTATGATTGAATGTGATGAGTAAATGATTTCAGGGGTGAATACAATGTTGATAGTTTTTATAGTCTGTAATACATAGACCATGCAGGTGAGTGATATAGGCTTTGTGTAAGTAGATTCTATGGATGGTGGAAAATCACATATTAAATTTCTTATCAAATATGGATTTTCAATATCAGTTGAACTATGGATACTATGGTATACATGAACAGTAACAATCAACCTTTTGTTATAGAATGAAAATCTATACTCTCAAATATATCTTAAGGTTGTAGCAGAGGAACCAGTCTATTTATCTTTGTTTTCAGTAACTATAAGGATTCAGTCAGACTTTTTATGACCCAATAACTATAATACAGAGAACATATTTGTTTTCTTTTCTGTGAGGACGTTCATCCATCAATTCATCCATTCCTTATCAGGTTGAAGTTTTGGATTAAGGTAGTTGTTGTCACATCAACTTGAAACTTAGTCCACAAGTTTATTATGACATGAACTTTTAAATAGATAAAAAAATAAGGGTCTTGACACAGATTTGATAGTTGATTGAACATTGTAATGTGATAATGCCAGCATGGCAGGTTGTACAATTGACATATTAATTATTGATTTTTATGCCCCACCTACGATAGTAGTAGGGGCATTATGTTTTCTGGTTTGTGCGTCCGTTTGTTCGTCCGTCTGTTCGTCCGTCCGTCTGTCCCGCTTCAGGTTAAAGTTTTTGGTCAAGGTAGTTTTTGCTGAAGTTGAAGTCCAATCAATTTGAAACTTAGTACACATGTTCCCTATGATATGATCTTTCTAATTTTAATGCCAAATTAGAGCTTTTTCCCCAATTTCACAGTCCACTGAACATAGAAAATGATAGTGCGAGTTGGGCATCCGTGTACTATGGACACATTCTTCTTTAAAATGTTATTCAAACTGGTTTTACTATGTATGCATTTTATTATTAATCTGATGATTGTAGGAAAAATCCCAGTTCATATGGTAGCCCTAGGGCTGATACAAGCCAAGATATCTCTGAAATTCAAGGATCAAGAATTGGACGCAGAACAACTTTATCCTTCAAACGTCCACGTACAACAAATGATCCAGCTGATTTTAGTTTCTCTGAAACCAATTGTGGATACCTCTTTTTCCCAAAAGGAGGCAGTTTTGATGCTACCACTAAGTCAATCGGCAAACACGATCAGACACCTGTTATTTCTTCAAATAAGATATGTTTCCCCTGTCAAGGTTTGTGACTCTAGCACTATGTAAAACTTTAATGTATTAATGTAGAAAATTAATATTTGTGCTTTATATCTGACATCTATACCGGTAAACTCCCTATTTTAAATAGTACTAATAATAGTTTTATTAGATTTAGAGTCAAGTTCGGTTTAAGAAGGGGAGCTTCCAAATATAATTTTTTTATTTTGAAAACTCCCAGACAAGACCAGTCTCTGATTGAGGTCAGAATTTTGTACTTCACTGTCAACATTTAAAAAAAAAATTGTTTCTTGTAAAAATGACAAGTAATGGTAAAAAATTAAAGCCCATTGAATGTACTGTATATTTATATATACTTGTATCCAGGGTGTCAAACTTTCATATTTTATGAAGAAATATGTCATTGGTTCATGGGCCTTTGAATTCAAGGTTTCATTCTTTGCACATAACTATTGTTTTATAGAATTTACATATTTGACCCAAAGTGACCATTTTGCTCATAGTGTTTTGCAAAATTTGATATGTGGCATGGTTCTGCTCAAAAAGATGTTATACCCACATTTACATCTTGTTAAAAAATATCTTGTAGCAAAATAATTGTTTGGCTCATACCTAAATATAAATGAAAGATCTCAAAATGTTGCGTTTTTGGCAGTTGCTTTTTCATTAAATGCGAGGAGTTTGTTAGCAGATAATACAAATATGCAAAACAAAATTCAATACTGTAAACACTGATATCTGACAGATTAATGTCTTGTGAACATTTGAAGGTAGTTATACGATAGATTAATGATACTTTTTGTTTTTTTCAATTTCAGGGGGCCAAAAAGATATATGAAATCTTCTCTTCTGTTTAATAAATTATTACATTCATTTGTTTCACTTTTTCCAAGTATTGAAGTTGTTGCCATTTATTGATGATTTGAATTTACTTTTAGAGCTTTTGATAATTTTTCTTGAAAACAATACTGTAAATTCAGAAATTATTCTGAATTCACAGTAATGGAAAGAGAGATTCTGTAAACAACAAAATTGATAAACAAGTAACTTTAAGATTTACAAATCTTTTCAAAAGTATTGTGATAACTGCATAATGGAGGGTTGAGGCTTGGAATATTTTTATCCTTAATTTCATTTAAATATTGTTATCACGTGAGCAATTGGGGCTCTTACTAGCCTCTTCCTTTGCCATAAAGAGTTTTATTGTTCCTGCACAATGCGTTTCGGGGACATAGAAATACCGATTGTCCGTTGGTCCATCCGTATGTCTGTGCGGTCTTGTTAGTGCTTTCACATGTACAATTCTTGCCAGATTTTAATAAAACTAATATCATAGGTTTATTTGGCATTGTCTCAGACAAGTTCGAAAATTAGTGCAGATTAACCATTTTTAGAAGAGTTATGCCCCTTGGAAACATTAATTTTATAGAAAATTGCATTGTTAGCGCTCTCACGTGTACAATTCTGGACACGTTTGAAAATCAGTGCCGATCAGTTATTTTTAAAAGAGTTATGCCCCTTGAAAATATTAATTATATGGAACATTGCATTATAAGCACTCTCGCTGGTACAATTTTTGCCAGATTTTTATCAAATAAATATCAAAGGTTTATATCAGCAATGTCTGGGACAATTTAAAAAATCAACAACAATGAAATAATTTTCAAGAGAGTTATGCCCCTTGGAAATATTAATTATATCTAAAATTGCATTGCATTTGCTCTCAAGCCTTTATTTCTCTTGGATATTTATAAAAATTTTAAATTTTTTTTAGTTTTTGCCAATGGACAGATAAAATATGTGCAATGTGGGAGACATTGGAACTCTGTTCTTTATTATTAAAGTCATGTGCAAGGAATGTTTTGCAGATGGTCTAATCCATTGTGAGATAGGACAAACTTGCACTTCAAAAGTATATATAAGGTTTCCTGCCATTTTGATATTCTTTCTTATAAACAGATCGGATCATCTTTTAAAAATACATTTGATTTTACTTTATTACAATTAACACATATAGTTATATTCTAAGTTGATACAATTTACACATATATATAGATTTGAGCTGTTATTGTTTTGTTTATTTAGGTGGAACCCAAGCTACTCCAGCAAGCCATATGTACACTGTAATGATCAGAATTTTGGGTATACCATATATTGGTCAATATGGAAATATCAACACACAGGAATATTTGAATCTGAAAAGAGAAGTTGAAAATGAGGTATGTTTATTTTTTTTTATCCGATTTGGTACTGTGATATGCCTAAATATGCTGAATATCTCACACATATTGATATTTATACATGGTGGGGGGCATGATTGCTGAATATCTTGCTCATATTGATATTTATACATGGCGGGGGCATGGTTGCTGAATATCACACATATTGATACTTACACATATTTTAATATTTATACATGGTGGGGGCATGGTTGCTGAATATCTCACACAGATTGATACAGCTGTATTTATACATGGTGGGGGGCATGGTTGCTGAATATCTCACACATATTGATATTTATACATGGTGGGGGGCATGGTTGCTGAATATCTCACACATATTGAGGAAAAGAATAAGAAAGAAAACAATATATCAGTTGATTTGATCAGAACACAATTGTGGATCAGGAGAAGGGGTAGACAATAAATTTGTTAAGTCCTATACATTATTTGTTGGTCACTATGGAAACTTATTTGCCTTATGGTTGTGTTAAACTTTCAAGCTAGTTTGTATAAACATTTTCTGTGATGATATATAATACATTTTGTACATTTATATTGTCCTGTGATAAGTGATTTAACTTTGATTGCCACTTACTATTATTTTCTTTCTTGATAACTAAGTTAAACAGTATAAATCAGTGTTATAAGTTACATGTCTCTTTATTTATTATTTAATTGATAGGTTACCCAGTTGTTTGCCAACAGTCGTAGATTTCAATCAGTTTGGATCATACGCTTCATGTAAGTGCTTATTTGTAATGTTTGCGTTTTAAAATTTAGATGATTAATATTTTGTTTAGCCTAAATTGCTCTATTGTCTGAATTTCTGTCTGGTCTATTGGTGTTGACCTTGACCTCATTTTCATGTTTCAATGATTAAATCAAAAACTGAAAATTAATTACTCAATTACTGTGAGGAATAGGCTACTACTGAAAATTCAGAAATTATTGCTGCATTAATTATTATGATTGTTGATCAATGGATAAAATAGTGAAATAAATTATTTCCGTTTTGGAAGATGCTCCTATACAAATAACGCTAAAAAATTAATAATGCAAGTTTTTATTTTTGCGACACATATCCCATTACAATTTTTGCAATAATAAAAACATTACAAAAGTTTTTGAATTTACAGTGTACTTGGTCCTTAGAATCAATGGGACACATTTCAACATTTCATTCCACTATTGTTTTAATTTAGTTACTTTTGACCAATTACAAGAAAGTTATATTAGATCAAATAGATTCTACTGTATAAAGTATTATGTTGGTGAAACCAAGCAGATTTAATGTTTTTATATTACAACACAGATCAGGAAGCGTTATAGCTGAACTTGGTATTGAAATGGCGGGCAATGAAGCTGAGACTAAGGATGAAGTAAATAGCATGTTGTTATCAGTTTTAGGGGAAGGAAGACTTGGTGGATATACAGTTGATGGAAGTCATAGTCTTGGACTTGGAAATGCTAAACCTGGTATGGATACCTTTCGCTATTTCTTCAAACAAGAGGGATTTTCTCGGGTTCAATCTCATTGAAGGAAAACAGCCCTGAGATGAGATGTACCCAAGAAATATTTTAAAATTTGAAAGCCCATTGATAATCTGTTAATCATTATTTTTTCCAAAAAAAATTCAATGACGAAGGCTTATGATGCCATATATTATCTTTATAATCTACTGAGAAAAACCCATATCATTTGAGTAGCTTGCGATAGAAAATTATTAAAAAGATCAAAGGAAAATTTGAGAAAATAGCAACAAAGTGTCATGATTAGCTTCATTATCTTATAAATTTTTTATCACTTTTGTTTCAAAATTAAAATCTTCAAATCTTGAGTAAAGATATACTATCTTAATAAACACTAAATAGCTGATTTCGAACAGTTAGAGTTATACAATACATCAAGTTGCTTTGGTTTGAAAAACCAGTGCTAAACAACTATAAAGGAGTTATGCTCCTTTGAAAAATAAATTATATGGAAAATTGCATTGTAAGCACTCTCAATATCAAAAAAGGAGATGTGGTATGATTGCCAATGAGACAACTATCCACCAGAGTTCAAATGATGAAGATAAAAGCAATAATAGGACAACTTGCAATCTCAACAATGAGAAAAACCCATGCCATATACTCAACTATAAAAAGGCCCCGACATGAAAAATGTGAAACAATTCAAACAAGAAAACTAACAGCCTAATTTATAATATACAATTTAAGAAAAATAAATATGACGGACATGAATCAAAGAAAACCACTGAATTACAGGCTCCTGACTTGGGACAGGCACATAAAGAATGTGGCAGGGTTTGTGAGCGTTCAACCCTCCCCTAACCTGGGACATTTCTTGAAGGATTGTTATAAAACTTATATCAAAGGTTTATATCATTAATGTTTGGAATGAGTTCAAAAATCCGCGATGATTAATTATTTTAACAGGAGATATGTCCCTTAAAAAATGTAAATTCTATTGGTAATTGAATTGTAAGCGCTTTCAAGAGTACAAATTTTGCCCTATAAGTTTATGAAATGAAATGTATACCAAAGGTTTATATCAGCAGTATCGCGAACAAGTTCTTAAATCAGTGCCTATCAACTATTTTGAAAGGAGCTATGCCCGTTGGGAATGTAATTTATATTGAACATTGCATTGTAAGCACTTTCACCCCTTCATTTCTGGTTGGATTTTTTATGAAATTTATATCAAAGGTTATAACATCAGGGTATTGGATCAGTGCTGACCAAATATTTGTATGGAAGTTATTCCTGTTGAAATAAAAATTATACAGAAAATAACATTGTTAGCAATCTCATGTCTCTTGTAGGATATCTATGAAAAAAGTTTTTTTTGGAGTTATTGCCTTGAACAGATTGATATATAAATATACAAGTTTGGTGAACATTGGAATGCTGTTCTTTTATTTTTCAGTGGAAAGACCAACACAGTCACCTATTGAAGAAGAAGATGAGGAAATACACATAGCTGTATGGTTTATTGTGGGAATAGCTGGTGCCACTGTTCTTCTCATCGTTGTTTTTGGGATGTGCAACTGTATGAAAAAGAAGCCAAATCAGTCTGAGGTAGATAATGAAGCTCCCTTTAAATACAATACTGTATCTCATCTTTAATCTCTTCTTTTATAAGAAATTCAGGTAACATTTCAGTTCTTTTAGCATGTTGTAGACCGGTGAAATGTAAGCTCTACCAAAATGGACCTTAATGCTATATGGGAATCTGGAACACTTGAACACTTGAACTATTGATGTCTTCATCACTTTTTGTTTTTGTGGCATCTGTTAATATTCTCCAATGACATCAGAATTTCATCAGTAGTGTCCAATTTTGGCAGACAAATAGCAATAAGGTGTATTCATGTTTATGATTTGATAACTGTCTCTTTATTAATAATACTCCAAGGGAAAGTTAGGGTAGAAGGTAGATTGGTTAAAGGATGTTTAAGAACATTTATTCAATGAAAATACAATTATAAATCTGCAAAAATGTTATATATTTATTTTGATTACACATTTATTTATTTTTTAAATTGATTGATATAATTTTTACATTCTTGTTTGTTAACTTTGGCTGATAATGATGTACATGGTCATTTTTTTTTAATTTCTGTTCCAAAGATCTAAAATACTTATATTAAAACTTTTCATTTAAAATTGAAATACTGTTTGGATGAAGCAGGATACTTAATACACAAGTTATCAACAGTCAGTACAAGTTTTGGCTAATTTGTAAAAAGGATCAAATAAAAAAAGTAGTCATGAAAGATATTTTATATAGTTTCTTAAAATTTTCTTAAACTGACCTAATTTTTATGGTCATTGGTCAGTTTTCTTAATTAGGTTTGTTTCTTAGATACTATAAGCAATAGGCTAACTATATTTTGTATATGGTATAATTGTAAAGAGTACATGTCTGTCTGGCAGGGTTCTTCTGACCTTGGCCTCATTTTCAAGGATCATTGATAATGTTAAGCTTATGTGATACTTGTAGTTAAACCTTCATATTACAGACTTTCAACATGAATTCAATCATGATAAGTAAAGCAGGTGAGACATTTCAGCATTAGCATCCTTTTGTTAAGTATGTCAAATGTAAAATTAACAGTGTCTTAAATAGATTAAAACTTTGGGAAATATTTTGTTTCCTGACAATGTCATAGAGCCAATCTCCCCTCAACCCTTATATCATCAATTACCATCATTTTTAGCTCACCTGGCCCGAAGGGCCAAGTGAGATTTTCTCATCACTTGGCATCCGTCCTCCGTCGTCGTCGTTAACTTTTTACATTTTGAACTTCTTCTAGAGAACCACTGAATGGAATGAAACCAAACATGGCATGAATGTTCCTTATGAGGTGCTGACCAAGTGTTGTTACTTTGTAGCGGATCCATCATCCAAGATGGCCGCCAGCGGGGGACTTAGTTTAACATAGGACCCTATGGGAAATACATACAAATGTCTTCTTTTAGAGAACCACTGAATGGAATGAAACCAAACATGGCATGAATGTTCCTTATGAGGTGCTGAACAAGTGTTGTTACTTTGAAGCTGATCCATTATCCAAGATGGCCGCCAGCGGGGGACTAAGTTTAACATAGGACCCTACGGGAAATACATACAAATGTCTTCTTTTAGAGAACCACTGAATGGAATGAAACCAAAAATAGTATGAATGTTCCTTATGAGGTGCTGACTGAGTGTTGTTACTATGAAGCCGATCCATAATCCAAGATGGCCGTCAGCGGGGGACTTAGTTTAACATAGGAGCCTATGGGAAATACATACAAATGTCTTCTTTTAGAGAACCACTGAATGGAATGAAACCAAACATGGCATGAATGTTTCTTATGAGATGATAACCGAGTGTTGTTACTTTGAAGCAGATCCATAATCCAAGATGGCCGCCAGCAGGGGACTTAGTTTAACATGGGACCCTATGAGAAATACATACAAATGTCTTCTTTTAGAGAACCACTGAATGGAATGAAACCAAACATGGCATGAATGTTCCTTATGAGCTGCTGACCGAGCGTTGTTACTTTGAAGCCGATTCATAATCCAAGATGGCCGCAAGCGGGGGACTTAGTTTAACATGGGACCCTATAGGAAATACATACAAACGTCTTCTTTTAGAGAACCACTGAATGGAATGAAACCAAACATGGCATGAATGTTCCTTATGAGGTGCTGACCAAGTGTTGTTACTTTGAAGCTGATCCATCATCCAAGATGGCCGCCAGTGGGGGACTTAGTTTAACATAGGAGCCTATGGGAAATATATACAAATGTCTTCTTTTAGAGAACCACTGAATGGAATGAAACCAAACATGGCATGAATGTTCCTTATGAGGTGCTGACCGAGTGTTGTTACATTGAAGCTGATCCATAATCCAAGATGGATGCCAGTGGGGGACTTAGTTTAACATGGGACCCTATGGAAGATACATACAAACGTCTTCTTTTAGAGAACCACGGAATGGAATGCAACCAAACATGGCATAAATGTTTCTTATGAGATGCTGACCAAGTGTTGTTACTATGAAGCCGATCCATAATCTAAGATGGCTGCCAGCGGAGGACTTAGTTGAACATAGGACCCTATGAGAAATACATACAAATGTTTTCTTTTAGAGAACCATTGAATTGAATGAAACCAAACATGGCATGCATGTTCCTTTTGAGGTGCTGACCAAGTGTTGTTACTTTGAAGCTGATCCTTCATCCATGATGGCCGCCAGATGGGGACAATGTTTAACAAAGGACCCTATGGACAATACATACAAATGTCTTCTTTTAGAGAACCACATACTGAATGGATTAAAACCAAACATGGCATAAATGTTCCTTATGAGGTGCTGACTAAGTTTTGTTACTTTGAAGCTGATCCTTCATCCATGATGGCCACCAATGGGGGGACTTCCTTTAACATAAGACCCTATGGGAAATACATACAAATGCTTCTTCTAGAGGTGCACTGAATGGAATGAAACCAAAACATGGCATAAATGTTTCTTATGAGGTGCTGATGAAGTGTTTCTACTTTGTTGCCGATTTACTGTTCAAGATGGCCACCAGGATTTTTTGTCGAGCCTGCGACTTTTGTCGCAGAAAGCTCGACATAGGGATAGTGATCCGGCGGCGGCTACGGCGGCGGCGGCGTTAGCTAACTTCTTAAAAGCTTTATATTTTAGAAGGTGGAAGGTCTGGATGCTTCATACTTTGTATATGGATGCCTCATGTTACGAAGTTTCCGTCAGTCACATGTCCAATGTCCTTGACCTCATTTTCATGGTTCAGTGACTACTTGAAAAAAAAGTTCAGATTTTTTGTAATGTTAGATTCTCTCTTATTATAAGTAATAGGATAACTATATTTGGTATGTGCGTACCTTGCAAGGTCCTCATGCCCGTCAGACAGTTTTCACTTGACCTCGACCTCATTTCATGGATCAGTGAACAAGGTTAAGTTTTGGTGGTCAAGTCCATATCTCAGATACTATAAGCAATAGGTCTAGTATATTCGGTGTATGGAAGGACTGTAAGGTGTACATGTCCAACTGGCAGGTGTCATCTGACCTTGACCTCATTTTCATGGTTCAGTGGTTATAGTTAAGTTTTTGTGTTTTGGTCTGGTTTTCTTATACTGTATGCCATAGGTCTACTATATTTGGTGTATGGAATGATTGTAAGGTGTACATGTCTAGCGGGCAGGTGTCATCTGACCTTGACCTCATTTTCATGGTTCAGTGGTCAAAGTTAAGTTTTTGAGTTTTGGTCTTTTTTTCTAATACTATATGCAATAGTTCAACTATATTTGGTATGTGCGTACCTTGCAAGGTCCTCATGCCCGTCAGAAAGTTTTCACTTGACCTCGACCTCATTTCATTGATCAGTGAACAAGGTTAAGTTTTGGTGGTCAAGTCCGTATCTCAGATACTATAAGCAATAGGTCTAGTATATTCGGTGTATGGAAGGACTGTAAGGTGTACATGTCCAACTGGCAGGTGTCATCTGACCTTGACCTCATTTTCATGGTTCAGTGGTTATAGTTAAGTTTTTGTGTTTTGGTCTGGTTTTCTTATACTGTATGCCATAGGTCTACTATATTTGGTGTATGGAATGATTGTAAGGTGTACATGTCTAGCGGGCAGGTGTCATCTGACCTTGACCTCATTTTCATGGTTCAGTGGTCAAAGTTAAGTTTTTTTAGTTTTGGTCTTTTTTTCTAATACTATATGCAATAGTTCAACTATATTTGGTGTATGGAAATATTTGATGATCTTTTTGGCAGTCACGCAGGTTTTATTTGACCTTGACCTCATTTTCAAGGTTCATTGCTCAGTGTTAAGTTTTTGTGTTTTGGTCTGTTTTTCTTAAACTATAAGCAATAGGTCAACTATATTTGTTGTATGGACGAATTGTTAGCTGTACATGCCTGCCTAGCATGGTTCATCTGACCTTGACCTCATTTTCATGGTTCATTGGTCAATGTTTAGTTTACTTGGTTAATGTTAAGTTTATGTGACAGTTGTAATAAAGCTTTATATTTAGGACTATCAACATAATATCAATGATTAGTAAAGAAGGCGAGACATTTCAGCGTGTGCACTCTTGTTATTAAATTACAGGACCAATATTAAACCAAATTTGTCCTCGCTCATTATTAGGGTATCTGTTATGATTTTGATCTATTTTTACATGATTTCCAAAACCAAAGTAGAATCAGGTGAGTGACACAGGCTCTTGAGAGCCTCTAGTTTATTAAGCTTTTACCAGACTCACATTCTCGAATTTCAAAAACAAAAAAACCCAGTACTAGGCTCAAAACAACTTTTCTTCTACTGCAAATCCACAAAGATTCCAACTCAGCTCATGCACTTATGGTGCTATTGTAATTTCTTTGGTTTATTCAGGTTTTCCAGAGTTATGTCCCTTTGATCATACTTTGCCTCTGTAACTCCTAACATTATTGTGTCTAAGTGAACTTGGAATATTGTTAGATGCTGATATTAAGGTAAAAGATAATCTGTTTCTTTGACTTTTATTAATTATAGTTATTTATCTTCTAAACATGTCAAATTTTAAAATCATAATTTGCATTGTTCAAGGCTTATCTTGACTTTTTAACACATTTCATTTAAGTATCTACTTGTGTCATAGATCTGGGTGGGTAACAGGGCTTCCAAAAAATCTTTGAGCCAGCCGAACATTTTATGTCTTATCCCGATTTTAATTCCTTAAGAATTAGTAACAAAAGGCAATTATGGTAATCAGTTGGCCATCATATAACCAATGATTGACAATAAAAAACGATATTAAACTTTACTTTGATATAAATTCGATGTTCTGACGTAAACTGTTAAATTGACATTCCATCATTTGCAGTGTGCAACATCAGTGGACTAATATCTGCCTTAGACTCTTTATTTGTGCAAAATAATGTTGTCAAAAACTTTACTTTCGTTTTTGAAAAGCATATTTTCCTAATACCGGATGTTGACTTGACAACGGTAAAACAGGGACCAGAGACGGATACGTAAAATCTGTGTGCGTTTACAAAGCACGATTGAGCTTAAGTAGCTCTCTCCACGTTATTTTTTCAAGAAAATAATTGAAATGAACGTTAGATAAAGGTATCAATGATTATTTTAGCATTTTTGAAGAATCGGGATGCATAATTAAATTTCCCACCTGTGCTCATGTTAGTTCGTGGTCTAGTGGTTAAGACCGATGGCTACAGTGCTGAAGGTCCCGAGTTCGATTCTAACTCGGGTGCTAAAAATATCAGTACATCAGAAGGGTGATTTTCACCCTCTCACACACATCTCTGGTACCCAGACCGGAGTTTAAACTAGAATGGGTACTTTGGGGGCCTCGGTTGGTAAAGTTGCTCCGGACTTTGACCTGGAGATCAATCTGCTGATATCTCTTTGGTTTGTCTGTTCCCGCCGAGCAGTCCGGTGGTTCTCTCTGAGTACTTCGGCTTCCTCCACCATAATAACAGACTCTGCCCGGTGTCCTAACACTCCCTGGTGTTGGGGTGGGGATTGTCGTTGTAAATATTGAACTTTGTAAATACGTTAGTGACACATCTCCATTAATCCGGATAGGGAGTGTACATGGATTCCACTGTACCCTCACAGCTCTCGAGGGGTTCTTCGGATATAGGGGGAATTTCCCAGTACATACATACATACATACTAGTTCAAACAACTTTCAAACAACGTGGTTCTGATGACCTTTTTAAATTTTTCATCAAATCATATTTATAAACGTATTTCTGATAATTTTAATCTTTTTGAATAATTCTAACATCATTAGATGTAAACTGCTGAAATGTAAGAAAATAACTTTGAATAGACCAATCAATGTCCGGTACAAAATAGTTTACCTGTCAACTGAACAGGTAAAGTTCAGCTGTCCGACAACTAATAAACCTTGATAATAATGAGAAGGTATTAAAGTAGGGTTTGTTTTGATAGCACTTATTCATCATGTCACTTTTATGACCGGAAATGTCTGGCTTTTGGCAAAAAGTCGGGTCAAAAAGATCGCATAAACTTCCAAATTTTTTGGTGAATTATGTTAAAATGACCATCTCTTAAGAAAGCCTAGAAAACTAAAAGTAGATGTTCGTTTCATGCTTTTCCCAGACGGACAATGTCCGGACAATTTAAAAATGTCCGGAATATATGACCGTTTTGGAAGCCATGGTGGGTAATCAAGATCTTCAATCAACCCCTAGTAGTTTGTCATTGTTTTTAATATTTTTTATTTAAATATGACTATCATTGTCTATACCATAAACACAGTAGCCACCAAATGACTCCCTACCAAACTTGATTTTCTACCTGGTATTTTTCATAGTTTTCGGATTTTTATCTCTGAGAAGGGCAATAAGGTTTTCATATTTTCATAACAATGTATATATATATCTGGAACCATAAATTGCAAGATTGAACTCCCTGCTGTTAACACAGTTCATCTTGGGCAGTTCCATAAAAATGTTGAGGGTCATATGGGCTATAAAGGAATGGCTGTTTCAATCACTTTAACAGGCTGGATTTGGGGTGAAAGGGTTAAGAAGATCATTTTTATGAATGAAGAATTGATTTTTTTCTAACAAGCAACCTGGAAATGTACAGTTATATCTATTGTCTATTGTCTTTAATAAGTTTAATATTGTTATATTCTTTTTATAGAAATATAAACAATTTCCTAACAGCAATGGACAACAAACAGGAAACGAACAACAGACAGGACACGGAAACCAAAATAGAATGGTTGCAAGTCAACAATATTATGAACCAAAGCAAGTCATTTATGTTGAAAAACGAGCAGTAAAACCACAGCCTTATGAACAATGGGTTGCTGATAACAAACACCATTCTGTTGCTCAGAAGATGCATTATGAAAATCCAGGATATGAACATGCAGAAAAGGGGGAATATAGGATTGAGACATCATTTTTGTAAAAAAGGTTGAGACTATTACTAATGACCAGTTGGATCGTCTAAAGAAAACTTAAGAATAACAAAAATGTGTATCAGTATCAGAAAGTCTTTTACTAAAAATAAAAATATTTGACTTGATTTAATATTATATTTTTCATTATCTTATATTAACATATTAAAGTAGCATATTTGAATGTAGACTTTTAATGTTCTTTAGACAATGGGGTGAAGATTACTGTATATATTTTCATGTTTTACCAAATATGCTGGCATATCTGGATTATTTCATTTTTTTACCCAGAGATTTGTATTCATATCTATATACTTATATATTTTCTATATTTTTTAACGAAGTGTTTTTTTGTAATTGTATATGATAGCTTGAAATCGCAAAAATTATTATGAATATGTAATGCACTGTCTTTTTATTCGCCCGTTTACGGGAGGTATTATGGTATACCATTGTCCGTCCATCCATCGTCAACATGTCGAACAATAACTCAAAAACGCTTTAACCAATTTGCATGAAACTTTGGTGAATTGTTTATGTCTATTGATGTGAGCTTCCTTTGGATTTTTATAAATTTTAGATTTTACGTTTCCGAGTTATGGGGTTTTATTTATTAAAAAAGGGGGATTTTCCAGTTTTCGGACAATTACTCAAAAATGCTTTGAGCAGTTTTCATGAAATTTTGGTGACTGGTTTATATCTATTGAAAAACCGATGGCGTATCATGCACTCATGACTGTTTATTTTATTATGATATAGTACCAAATATTGTGTAGATCTCTTTTTAAAATAAATATTCAATATTTGGCATTTTTTTTGGCACTCATTCTTAGAAGAAATATCTGAAAGCAAGAGCATTTATGAATTGATTTTAAAAATATTTCATGCTGATAAGTATATATAGTAATATAAAAAAGTATCTAAATGTCCTGTAGGCTGTTCAGAGGTGCTGATCATGATAATTGTATTGTACTTCCATACAAATGACAGAAATGCAGACATTGATGGAAATTAGTTAGGAAGATTTGATACAAATTCTTGTTTATTAATAACATCAATGTGATAGTGTATCTGGAAGTAACATTTTGATGATTTATATAAATCATGATATTTGATAAAAACTTCATTGGAAAAATCTGATCAATGCCTTCAAATTTCACACTGCATTTCTCATATTTATTCAGATGAATAAAGAATTTGGTACTATATCATAAAATGTTTTTTACTCAAATATTGCTCAAAAAGTCATGCAATTTAATGAATTGCTCTTACATGATAAATTAAAAATTATTAAAAATCTCTACAAGATTTTTCTTTTGGAATTTTCAGATTTAAACAAAAGACTATAAAGTAATTTTGTAATGCCAATACAGTTAAAGTATAAGTACTTACAAAAAAATACTAAGCTCTGTAAAAAGTTATCAACATTTTTATGATATTGCAAACAAACAAAAAAAGAAGAATTTTACCTCAAAATAACCTCTTTAGGGTCAGGATTTGATTGTTGATATTGGAACTACTCACTGTAATAAGGGCTATTCTGTTAAAATCAATGGAGTGAGGGTAGGATGTGAAGTTTGATTTTTGGATGGTCCTAGGACATTGTGGTTGTATGTTCATTTGATGAATGGGACTCATAGAAAGTATATTGGTTGTGAGGGGATTTTGGAAGCATCTTCCTAGGCACCAACATCCTTTTTGATCAAATACCTGTAGAAGCATTATTCATATTTGTTATTTGAAAGTCACAAATAGTAGTGATGCTTTCTATAATTCTAATATTTTTCTCCTTTTTTTCCCATGTTCTATTTTAAGCATAATGTTGGATCAAAAAGCTTGATGTCACAATTGAATTTAAAGGGTCAGTTGTATTTTGAAGTCCCCAGAGATGAAAATAGACATTCCCATTGGTTGCCTGCTATTTTTTATAACTTTTAGATTATTTATGATTTATCAAATATGTTTTATGGGTCTGTTTGGAACGTAACATTTTTTTTGTATTAGACAGTTATTTCATATCATGCTCTATGCTATTTAAACATGGGTAGGATTATATTTGTTAATATTTTTATAGCTGGTGTAGCGTTAGTGAGGAATACAATATTGACAAAATATAAAATCTATCTGTTTTAAAATTAGCATGCAGCATGACATGGAAGAATTTTTTCTTAATTTTATCACTGTAAATAACAAGCATTTTCTTCTTTCACTTTTCTATGTAACATCTATATATCAGAGTATCACTGATGTATTTATAAAGTAAGAGAATTTTTTCTCTGATTATTTTAATTTATGGCACAAATTTTCAACAATGCTTTATTTAAGAAATAATTCATGGAAGCCATAGATTTGTTGGACATTTACACATGGCCTGGGCCGTGATATTCGAATTTTATCCTGAGCGTTAGGGAGGGATAAAATTAACGAATATCACGACCCAGGCCATGTGTAAATGTCCAACAAATCTATGGCTTCCATGAATTATTTCGATTCTAATAGGACAAATACGGTTATTTAAAAACTGAAGCGAAGGTAAGATTGCCAAGTGTATGGCTGTTCTATTTTGCCCCCTGTAAGATAAAAGCTACAAATTTCAAATAAATCTAAGTCTTACATGAATTATTTCTTAAATAAGCACTAGAAAAAATGTGTTCAATTCTCATAATTCTTAACCCAAACAATTTTTTTTCGTTGGCAACTATTTACTGTCAAATCCAGACTTGACATGTCGTAACTAAAGAGTGAGCCGCCATGTTGACTTGCTAAAATCCACAAATGTGCAAATAATACAATGGAATAGACAATGAAACAACACTTACCTCAAAACTCCATTTTAATGCAATATTATCCGAATTCAGGGCGTATACGTAATGGAAAACCATCAGCTTGAGAGTTTTCATTCGTATGACGTCATGTTATGACATGACGTTAATGCGCCAAGATTATTCATGAAATTTCGCGGAATTTTATTTTATTTTGATTTTATACATGTTTTAAGCTTTTGTGAATTAATTCTTTTTGTTATGCATTATAATAGGAATAACGGTTCTGTAGTTTCTTTTTCAATTTCAATTTGAACACAACGAAATCGACATAGTGTTTGCACATAGGTTACGATACATGTGGATTTACGTTGGAGGTAAATAGTAGCAGCCACCAATATGCACATCTCTGAGTCTGCGCTAAGTATAGATATATCGAGAATTTTATCACGGTGTTGTTTACAAAGCGAAAGAAGCACATCATATTAGAATTCAAAATAATAAGGATTTTCTACCCAAGGAATAGTTTACCATAGCTGTATTTGGCAAAACCTATCTGAATTTTGGGTTCTCAATTTTCTTCAACTTCAAACTTCTTTGCCTTTTATTTTTTTTTAATCAAGCGCCACTGATGAGTCTTGTAGACGAAATGCGTAATTGGTGTACAAAATATCAACCTGGTATCTTTGACGAGTTTTTTAATTACACATCAAACAAGTATATATACAAGTTGACAAAGATTATATCTCTGCTATTGTGTAAATGAAGATCTTAGAAATGGCTTACACTTTGTCACATATTTGTCATCTTAACTGAAGTTTGTAAAAAATCAATTATAAAAATATAAGCAAGTTGGCGAAATCCTGATTAATATCCCAACCATCCAATACGGTGACCAAAATAGAAGGGATAAATCTATTTCCTAATTTATAGCGATATGTATTGCCATAACATATGAAAAGGAATACTATCGTTGTTTCTAAAAATTAACATACAATCAATTTTTATACGCCCGTCAAATTTTTGACGGGACGTATTATGGTATACAAATGTCTGGCGTCCGTCCGTCCGTCTGTCTGTCCGGCGTAAACATGTCACACTGTAACTTGAGAATAACTTATCCAAATTTCATGAAACTTAACATAGTTGTTTCTTATGATGGTCAAACGGTCTGTATACTTTTTGGTGAAAAAAAGATTAAAACTTTTTGAGTTACAGGACTTAGTAACTAAAACAGGTGTGTGTTTTTTTTTCACATGTCACGCCGTATCTAAAAAACTATTTATGATTATTGCTTAAAACTTTACACACTTCTTAGTTATATTAATCTTAAGATCTGTATACTTTTTGGTGATGATTCAAAATTTTATTTTAGAGATATTGAGTATTTTGTTAAAAAAAGGGGGAGGGGTTTTTCACATGTCTTGCTGTATCTCAAAAACAGTTTATGATTATTGCTTATAACTTTACACACTTTTTAGTTATGTTAACCTTAAGATCTGTATATTTTTTGGTGATGATTCAAAATTTTATTTTTGAGTTATTGAGTATTTTGTAAAAAAAGGGGGAGGGGTTTTTCACATGTCACGACGTATCTCAAAAACGATTTGTGATTATTGCTTAAAATTTTACACACTTCTTAGTTATATTAATCTAAAGATCTGTATACTTTTTGGTTTTGATTCAAAATTTTATTTTTGAGATATTGATTTTTTTTTTTTTAAAGGGGGGTTTTCACATGTCGCGCCGTATCTCATAAACGATTTATGATTATTGCTTAAAATTTTACACACTTCTTAGTTATATTAATCTAAAGATCTGTATACTTTTTGGTTTTGATTCAAAATTTTATTTTAGAGATATTGAGTTTTTTGTTAAAAAAAAAGGGGGTTTTCGCATGTCACGCCGTATGTCAGAAACTATTTATGCTTATTGCATAAAAATTCACACACAAGACGACGGGCGTATCATGCGCTCATGGCGCAGCTGTTTATTATTTTAAATCCTCCAAAATTCTTAGAATTACTTTTCTTTGCAATGAAGAGGACTGTCCTGGAACAAGATACTTAAAAAGAAGAAAGTTTGACACAAAGTCATAATCCTTATTTTGTTTAACAAGTTAGTTATCAACAGTTCAAATAGTCATCATAAATGTTCATTATTACTGGAAAGAAATGACCAAGAAAGATCCAGTTGATAAATAAAATAAAATTGTTAAAGAAAAATATTAAGATATCGGAGAAATATCACATGAGAAAGTTGGGAAAACAATTTAGACGGAGAGTTTCATGTTCAGTAAGTACAGTAAATAGTTGATAGCTTAGTTATAAACACACTGTAAACAACACAATAGTCATTTGAATACCAATTCCAATAAGGCTAAACAATGAAATTCATTACTATATAGCTTGTAACAGAAGTAAAGTGTTGTGTGCCATAAATTTCTTTACCTTAATTTTAGTTTATATTTTGTTTAAATAAAAGCTTTTATCATGCATTATATTATTTTTATGGCCAATCATCAATAATTTCTGGTCTGCATCCGTTTGCAGTCTGTTCATTCGTCCATTATCAGGTTAAAGTTTATGGTTAAGGTAGTTAACAATGGACTTGTGTTAACATCAAATTTAAACTTTGTACACATTTCATTATGATGGGATTGTTTAATATTATATGCTGAATTTGATGTTTGTCCAAGATTTCCAGGTTAACTGAACATAGAAAGGTGATAGTGTGAAATGAGTACATTCTCACGTTAGAGTTTTGATTTAAGGTATTTTACCATCAATCAACAATGTTCATTATAATATGTTTACACGTTTCAAAGTTGATAGCACGAGCAGGATATGGTGTCCTAAGGAACACATTCTTATTGTCCCCCGCGTAACGTGTTGCGGGGGACATGGAAATACCGGGCGTCTGTGTGTCCGTCCGTCCGTTTTTGTTAGCGCTCTCACAGGTACAATTCTTGCTAGATTTTTATAAAACTTATACTATAGGTTAATATCAGCAATATGTTGGACAAGTTCTATAATTGTGGCCGATCGACTTTTTTCAAAGAGTTATGCCCTGTGGAAATATTAAATTTATGGAAAATGGCCTTGTTAGCTCTACAAAAAAAACGTGTTTTATTTAGTTATTGCCCTTGTACCTTGGATAGATAAAATATGTGCAACGCGGGGGACATTGGACCTCTGTTCTTTTATTAATCTTCCTTTTAAATTTGTTCATTTTAAAGATTTCAAATTGGTGCCGAAAACAAGCTTTAACCTACTTTAGAGATTGGGAATATCTCCTAATTATATATAAGTGTGCATTTGATAAGTGACTCCTTGTAGTCTGTAATAAGTCAATTTCAGAATGATCTCTTGGCCTTGTTGATAATTCTGTCGATTTATGCCATATTTAGCAGTGGCACACATGATATCCAAACAATATGAGATGAGAGAACGCGAGATAAAAGTCTTTAAGGAGCAGCCAAACAACTGCACAGAAATAAAACTCCAGGTTACCATACCACATCTCAGAGATGAACAATTCTAAAGGTAAACTGGTGTAAAAATATGTTCACCTGTGTTGAAACCCATTCTGAGTGGGAAGCCACATTCGGTCAGAGTTATTGATCTGATGTCTCATGAAGGAGAGTGTCACACTTATGTGTTAAAGAACCATTGCAAAAACCAATGTCAGCTTGTTGCAATGCATGTCTATCCCATTCAACAAACCTTATTATTCAAGTTACAGTTTATATGTCAAACCCTCCATCTAATTTGACCATTTTGCAGAACCTACATTTTGCAGATTTTGATCATTTGTTCTCATCTTCTATGTCAGGGCATCTAATATTTGTCACTGGACATTAAGCAAACAAGAATCATTCAAAGATAGGCAGTCACCGACACTGCTATGACAAGCTCAAAATGATTTGTGAAGGAATAATTGGGTTCCTTGTACAGAATAAAGGCTATTTTTAAATCAGCTTCCCTCATGTCGCTGGATTACTAGTATCTGATTTTGTTTTCAAAATAAGGTTAACAACAGAAAAAACCTACTTGTAAATTAATTTCGCGATACATAATTTGTTACGCAAGTTCTTGTATTTCCTATCATGATTTCCTTGATAGAGGGTTGCTGCTCACAAGGAAGCTATTAAACTAAGAGTTCTAAGTGGTGAATTTGAAGTCATCCCTTAATTCGTAAATTTTATGGACACCATCACGAGTTTGTTGACCGTTATGGAACAGTATCGGTTTCACAGATGACGAATATTGCCCAATTGTCGTAACAACAATCCCGTCCCCTTTTCCCCGAATGTGACCTAGCGAATTAGACTTATCACTGGGTTTGTACATGCATGAGCACTCGCGGCATGACGGGTGCCACATAGGGAGCAGGTTTTGCTTACTCTTCCGGGGCACCTGAGATCACCCCCAGTTTTTGGTGGGGTTCGTGTTGCTTAGTCTTTAGTTTTCTTTGTTTTGTGTACTGTTGTTTGTCTGTATGTCTTTTTCTTTTTTAGCCACGGCGTTGTCAGTTTATTGTTGACTTGTGAGTTTGAATGTCCCTTTGGTCGCCTCTCTTTTTCGAGTTCCTTAATAGTTTCTCGGGGAGAGGTTTATCACACAATGAATTGTTTAGAAAATGACCATGTGTGGGACTGAAGGCAAATACACGCTCACTTCGCAATATTAACATGTTACATCATTTCAGCATGTTACACTATCAATAAGACACACCAGAAGTCTTGCAAGGTTGTAGTGGTGGATTTCTTGCAACAGCTACGATCATGAGCTGTTGGTATGAAAACTAGAATGGTTAAGTTAACTGTAACCGTGATATATGTGCATACCGCAAGCTCTAATTGTCAACGAGTTCAATATTTTTGTTATTCTTTTTTATATTACTTCAGAGGCAAATTTAGGGGGGCGCCCTCCCCCTCCCCCTTATGGGGCTTTATATATTATAAATGCATAGATTTTTTACAAGTATCACTCCAAACGTTGGCCTACAGTTGAAGGGCCTCCCCTTTTTTCAAAATCCTGGATCCGCAACTGTACTAGATTACCACTAAAATGTTACAATATGTCATCCAAATATTCATTGCAAGAACCATTTTTGTTTTGATTTTGGTCAAAGATTTTATGAATTTTTGTTTCTTGAATATTTTAGCGAGTATTAGACGAGTGACATTAACCATAAAATTTTATTTTTAATGCACACACCTAACATACGGCTGAATCATATACCATTTGAAAGCACAACATCTGTACTATCTTTTTTGCCCGGTCGTCAACAATTCGTGTGGTGCAGTTTCCGTCAAATCACAACGAAAGGTCAAGGACAGACAACTTTTAATTTTACAAGATGTCAGCATTTTTGCATATTCTGTCTTCTGAATAATAATATTTTGTATGGACATATGGAAATCTATTAGAACAGATGTTATTAGTAACTTATCAAAAGCACTTTGGAACATTAATGTCGGATTATTAATAAATAACGCCGTTTTCCAGAAATTCCATTGAAAATGACAAAAATGCATGAAAACCAAAATTTTTGGTCTGTGATGCAACTGTTATTCACCATAAAACCAAATAACATACTTTATTAATTGCTAAGGATGTTTTTGACATAATTAGATTACTGCAATTCCGCTTCTTGTTAATTTAACAGCCAATTATAACAACCATGCAGTTGCCCAAAATGACGCCATCTGCAAAAAAGATAGCTTTTTAGCTGTTCTTTGTTAAAACAATTTGTATGTAGTCGATATTAGGTTGAAAAACACAAAATTAAAAGTGCAAAAATGTTAAAGGACATAATATACAGGTCATTCATGCTTTTAGGGGAATGTTTTGGAGCGAAACTTTGATATTTCAATATTTATATGTTTTCTTGGTTGCTTGTACTGCATCTTGCATTGACTTAGGAAGTGAAAATTATTATAAGCTAGCCACTGAAATGTTCTTTATGCCTGGTCAAGATATCTAATCTTATCAAACTACGCAATTCTTGTAAATAAATTGAGACTTTCGCTATTATATTTACTTATATCAGAGACATATAATACAAGATTATATGTCTCTGCTTATATTAATTTTTAAGATGGAAATTCTAGCAATTCGCAATAACAATACATACACTCCCTGAATAGTTTACATATACATATATTGTAATATAAAGATGATTGATGATATGTTGGTGTTTGATGCAATTTTCTGTTCAGCACTTTTGGCTACTAAAGTATTTAGCGGCGATCAGTTTTTATTGCTTTAGGCCCACGAAGTGCCAAAGGAACCACCGACCATCGGCAGGAAAACTGGCAATCCCAATCAACAATTATACATTCAGTTAGTTATAGTAATTAGTATCAAGGACGAAATTACTGTGTAGGTGTCACAAAAAAAATCTACCAATCAGCATCAATTACCTTTTGTAAATGTAGGCAACCTGTTACAAAACAAAGCAGTTTTGATATTGATGTTTACTTCAGCTAAATGTTACAAGTAGTGTTGCTTAATAGAAACAGAAATGTAAATGCATTTGAACCACTTTTATTTCAAATTTAATTGTCCATGATTTTGCATTAAAATTTCAATGTAGATGTGTCACATAATATTTGAAGGCATTTAGAAAAAAGAGCACTATTTGAGTAGATCATCTGTTAAGCATTGGTTGGACATTGGCATATCAACCTAAAGATAGTACATGTAAATTATGAATAAATATAGTTAAAATGAAATTATTTCATTCTAAAATATCTAAACAATTGTAAGAAATGAAAATTGTGGTTGAATTTATCCAGTGGCAGTTGTTATCTAATAGTTCGGTTTTTTTTTTTTTTTTTTTTTTCGCACTTCAGAGTTTCTGTTGTTTCATTGTTTTCCTCTTATAGTTGATGTGTTTCCCTCGGTTTTAGTTTGTAACCCGGATTTGTTTTCTCTCAATCGATTTATGGCTTTTAAACAGCGGTACACTATTGTTGCCTTTATTTATCCAGTTTTTTAATTAGTTTTATGTAATCTTATCTTAAATTATGTTTGTGGATATTTATTGTGCACTGAGCACTATGTTGTTGATCTGACAGCGACGTTTGGTGATTTTCTCACTTTATTTTCATATTTTTTTTATTCGGTTTTCTTATGGTGCAAAGATCTCACAACAATAATAAGTGATATACTAGTTCATGAAAAAAACGTACAAAATGTTATGTATAAGTGTTAAAACATGGGTTAAAACAATCTAACTAAAATTTAGATTTTTCACGACTCGCCTGCTCATTTATCGTATGAGAATATCGAAATCAGAGATCTACATTTTAATAAGATTGGGGCTAACTTTATGAGATAGCTTGAAAGCAGGTATGTTATGGTAAATTCTAAGAGATAACTATTTTTAACTCTATTTGAATATGTATATTATGAAGCAAATCTATTCACGTATAACCTCCATATGTGCATTTTGAACTTCCTTAATTCTTCCAAGCAATGTCGGAGGAATATTGCTCACTACAATTTGAGACAGAGAGAGAGAGAGAGAGAACTGTTTCTCAATGTTTTGTCATTTGATAAGAGACTTACCGTTTTGAATTTTCACTTGGAGTTCGGTAATTTTTGTTGTTTTACTTTTTTATATTTTGCATTAATATCTCAGTTTTCAGTTCTGTTGTCTTTTTTTTCGCTAAGTTTTGAACCTTACGGTTTTCTTTGCTTTAGTTGAAAGAAGGAATAAAATGACAAAGAGGCAGTCTCAACGCATAGTCGAATAAACCCAGATGACAGCATGACCAAAGCGAAAAAGTAGGACATACATATACAAAACTTCATAAAAAAACAATACCGAAATGTGCGAACACTACATAAACCAGTACGGTGATTACAGTTGCTCAGGAAGGGTATTCAATCTTAATTAATCTGAATTAATAATTTTCAGTCATATTTAATAAAACAACTAATAAAGTATATACTAATGGTATAACATCAAAAGGAATTCGCCGGATTTGTTATTAAAAGCACATGGTAAAAACAGTTTTCATTCGAACATTGAACGAGAATAAACTTCGTTACATGTCTTTCCACATCGGAAAACTAATTTTTTACCAAAATATATACCTTTTTTGTTCATTAAAGTTCTTCCATTACCCTTTCTTTTACATATGATTGATCATAATCTGCCGATATTGGCAATGTTATCTAGCCAATAAAAGCAAAATGATACCCACTTGCAGATGGTGTTTTTTTAGGGCAACTGCAAACGTTTCATTAGAAGGCTCCATTTTTACCTATATCATATAAGTTGCAGTTTGAAATGATGAAAAAAAATTACCTCGGCATATAAACGATATTCTATTTTTGACATACAAATATTCAAACTTCAGAAACTAATTAGCTTTTATTGCATTTTTTTGATTTTTGGAAGTTTTTTTTAAGAAATGCAACTTTCTGTAAATAAAGCGCAATCAACATTTAAGGTTACATTTGATTTTGAATTATGATAATTTGTTTTATAAGGTTTAGATAATTTTTAGAAAAAAAAATCCATAAAAGTTCTAGAAAATGGCATTTTGTTTAATTCTGGCAAAATATAGGAATGTTCAATTTTTACCTTTGACCTTGATTTGACAAAAATTGCACCGTACGAATTATTGATGACCGGGCAAAACAGAAAGTACCAGTTATAAGCTTTCGAATGATATATAATATAGCCGTATGTTAGGTAGGTGCATTAAAGTTGTCAACTAGGCGTCTTTTTGAAAAATGTCACTCGCCTATATCCGTAATAATTTAAAACCATTAAAGTTGTTTGCTTTCAAACTGATTACCGGAGGTTTAGGAGGATTTGGTATACAAAATGAGTACAGTACTTCAAAAATAAAGCAACGGCAAAGTCCGTGCTTTGGAAAAAGAAGGCCCAAAAATAATTCTGATTAAAAAAAAAGAAAAAAAGTAGATTTACAATTTCATTATATGGTTCAGATTTTGAGAATGTTTCAATAAATTGTAATTAGGGGTTTGGGAGGAGTTTAGGATAAAAAGTGGGTACCTCAAATAAATCAATGACAAAGCCCATGCTTTGGTAAGGGATACGCCAAAAATAATTATGATACAAAAATAGAAGATTCACACAAGTAATGTATGGTTGAGATTGTGAGAAAGTTTAAATAGATTGTTATGTTAGTACTAAAGAGGTGTAGGATGAGTTGCAGATACATGTACACAATGTATACTCCCAAAAATAAAGCAATGACAAAGTCCATGCTTTGCATGGTAAGGGAACCCCAAATATAATTCTGTTAAAAAATTGAATGTGTGCATTAGCATTCTATGGTTACGGTTCTGAGAAAGTTTCTTACATTGAGGTTAGGGGTCGAGGAAGAGAAGCGCTTATATGTACTATAATGTGCAGATAATACCTTCGTGTCATCCAAAAATAACTCCATAAATCATTCAGATAAAGAAATGAAATAGGAGCTACAAAAGGACATCATGCGAGTAAAATTCTTTGAAAGTTTTACAAAAATCTGTCAAGCGGTACAGGAGCAGTTGAGATACCAAAGTGTGACGGAAGGACGAACGAATGAACGACTGACGGTCGGACTCCCCTATCACTATATACCGAACGCTTTAGAAAGATAGGCTATAATTGCATACGCTGTTCCTTTGCTTTATGTCTTGTCAAGATATTATGTATTGAATTTGTATCATGAATCAATTATACACCATAACAGAATTCCTTGTTCTACATTCATTTGACACAATTGCTTATTTGCGACATTGAAAATAAAGAGCCGATCGGATACAGTTCCGCTTTCTGTAATTATGAAATTGATAAAACATGATGATTTTCAAGGATTTGACAAAAAATTGAACCTCACTGATATATTTACGGCTTAGATGATAAATATGTGTCAAATGAATGTAGACACCTTTTTTAGTTAACGTATGGTGTTTGTTTCCTGAACAGTTGACTTGTCAATATACAACATATTTTTATCATTAAAGACTAGAATATAGAGAATGGAGAATTATTAAAGCTCTTAGCTGCATAAAAAGAATCAATTTCCATGTATTCACGCAAATTTAATTAAAACAAATCAGCGTGCACTATGACTTTTAACTGGAAAGGACAATATATCTATCAAAAAGGTTCGTTATTCAGGACTCACATTTCTTTACATTGTTTTGAAAACGCGTAAACAACAGACAGGACATATCCTTTTTACTTCTATTTACCTATATCTAACTACTCCCTTTTTAACTGGTATCTTTGTATTTTTTATAAATTTCTCGGTGCTATGCTGATTTAGCTGCGCGAATCAAAATAAGGATATTGTGAATTGTTTATCCAGTAAAAAAAGAACAATTCAGTCTGGTCACTAGAGCAATAATTTAATGAAAATTGCAAACGCTGGCGAATTAATCATTTTACGATTTGATGATGAATAAGTTAAGAAAGAGTGAGTTGGTATTGCTTCAAAATGAGAAATATTAGAACTGAGCCAACATTTTCTACGTAAGGAAATACCTGTACCAAGTCCATTCGTTTGATGTGTTTGAGCTTTTGATTATGCCATTTGATAAAAGACTTTCCGTTTTGAATTTTCCTTCGAGTTCGGTAATTTTGTTATTTAAATTTTTAATATGATAGGAATAGAAACACTAGTTCAATACTTTCTCATGCGTTCACGCTTGTAAAAGAACCATTGCAAGAACTTTTTGAGGTCATTTACGATTCATCAAATCTTCAAGTTGTCGCAAGGCTAACTTTCTTACCCTACCCAGTATACCCTCTTTTTCAGTGATCCCTTCAAACTCCTTTGCGAACAGAACCTACGTAATTGATTAAATGTTAAATGTGTTTTCATCCGAAATTGCATGTTATATTTGACACTAGGTGAAAGGAAACAACTACAAGTTACTTCTAGCAGTATCATCATTCGTCAGCCATCAGAACTTTGAACCTCCCGAGTATACAGTACGTCAGAACTCTGATCTAGGATAAGTTTGTTGCAAAGTTCAATATTCTCCGACTGTAGAACAGCAGATTTAATGTTACGAGCTTCAGTGAACAGTTCCTTTGCTTCTTCAAAGAGATCTATTGGCAAGCACGCATACCCTGTCATGGAAAGGCTGTCATATCTATCATCTGGCGGTACTCTGTGAACTAGGCTTCGCATTTCATATACCTTTTGAATTGCTTCTTCTTTTCTTTTGAGTTGAAAAAGTGACCGTACTAGGAAGTAATAGGCAAACACAATAGCAGGAGCAGTAATTTGTTCATGTTTTACAACGTGTCGTTGGATGCTCGTATCTATAACATCAATGTCAGTTATGTCATAACTAAGGCGCAACGACAAGTCATCATTACCACGTGTTAATTCAACGGCAAGGGTTGCTTGTTCTAATGATTCATTAAATCTCTCTTGGGTGTACAGGAAGTGAGCGTACTCGGCACTGTGTTCAACATTGTGATTAAGATCAGCTGCAGTTTTGAAAAATAATTCGGCACACTGCAAATCTGTGTTCTTGCGTTCCTCCCAAAATGACAGCTTTGACCATCTTAAAAAGGCGCAACCAGTGTTGTGAAATAATGTTGCAACATCTTTATTGTCCATTTTATATGAAGCTAACGTTTGTTTTATTTCATGAATTTCCTGTATTTCGTTCAAAACAGCAATGGCTTCACATGCGTTGGAATAATCTCCTGAATGGATACATTTAAAACAATATTTCACGAGGTGTTTGACTGCAAAGGATTCCTGAGTTTCCTTCACACATTTTAATTGTGCAATCTTTTTTAGTAAAGTTACTACTTTATTTCTCTGGTTTGGATTTGATACTAATGGCAACCCAGCATTGTAAAAATGATACACGAAAAAATCTGTTAACTTTTTATCAGTCACCGTGTCATAGCCATGTCTAATCATGGTTTTAAGGTCATCAAATTCATAGCCATCGAGTGGACTCAATGAAAAGAAAAACCTAGGATTTTCCATAAGTTTGACTGAAGATAAAATGGAGGATATGGGATCGTCTTGAATTTTGGAGATCTTCTCAAGGGTGTTTTGTAGAGGTAGATCATCTAAATGTTGAATCATATTATGTTTGGGAACAAAATAGTTTTTGACAGTTCTTGTCTCTATAGCCAAGCGTACTTCTTTTAAATATGCCAAAAAACATGTTGCCAGGCTCTGTTGAGACCAATCATCACGACTAAATGGTCCTCGTTCTAGCATCCACCACAAAACAGATTTTAAGTGATACGATGACAGACCATCTTCCACGTCTATTTCTTTCAGCAGTGTTTTTGTAACTAGTAAACACTGTTTTTCTTTCTGTGATAAGATTTCGGCAAGCCTTCGTTCTGCTAAATTGAAGGACAATCTCCATTCTAAATCAGGGCTGTCTCCTTCAATGTTTCCTTTCGCAACCAAGTGAATGTCCAGCCCAGAAATTTCTTTAACTAGTATTGGCTCTGGCCAGGCATTGGGTCGTATCCGACTTTTCCATTCCTCAGCGTTTTGTGGCCATTGGGATAATTTAAGTGCAAACACAAGATCCACTGAAGAAATGTTGTCTGCATCTGGTTGAATTATGTTGCGGTTTTGGATCTGCTGCGATGGGCCAGATATTTCAACCGCTATTTGTTCGTGGTTGATACGTTTTTGAAACTCGAGCAAAAACTGGTTGCTTGAAACAAATGTTTCCCTACTATTCTCATCAATCTTCAAAATGGCTTTTGGAAGAATATTTTCACTATTTTTGTTCACCAGTAACTTTACATACATTGGATCTCTAGTTTCTCTAACAATGGCTACAGCTTCGGGTGGGACTGATTTCTCTTGTGGCCATGCTACATAAACATGTTGCGGTACAAATATAAAATCCAAGTCAGTATTATAATGAAATCCTTTATCTTGAAATTTTGTCAAAAACAACTGATCAGCAACACTTCCAGCTCTAATAAAATCAATATCGGTTATCCATGGCAAAATTTCACGTATTCTTGATTTTGTAGTTTCAAAATTCAATGAATTTACCTTTGGTACCATTCCTTCTGTGAACAATGATAGTTCCAATAAGCAATCAAGTATCTTTAGTTTGAAAATGTCTTCTGGTGTTGTTGTCATGGCGGATGTAGTTGTTTTACTGCCAATTTTCTTGGTAAAATTGATCTAAAACAATATTGAATAGATTAAAGCGTGATAATGATTCTGCCCCTGTATCAGACGGATTCCCAACCTAAAATTCATTGTATGTCTCTTAGAGCTTATAAGAATAATTGGACAAGTATTAACAAACCATCTTAACGTCAGATAATGGATATCTCTTCAACAGTAAACATGGCATTGTGATGCAATAACTATAATGTCAAATGTCATATGTCATTCAGGATCTTCGGATGTGGGTATGGGCTCATATTCCCGGTCGGTGTTTTATACCCCTAAGTCGTTGAGTTTTTTTTTTTTTAATAAAAGTAAAACCAAAGGGACAATAACAAAAGCAATCCTATGAAAACCCGACAATACCATGGCAAAATACAAAAAAAAAAAAAAACAACGAAAGACAAACAAGTCCACAAAACAGTACATAGAAACTAAATACTGGGCTCCTGCTCAGAAACTAAATACTGGGCTCCTGCTCTACATCGTGTACACTATTATTTAGAGCACCAATTTGATATCTTTTCTCACTCTCTCCTAGACCCGATTTTCATTAAGCGAACTAATCGGCCAAATTGGTTCGTATTGCATCTGACTGAGAACATTTTACAAATGACAATAACATTATATTAACAAAGCGTTAATGCCGTAGGAATTGGTATGCTCTTGTTCAGAAATAAATAACAGATACTCAATTAAATAATAAATACACCAACTAAAACATTGATAGTTATGCCTTCTGTATTATCAGGAAAGATTATAATAGACCTAAGAGTTGAGAAAATGATAAAGTAGCCATAACTACAACAAGCACAGTAAATTAAAGACTGTCAAAGTATGTCCCATGTGTACCACCAGAGAAACTCGAGTTAATGAGAAAACTATGTAACATCATAGAAAAGAATAAAATGGACAATATCCCATTAATAGTTAGAGAATTTGAAATGACAACAATACAGAAAAACAAACATGGAGAAATACAAGAACAATATATGTCAAATTACAGTTTGATATGTATAACTCTGTCACATATAGCTAAAGAGAGGCGGAAGATACCAAAGGGATATTCAAACTCATATATCGACGAAAGACTGACAACGCAATGGCAAAAAAAGAAAAACGAACAAAAGACAAACAATAGTATACAAAACATAGCATCGAAAACTATAGACCGAGCCACACGAACCCCATCAAAATCTGGGGTTAAAATCAGATGTCCTGAAGGGTTAGCAGATCCTGCTCCACATGTGACACCCGTCGTGTTACTCTTAGAAGTTAGGACGCTGAACTTGGAAAAAATGACAAGAGAAAAAAAATATAATATTTAGGAATATAAGTATATAAGAAAAGGCGACAGGGAGAAATGGAGAAACTGAAGAAAACAATGCCAAACTGCATTTTGATAAGTGTAAAATATGGTAAGGCAACAAGAAGACAAACAACACTGAAAATTGAAAATTATAATGAAAATGCTTTCAGAAGTTGAGGAACAAAATATGCACCAAAGAACACAGGCACTTGTCACTGAAAAAAATTACCTATATACATATAATGTTTTATATTAAAGTATATAGGTAATTTTTCAGAGACAAGTGCCTGTGCTAAGACTTATGGTTGTTAATGACCCACGAATCAATACCCATGTTGAAATGGCGTTGCCAACGAAATGAAACATAAAAATGCATTAACAAAAGTACCGAATTCCAAGGTAAATTAAAAAAGGGGAAGTCCATAAAAACTGACAAAATAAAATTTTAAACTATATTAACCAAGGAAACGAATGGAAAACAATTGTAATAATCCTGAAGTAGATATGTTCCGAAGAAAATGGTGGGTTTAACCTGGTTTTATAGCTAGCCAAACCTCCCACTTGTATGAAAATTGTTCATAGCTCCTTATAGTGACAAAATTGGGTGAACAACCCAAACAGACATAATTGGTTAATGTGACAATAATTGGGATCCAGCAGCCATACATACAACACAACTGAATTGAAAATTCAAACAAACATACAAATGAATCTGACATAGACGCCAACAAAAAAATTATTGTAAAATTGAGAATATAAACGGGGAATGTGTCAAAGAGACAACAACCCGAACAAAGAGCAGAAAACAGCCCAAGGCCACCAATTGTTCTTCATAGTGGAATAAAACCAATTTTGGAGTGCAAAAAAATCTTTGGATGTTTTAGACAAATTAAGTGCTTTTGATGGTTTTTTGAGTCGGTTGACAGTTTTGACTTTTCCACACTTTACACTACACTTCCTCACAATCTTATCAAACAGTAGTTTTCTATTTAATTAAATGTCCGTTCGATAAATCTAATTGCAAATTTATTTGCTGCAACTCATATAAAGCCTTTTTCTCAAACTAGAACGTTTAGTATGCTAGATATACTTACTGGAGGTGTGATGAGATGATTACAGCCATAAATGTTCTCCTTGACAACATTTATGTACGTTTCGGCAATAAAGTTTATCGGTATTCCCATGGGCACCAATTGTGCCCTTTTATAGCAGACTTGTTTCTGTACTGTTATGAATCACAGTTTATGGCAAAACTCAGTAAAGAACCGTCTAAGTTCCATCTAATTGATGAATTCAACAATTATACTTGCCGTTATCTTGATGATATTTTTTCGTTAAATAATCAAGAATTCTCTAAATATGCTGCCGAAATTTAGCCATAGTAACTTACTTTAAATAAATCAAATATTAACAGCAATATGTGTCCTTTCCTATATTTAGATATTTCAGTTTTACACCAAAAACTCGACACAAAAATTTACGACAAAAGGGATGATTTTTCTTTCCCTATTGTTATTGTTTCTTTTTTGGACGGTGATGATCCTCTTGCACTATCTTACGGTGTTTATCTATCACAACTTGTTCGTTATTCCCGTGTCTGTAGTGACGTTTTGGATTCCAATGAGCATAATCTATGTATTACTGGTAAATCATTAAGCCAGGGATTTCGTTACCACAAATTACTTAAAACCTTTACTAAATTCTTCCATAGATACAAAGATTTGGTTCGCAAGTTTGGCTGTACCTGTAAAAAAACTTATCTCAGACGGAGTAGCACATCCTAAATTTTACGGTGATGTTGTTTACCGATGCCGGAAATTTATATACGATCCGGATAAACTTATCAATCCTTGAAATAAACTTATTCTCAAAGGTTACCAATTCAACATTGTAATTAGATCTTTGAATATTGTTTTTATTGGTATAAATATTGATTTTATCATCAGTAAATTAAAATCATACTAAATAGTTTTGTTATACACATATGCACTTTAACGGTACTACAGTCTGTCGATACCTTTATTTTGGCATTGCACAAGGTCATGTTTTTCTCAACTGTTACTAGATATAAGAAGATGTGGTATGAGTGCCATTGAGACAACTCTCCATCCAAGTCATAATTTGTAAAAGTAAACCATCAAAGAACGGCCTTCAACACGGAGCCTTGGCTCACACCTAACAAGCAAGCTATAAAGGGCCCCAAAAATGACTAGTGTAAAACCATTCAAACAGGAAAACCAACGGTCTAATCTATATAAAAACGAGAAACGAGAAACACTTATGAACCACATCAACAAACGACAACCACTGAACATCGGGTTCCTGACTTAGGACAGGTGCAAACAAATGCAGCGGGTTTGAACGTTTTATCTGGCGCCAACATTCACCCTAACCTGAGACAGCGGTGTATAAATACGACATAAAAGGACACACTATTAAACATTAATTGAAAAAAGGCTCAACTCATCAAAGTATGAATACTAACAGATTTAAGACAAAAGTTAGACCATGAAAACCAAATTACTAATTTATAAACCACAGAAAAATATATCAAAGCCAAAACCAGTATGAAATAATTTTGCCAAACAACCGGTCACTTATGGACCACTCAAAAAGAGATTGTTGAGAAGGACCTTTAACGTGCAAAGAACTTCAGCACCTACAGTCTACAACTCCAGAACATCTTGTATTGTTTGTAAAGTAGACACTGAATATTTATCTATAAGATCTTGGTACTTTCCTATGAACTTTTTGAGAAAAAAAGACAAGACGTTCTATGACAATACCCTGACTATTTAATTTTTTGCCGATTCACCGATGACGTTTTACAAAGTCTGAGTAGCATCTGCATGGTCCTGAAAATCGTACGAGTTGAGAAATGTATACTCCATTCGTGGATGAAGATGGTAAATTGCTGCTGAGGTGAGGAAAATTTATAATTTCAAAATTGAAATCGTCTCGTTTGTCATAAATTCCGGTACTGAGATGACCGCTGTGTCCAATTCGAGGTATATGTCTAGAAATGAGGCAGAGGAACCTGTATCTGTGGTTTCTTTGGTCTCTAGTTCGGGAGGATATATTAATAGGACCCAATTAGAAAAGTTTGGATTGTTAATTGAAAGAACATCATTAATATGCCTGTACGTGAAATTAAGCGATCTAGATTCTTAGATCATCTTGTATTTTACAATTATCTTAAGGAACTCTGACTCATATGAAAATGAGAAAGGGTAGTTCAGAGAAGAGGTACACAGTTAGTTCCCACAGAAATGACGACAACCTGCTGGAAAATGCTACCTTCAAATTCAACAAAAATGTTGTAAATGAGAAACTATCGCATACTGATCACTTGTGACTCGTTGTAGCAGGTTTTATTTTCGGGCTCATTTTTAACAAAATATGCCAAATTATATCCCACAGCAATAAATTTGTAGCGTATGGTACCATTTTTTTGGAGGGAAGCTTTGTGGATTATTTCTTATAGACGGGTTTTAAAAGCCGTAAGCTTTATTCATAAGCTTAACAAATGCATAATGAAGATTGAACACTAAACAGCTTAAGGAAATTTCCAAGATCTATTGACAGTTGAAGCAGAAACTAACATTTTTTAAGATGAAGCTCAAATAAAATGGCAGAAAATCGACCAGATAATATCTGAGAAGCAAACTCATCGTACGCAAAATGGTAAAACTTAAAAAAAACTAACCAAAACGATGACATTAAGTTCAGTGCTACTACTTCTTAATGGAAATAGAGATATTTTATTTCAGGAAATCAGAAAATGTAGACAACACATTCTTATGAGGTCATCACAAAAAGATAAAACCTTTGACCAAGAAATGTACAAACAAATTTTGGGAGAACACATTAATTTACGCAAAGTAATATTTCGAGAGAAAACGGATAAAATCAGAAATTTCTCTCATCCTATTCAACATTTTTGTTAATAATATATAGTCCCTATATATCTGCAGATGACTCGAGTTGACATTCAAAGAAAACTTTTAAAACAAAAACTTAAGGAAGATCTTAGACTATGCAAAAATGAAGGTGGAAACTGGAACTAGGCCAGACTGGGAAGTTCAGTATTTAATGAAGCAAGTAGCATTTGACAGATCGAATATTCTACAGGCATGGAAAGAATTATTAAAATGCAACGTAAAGGATTGGGCATACGCTAAGCAATTTTGGCGTAATCAAGCGTAGAAAATTTAGAAGTAGAAAGTTGATTTAATAATTTTTTAAAGAAGAGAAAAGTTTGCCACCAGATAGAGTTTGCAAAAATTAGCCCATACAACAGAGTGAAGATATGTGAAATTCAGAAAACATAGATCTATGTAAGCTAAAGTGACGTGTAAGCACAGCTAGTGTCAATTCCATGGACTTATTTTTTCAACAAGTCATCAACTAGACTACTGGTGCAATACAAACAGGTTAAAGACAGGAAAAAACAAAAGCATCTTCATTATGTCAGTTTCATAGAAATTTGTTGTTTGAATAAAGCTGGTTGTTTCATAATGTGTTATTTGTCCATTCCCAAAATAAAACGATTGTATCCGTGTACATATGACACACAGCAACAAACTACTACCACGGTATTACAGACAGTCTTTTGATTGAGTTAAGCCAATTAATATTTTATAGTGTGTCTTTCTATGTTGTGATGTTACACTATTGTTTCAGATAAGGGTGAAGGTTTGGTACCATTAAAACGTTTAAACCCGCTGCAGTTGTTTGCACCTGTCCTAAGTCAGGAATCTGATGTTCAGTAGTTGTCGTTTGTTGATGTGGTTCATAAGTGTTTCTCGTTTCTCGTTTTTTATATAGATTAGACCGTTGGTTTTCCCGTTTGAATGGTTTTACACTAGTCATTTTTGGGGCCCTTTATAGCTTGCTGTTCGGTGTGAGCCAAGGCTCCGTGTTGAAAACCGTACTTTGACCTATAATGGTTTACTTTGATAAATTTTGACTTGGATGGAGAGTTGTCTCATTGGCACTCATACCACATCTTCTTATATCTACTAAATATATTTTAAATATGCCCAACTCTTTCCTTAATCTTGGATAGTGGTGTAACAGCACAACATTAGAACAAACTATAAAAAAAAAATCAGAAAAGGATTTGACTCATCAGATCGATACAAAGCACAAACACACTTAATTATACAAAGTACTGTGAGTACTCGCATTTACTGAGAGTACTCGCACTTACTGAAATCTAGTTCAAAGCCAATAACAACTAATTAAACTTTGGATTTGGGCGTTCCTGACGAAGGTAAATCCAGAAAAGATTTATTATAATTTTTGAACAGTAAGAACGTTTTTATCAATTTTGTTTTATTTTCTTCCTTCATCACATCATATTTTCAAGCGAGTACATCCACGAGAGTTTTTGGGCACATTTAAGAAAAGGCAAAGGAGAGTTTTGGGACACATATTAAATGATAACTCAACACTAGAACAAACTTTAAAAATAAGAATAAACATCAGATAGGTACTTATGTGTACCAACTACTGTGAAAAACAACAAAAATGAAAAAAAGACACACAGTACCGTTTGAAGAGTTCTCACAGTTACTGGAAGCTAGTTCAAAGCCCAATTTCAAATATCAATAGATTATGTTCTCCAAGACTTAAATGTGTAATATATTAGCAGAGGTATTGATTTTTTCAACTTATCTAGTATATTTAATGACTCTACCGTTCAAAACTTCATACCTCCCTATTTTGACACAGAACCACCTATTATTTCATACACATACAAAAAAAAAACAGCAGAAGTTTAATTTTTAATTATACGCCGGTAACATCAGACGTCAATGTAGAAAATAATACTCCTTTAACTTGAAACTGTGAATCGTCGAAGTTTAGATATGTTCCCTATGGCCATGTTATTACGGGGGACCTCAATATCGTCCAGGACAGAGAGGTTAAAAAACTTTTTGAAAAAAGGACCAAAATATCGTCCTCCATCTAAAATAGATTGGAAACAGTGTCGTCAGGTCACCAAAGATGCTCTTTCCTCGTTTTGTAAAAAATGGTGTAAACGGGAAAAATCTGATAAAAAATCTCTTGATTCTTATCTAAATAAATGTATGCATGTGGTAGATAATAGAATATCACATTTTGAAAATAATTTAGAAGTAAATAATAGAGTACATAATACGCCTATTTCCAGAATCAGAAATAAACTTCAAAAACTTTCAAAGCGGTTTGTGTTTGTACCGGCCGACAAAGCAGCCAACAATGTGGTGGTGATATGCCGTAAATACTACATGGACGTTCTTTAGAATAAAATTTTAAATTCATCTACATTCAAGTCCATGAGCCCCACAGAGAGTCATATAGTTAACAAACATATCATAACCACATCACAGCTTAAGGCTTCTTCTGAACATTTGAAGGTCCCTACTATGTATTGGTTACCTAAACTACACAAAAAACCAGTAAAATATCGTTTCATCTCTAGTAAGTGTTCTACAACTAATCTTTCGGTGCCTTTAACAAGTTCCTTAACTACTATCAAAGAGCTTATCATAAACTATTGTAATAAAATATAAAAAAATAGTGGAATTAACTATTGTTGGAGTGTAAAAAATTCTTTGGATGTTTTAGATAAATTACGTGCTTTTGACGGTCCTTTTGATTCTGTTGACAGTTTTTACTTTTCTACTCTTTACACTACACTTCCACACAATCTTATCAAACAAAAATTTGACTATTTAATTAAATGGTCGTTTGGTAAATCTGAATGCAAATATATTTGCTGCAACTCATTTAAAGCCTTCTTCTCTGATGAGAAAGGTAAATTTGCTAGATATACTTACTGGAGGTGTGATGAGATGATCGAAGCTGTTAATTTTCTCCTTGATAATATTTATGTACGTTTCGGCAGCAAAGTTTATCGACAGGTTGTAGGTATTCCTATGGGCACTAATTGCGCCCCTTTAATAGCAGACTTGTTTTTGTACTGTTATGAATCACAGTTTATGACCAAACTCAGTAATGACCCGTCTAAATTGCATTTAATTGATAAATTCAACAACACTTACCGTTATCTTGATGATATTTTTTCGTTAAATAATCAAGAATTTTCTCAACATACTGCCGAAATTAACCCAAAGGAACTTACTTTAAATAAATCAAAATTAAACGGTAACAACTGTCCTTTCCTAGATTTAGATATTTCGGTTTTACACGGGAAACTCCACACTAAAATTTACGACAAAAGGGACGACTTTTCTTTCCCTATTGTTAATTTTCCCTTTTTGGATGGTGATGTTCCTTTGGCACCATCTTACGGTGTTTATATTTCACAACTCGTTCGCTATGCCCGTGTCTGTTGTGACGTTTTTGATTTCAACGAACGTAATCTATGTATTACTGGTAAATTATTAAGTCAGGGATTTCGTTACCACAAATTACTTAAAACCTTTACTAAATTCTTCCACAGATATAAAGATTTGGTTTTGAAGTTTGGTTGTACCTGTAGAAAACTTATTTCAAACGGGATTGCACATCCTCATTTTTACGGCAATATTGTTTACCGTCCCCGGAAATTTAGAAATGATCCTGGTAAACTTATCGATCCTTTAAATAAACTTATTCTAAAAGGTTACCAATTCAACACTGTAATTAGATCATTAAATATTGTTTTTATTGGTACTAATATTGATTTTGTTATCAGTAAATTAAAAGCAAACTAAATATTATTGTTATATACTAGTACATATACACATTCATGGATCTACAATCTGTCGATACCTGTATCTTGGCATTGCACAAGGTCATGTTTTTCTCTGACTGTTTATGACGTCTTTACACTAAATCCATTGGATGTTGGATGTGTACGGATTGATAATTTAGTCTTAGATGCATGATTTTTTTTTATTAGTTGTTAGTGGCTTTGAACTAGCTGTCAGTAACTGCGAGTACTCTCAGATCTGTACTTAGTGTCTTTTTGTTGTTTGGATGTACAAGTACCCGGCCACGTCCACTTGTATTTGAAGTATTTGTATTTTTATCCATCTGATGAGTTAAGCCTCTTTTAACTGATTTTTATAGTTCGTTCTTATGTTGTACTGTTACACCACTGTCCCAGGTTAGGGGGAGGGTTGGGATCCCGCTAACATGTTTAGGCCCCGCCACATTCTGTATGTATGTGCCTGTCCCAAGTCAGGAGCCTGTAATTCAGTGGTTGTCGTTTGTTTATGTGTTACATATTTGTTATTCGTTCATTTTTTGTACATAAATTAGGCCGTTAGTTTTCTCGTTGGAATTGTTTTACATTGTCATTTCGGGGCCTTTTATAGCTGACTGTGCGGTATGGGCTTTGCTCATTGTTGAAGGCCGTACGGTGACCTATAGTTGTTAATTTCTGTGTCATTTGGTCTCTTGTGGAGAGTTGTCTCATTGGCAATCATACCACATCTTCTTTTTTATATCTGGTTTATAAATTAATAATGGTATTTTATTCTTGTTTTATATTTAACAGTATTACATGGTTTTATACCAAACAATCTTTTTTGTAAGTATTTATAAGTTGCCTACCTCGCACTACCAGATGAAATAAAAGTAAATTAAAAAGGAAGTTTAAATGAATCTTGAGTCACACAATTATTCTAAATATACACTGATATCTTATCAAGCGTTACAAATATTGAACTTTTTAGCGTCCATATATTCCGAAAAATTATATTAAAGTATTAAATGTGTTGAAGACCCATTGGTGGCCTTGGGCTGTTTTCTGCTCTTTCGTCGGGTTTTTGTCTCTGACACATTCCCCGTTTTACTTCTCAACCGTGACTTTATTCTTATTGTAATTTCATTTGAGATGTAAAAGCGTTGAACTAAGAACAAAGGTATAGAAGCTGCACGTCAACATCAATTACTATTCGAAGTATGCATTACTTTTTTTTTTATATGCGAAAAATGCGAGGATGTTTTCTACCCAGGCATGTCTAGCTTTCTTCATTTTCTTTTTTTCTCTTAATATTTTTTTTGCCAGAAAATCAGACGAGGCCATTCCTCGTCTGCCCCAATGGTAGTTACGGCCCTGGACACGAAACAAGATTGATCGAAACCGAAAACTCAGGTGCTCCGAAAAGGTAAGAAGTTCCTTCTCAGTATCAGTTATCCGTTGGGAGATAAAAAAAAAAGGATGAATCAAACACACCTAATAACAGGGGCGATAATTTGGGAAAAAACCCACACTGTCAGATGACCAAAAGCAAAGATGTTTTACTTGTAATAGTTATAAAGACAATTTAGAATTTTAATATAAGTTTTACTTCAAGAAAAAGAAAAATACATTCTTTGTAAAACAAATTTCTATTTACTAGAGAAGAAAAAAACTTCTCAGTGAAAATATACGTGGAATACCTCAATTACCTGTTGCCTATACTGTAAATTCCACCTTTTATATCAGTTGGCAGTATTAAAGGACCAGAGAATTTGATCAACCATCACTAGGGACTAATACATATTGGTCACAGAATTGATTTATAACTTATAAGTGGGACTCTTACCTCTCTTGGAAAGAATACTATTAAATATATGAATAAGATAATATTCCAAAATTGGACTTAAATTCACCTTGCAAAAAGAAAAATTTGTGCTGGAAAATATTTGGCAGTGAATTAGAGGAAAAGGAAGAATATTTTACCCTTTAAGACAAGGATCTGTATAGTAATATGCAAATACTTGCTTGAGAAGAAAAAAAATAACTGACTTATCAGGGGCGGAACCAGCCATTTTTTAAAGGGGGTTCCAGCACTGGATAAAGGGGGGGTTCCAACCATATGTCCCCATTCAAAAGCATTGATTGTAAAAAAAAGGGACCCCCTGGATCCGCCACTGCTTATGAATGTATAGGATGAATTGATCAGAATGTTTTACCCCATATCTTGAGCATTTAAAAGGATTAAAAATCTGAAAATTAAGAAAAAAATGAAATTATTCATTTTTTTTTTGTTAAGTGTGCAAACTTGCAGCCTTTTGAAAGTTATCAAGAAGAAACAATGACCACTTCTTTTGTTTGCCTCTTGTTAACTAGACACATTTCTACATTTTGTGGAAATTGAAAATCACTGACACGATTTTCCTCTTTGTGTTTTTATTTTGTTGCAGCTTTAAACTGAAATCTTTATTCATTTAAATTTATTTCTAGCAAATGCTCTCCACAAAGATTAATAAAAAAAATATTGAGAACGAAGAAAAAAAAACATAACAAATAAAAACAACTGAGCCTTAATGCGGCTCAGTACAGCTTGTTGTATTTAAATGAAATCATTAAAAGTTGAATATTGGAGAGTCTATTATCATTATAAGCACTTAAACTATTGTAACACAATATAACGCCAAACCAGTTTGATAAAACAAGTGTAACCTGTTTTACTAAACAGGTTTGTTTAAAGATATTGTTTATGTTTTCTTTATAACACTTAAGTTATACACCTGCAGTGATTGAGGTATGTATCTATACTTGTGATTATATAGATAAAACAAATTGCATATAAATAAACTTGTATAAATATTATATAGATACAGATATATAAATTATTTATTTTTAAAAATGAGAATAGTATCATAAGGATTATCTCTGAAGTTCATTTATCTATCTTTGAGAGCTTAATAATACTTATAAGAGGGTGGTAAATGGTTATTTTTGTGCAACGTTTTTTGCCATTTTTATTTCACGTGCAGCCGTGAAAAAGGTTCATTATTCACCGTGTTTCGTGAAATCGGTAAAAAGATCAACGTGCAAGAAATTTTTAATTGTTCGTTCATCGTGAAATGGCAATTTTATTTCGCGTTCTTCCGTGCAGATACCCCCCCTTTACGCCCCTCTTATAATTCTTACATATTTTTATCCTTTAAATTGAATGTACATTTATAATAATTTTTGAAATTGGATAAATATTTTTTATCTGTTTTCTTTGAAATTATGCAAATTTGAGCTAGGTGACGTTTTGTTGATTTCAATTATTTTTTTCAATAATTTAGATATAGATCGAAAGTTGATGTATTCAGTGAAAGCAAGGAAATGTGAGCTCAAATTTTCTGCTTTGGTCTTATTTCTGTTTTTTATCATCTGTAATGGACAATGTTGATTAAACAAATGCAAATAAGAAAGAAAACAAGCATATCAACTTTTATTTTTGATTTTCTAGTGGTACATTGTATATAAAGATACATTTTTGTTAGTACAAGCCAATATATATTTGGATATTTACAGTGGGTGTTTAATTCAGTCAATTATTTGATTCCTTCATATGTTTCCAATTTGTAAGAAAACAAATCAAGATTATAGAATCATGTAAAATGTGAAGGTCACTTACTTTCATTTTGTATTAATTTTCAAAGAACAGCTTTCAATTCTATGATTAGAAACAATCCATTACTTTATCCAAAAATCTTTTTTTTAATTTTATTAACACAACATAAGAAATAATTCTTTTATTGAAAAAAAAGTCTGACATGAGTAGTAACTTATTCTCTATCAAGTTATGAAAAGTCAGATAAAGGAACCTTAACTTGTCTGGGTATTACCTCACAAGGATTGCATATACGGTATATTATCAGTGTTAGCATGATATGCTTTTCAAATGTGTATCTTTCTGTACTTTCATCCCTCAAGGTTGACTGGGGAATAGAAATATGGTCACTTTGGTCTGCTTCCAACCAGGAGTAAAACCCTTGCCAATTTGAGGCGTCCGTTTGGCTAAGCTGGATGTAAATTTTCGCAGCCACATCTGGTTAGCATGGGGACTTTAAATCTGATGCCTCTTGTAAAGAGAGTGCCAATCTTTTTGCAAGTTAAAAACCTTGCAACAACTCTGAGGGGGTTGTTGGTGGTCTGCTCCAAAGCAAAAATTTCTGTCTCTATCCAATTTACCCTCATTTGTCAGTGGTAGTCAAACTTTCCCAACCTTCATCCCGGACGGCCTCTATTACAGGACCTACCTATTGTATTTATTGTTAATTTGTTCTTGTCCTGATCATGCATGAAATGTTTGCCACTGGACATTAAGCAACCAACAATCAATCAGTATATTCATGGGTAACCCATCCCTACATGATGCCAAAATAATTAGATGGTCATTTGGTTTTATCTGCTCTGATCTATTTTACTTAAATTTATCTGGTAAATAGAAAAGGTGGCCTGCAAAATTTTCTTTGAAACAAATTAGCATATGATCTGATCAGGACTGATTTAAAAATCAATTTTGATATCAACTGTAAAATTATTTCCTGCATGATTCCACTATTGTTTATGTCAAGTGTATATTGCATAAGTTTTCAAATAAAACCATCTTGACAAGAATATTAAGGATCCTTTCTCTTTTGTTTTAAAAGCCTAATTGATTGTAAGTATGAAATTTCCACGGAAATTTGTGCAAAATTCAAATTATTGATTGTGTGTTAATTATTAAAAGGGTTTAAAATTTGTAAACAAATCAAAACATTAATATCATTTAGAGAAATATTGTCATTACTAGTATATGTTATCTATTATTAATCTCGGAGACAATACTTCCAAATTGTCATTGATTTTTTAATGATATGACATTGAAGATTTTGTAAAAGAGGATTATCCAATTTGTAAAATACCTGTAATTTTGTATTAGACATTAGCTTTAGATTGAAGTATTATCATGTGTATTACCTATTACTTTCAGTTACTGAGACAATACCTTAATTAGAACTTATTGGCAGAGGATTCTTACATAGACAGGTAAGATTTTGTTTGATGTTGAATAAAGGAAGGGATTATAGATGGAAAGCTAAATATCTTTCTGTTAAACCAGTGGATACATTTCCTGTTAAACACTGAGATTCTTTATTAAGTGAATTGAATTGTAATCTGTGTATTAAACATGGGGTCCAGGCCATTCTAGAAGAACTTTGATGAACTTTGGTGTAACAAGTGGCATTTCATATGTCCAAGTTAAAATTATATCTACTTCAGCTTATCTGTTACCTCCTTAACTGTAGCTATTATGGTCCTTGTGCTATTTTTTTGACAATTTGTGGACCATGGTCCACACAAATCAGAAAACATAACAAGGACTATTAGAGTTAAGGTTCCACAGCTACTTTTCTGTATTCTATGAGGCTTTGATTTGGTTTTACAGAATAGAGTTCTAATGGACAAAAAAAGGAGAGAGCAAAATGGGCCAAAGATATAAAAAAGGCTGTACATTGAAATAGTATCCACTAAATTTCTGTATCCTTTTCGTTTTTGTCTCACCTTGCTTCCTTGCAAGGTCTACGTGTCTGTCAGACAGGTTTCATCTGACCTCGACCTTATTTTATGGATTAGTGATCACATTTAAGTTTACATGGTCAAGTCCAGTTCAGTGGACTATGTTTATTTTTTTTGGTTTGGTCTATTTCTCTGATACTATAAGCAAAAGGGCCTCTATATTTGGTGTATGGAATGATTATAAGGTGTACATGGCTGTCAGGCAGTTTTCCTCTGACCTTGACCTATTTTTCACAAGTGATTGGTCAATGTGAAGTTGCTCATGGTTTTTGTCAGTTTATCAGATACTATAAGGAAATGGTCAATTATTTTTGGTGTATGGACTAACTGTAGGGGGTC